GAGGGACCTGTCCTTGTTCTCCGACAGGCATCGAGCATATGTCGACTGTGTTGGATGCGCCAAGCTGACAAGAATAATCTAAAGACCTTAAGATTATAAGTGATCTCAGCTAGTGCGGTTTAATTGCTGATTCGATACTTATCTGCAGGATTGCGATACTCTCTGTTTTCCTTCAAGCTCGATAGATACGTGTTATCATCCTGAGGGTCGCGCCTCTTGTAGTGCGCCTATGCTGGCTGACTCCAAGCCGTGACAAAGCTAGGCTGTTTGATCCACAGTCCGCAACAATCAATTAAGTGGGTCCTAGAAGGTTCAGATTGGATTGATTGATTACCGCTTTAAGCCTAGTAGTTACCTATAGGAGTTTAAGCCCTACCTAGATAGGTAAGTGGGTCTAGGAGAGTGACCGGATTGAATTGATTGTTGCGGAGTCTAGTTTGATCCATTTCCCGTGGCGTAGTATACTGCACTGACTTAAGTAAGACTGCCATAAAGCTAGGGGGGATCTACACCGATCGCTATGGTATTGCATAGCATGCAAGGTCCTTAAGTTGTTAACAGAGATTTTATGAACTTCTTCTTCTGTGGGGGAGTGTAAGGCGTCTTTCTACTTTGGCGTAGGCATGCAGGTGAACAAGGCGACTGCGCGCATATCTTGCAATATTGGAAGACTAACAGGATGCTTCTTCCTAGGTCTCCTTCGAATATCTTGTGGTCTTATTGCGATAATTTCGGGCGTGAGATGTTCGGCATCTTACGGTAGTGTCGGCGCAGTGACAGGTGTGACAGGTAGTGGCAAGCAGTGGCAGATAGTAATATGTAGGGTACGTCTAATCGACTTTCACATTGTACTTAGTTAGCAAAGACTTCTCAATAGTTTTCTACAACTTCCGCATAATGTCCTTTTAGTACCACAGACTCATCTAGGCCATTCTAAGATCCTGTCCACTTTTTATCGTGACGGCGCATGTGTTCAATTATGGTGCTCGAAGAATAGCCGGCGGTCTAAGTAACTCGTGCCAGCTCAGTAATCTCTTAACTAATTTCGTGTTTGGATTCTCGCGTTAATGGTGAAGGTGGATCGATAAGCGTATCGCAAATGACCAGGCAGCGGGCCCGTTTGAACAACAGGTGCGCACGCGCTCCCGCTAGCTACAAAACACCCTTAGCACGCGCAACCCACTATAAGTTTCCATAACCATCCAAGTACTCAGCTTATCCAAATCTTCTTGCCCTGAACAATGACTGTTATGAGCGCCACTCTCCCCCAACGTCCACTTAGCCTGCGCGAAGTCCTCCTTGTGCACTTTCTGGTCTTCCAAGAAGCTGTGTTGGCGCTGCCGATTTACGAATTTGATTTCACCGGTCCCTTGTCAGGATATTCGCCCTACCCCGTCTACGAATATCAATTGCGCCCTAATCAAGATCGGGTTCCTGTTGATATACGGCAATTCCACAACGACGAAGTCTACCGAGCGATCGTCATGCGGCTCAACTGTGATAATTTCTGCGTACGTATGGAGCGCTTTGTACAGAGCAACATTCAGAGTAAGAAGTCCGGGTTTATCTATAGTATAGTTACTAATAGCCTACAGGATTGCTCAGTACTACAATCTCAGTTAGCCGCATCGTCTTCATGGCAAACTCTCGCTTTCGCACAACATCCCTGGCTGGATTACGGCAAGAAGAAATGCATTCATGCCTGCTGGTTACTGAAGACAACCGAGAGATGATATTGGATGGCACTATTGACCAATACGGCCTAAACTGGAGGACGAGTTGGCTCCTGACGAGGGAGGAAGCTATGGACAGTCACATGGGTTACATAGTTCCTAGGAGTGATAAGGAATGGGAGGAGATCCGCGAATCACTTTTGACATCAGGTCTTGACTATGGATACTGGGCAGAAGGAGGGGTTATAGATCGCCGTGTCAAGGACTTGTTTAGGGGACTAGACTGGGAGTCTCTGCGTGGGCTTTCCGAGACAGAGGTTGAGTTTTCTATTCGCGACATTGCTCGTAGAAGGTTCTTTAGTGCTTTTGAGGAGGCTAAGTTCAAAGCTCAACTGTAGAGACAGTAGTTGAAGACAAGAGACGGACGGAAGAATATATAGTATGATACAAGATGCTTCTTCCAAGAGTAATAGTATCTAGGTCTAGGTTATTTACAGTTGAATGTCATAATGAAGTTGGTCCTAAAATGACACAGATAGCTATTAGACTTGGAAGATTATTTGAAATACGAAAGTGAAGAGAGTCCTAGCAGTACTTAGCTTAGCGGGTAGGTATGTCTAGAAATCGTCAGTCAAGTTGCCTTCAGGATAGCAAGGATAGACTAGCGCCAAATTACTCCGTAAATCCTTAGTCCCCCTCCGCACCTTGACCATCCCTAGGACACTAAACACATGAGCAGAAGACGTCCCCCTGCTCGCGCAATTACAATGTCGAATAATACTACCGCCTTAACGCCTTTGTCTTTGGAGGAAGTGCTACACATTTACCTTCTCTGTTTCGAAACAGCCGCCGATACCATCCCTGAAGAACCTGTGGCATACACGGTGCCATACCGCCACCTTAGCGTCCCAGTCCCAATCTGGCAACTCTGGACGCGCAAGGTCGTGAAGGATAAAGGTCCGCCCAAAAACTGCAAGCGCATCCCTAAACTGCCTGTGAGGCTGCAAGAAGCACTCGCACGCAAAGATCTTTGCGGTTACTTTTGCTGGTTGCTTGAGCGAGAAGTCAACGAGAAGATTGCAGAGCGCTTTGGTGGCTCTGCGTTGTGGGTGTTATTCAAGCCGAAGATCAATTTTCTCCTGGCTTTTCGCGACTGCCGGAACCAGCCTAATATCCCTTTGCACTCCGTGCTGCTCATCGAAACACCAGGCAAGGAAACGATGATAATGGATGGAACATTGAGGCAGTACCTATGGGCGCCCTCAACTTGGCTGCAGACAATGGGGGAATGGGAGGATAGGCGGGTCGACAAGAGCAATGGGGGCCGGGGCTTTCAACGTAACCCATCCTACTGCAAAAAGGATGTGGAACAATCTGCGCGTAAAAACGACAAGGGATACTGGAAAGTTGTCCGTGAGAGAATGACCAAACTGCTGAAGGACATGAACTGGGACGAACTGGAGAGCTTGGAGACTGGAAAGCGCATTGAGCTTGTAAGGGAGATGGCACGGGAAAAGTTTGCGGGTGTATGGGAGGATGCCTGTGATCCTCATCAAAGGCACAGCAATGAACATAGATAGATGTTCGAGGTTACTTAAGAGAGACATCCCGCCAATTGCTATAGATGCAGTGGCATCAAACATAAACACGAGCTCTATCATCATGCTGTTGGTGCCCACTTGCTCTTTGTCCTTATTCTCGCGCCATAGATGTAGAAAAGAACTGGGACTGGAAGGAAGGCAATGCAGATAAACGCCAGAAGACTCGAGGCCCACGGCACGCCAAGTTTATGGTACATGGCATGAGTAAACAAGGGGAAGAAGGCTCCGGCAAACGACCGAATGAAAGTATTGACTGCAATCGCACTGTTTGAGTAGAACCCATAACAGTCGATAAGATAGCTCATGCCCTGCCAGAACGGAACCATGCAGCCAAAGCCAAGAAGGGCAACCGAGAGAACTTGTGGCACCCAGGTGATGTTTGGATTGCTCGTCCATGCAAACCAAAAGAGGCCGACAGGCAATGCGATGGCGCCTATTATCATGGGTGGGAGACGCTCCTCAGGGATGACCTTGCCGTGCTTATGGTAGGCGCGTGTGAAGTTTGTCGCAGAGCTGTATGCGATACAGGCGGCTCCTAAGATAATTCCGACAATAAAGGCTCCAAAGGGAAGCTGAGAAACGCCGAGAGACCAGCCGCGCTGTTCGTAGAAGGAGACTGGAAACTTCGGGCCATTAGTCATGTAATGCATAACATATCAGAAACGAAGTAATATACTTACGGCTTCGAATAGCAAGTAGACAATACCGTATAGAAAACTCATGTATGCTGTAAAGAGCGCTAGAATTGGCTCTTGTAGAAACATGATAAACGGTCTCAACAGATAGACGTTTACCACTTTGTCAAGTGTCAACTTATTCTCATCAGCTGCAGCGTGGTATGCGCTGTTTCCTGTGTCCTTGCGCAGCTTCGCAGCCCTCAACTGCAGTATCCTGGCTGCGGACGTCTCTGGGATAATAAAGAAGCCAATGATACCGAATAGACCAGCCATGATCAGTGTAATCCAGGATGTCCACCTCCAACCAAGATGGGATTGAGTAATGAACCCGCCAGCAATGGGTCCAGCTACCGGTCCAGCAAAGCCACCAGCAGCGAAGATACAGATGGCGTAGGATCGAGGGATAGGATCCCATAAGTCGGCAAGGGCTCCGCCAACGACGGCGAGGGGCGCAGAAGCGAAGAAGCCACCCAGAAAGCGGCCGATGCAGACGGTGGTGATGCTTTGTGCGAGCGCGACAGGTATTTGGAAGATGGCGAAGAGTGCGAAGCCGAACATCAGTGGTGGCTTACGACCTAGGACTTCTGACATGGGTCCAAAAGCAATTGGTCCAAATACAAAACCCTAGGAAGTTGCATGTTAGCTACGTGGCTGGTCAGCGCCTGAGTGCAACTTACCAATACGAACAATGCTACACCAAGCGTAGCTGTGACCAGCTCGACATTGAACTTTTCCTGCACTACGCCAATGTTTACGCTGAAGATGGAGCTAGCAAACGTGACTGTGAAGACCATGAGGCCCATCGAGACTGTAATTGCCCACCGTCGCTCGGTCGTCCAGCTTTTAGGGTTGTCAGGGTCGTCCAGGCCTTTGAACTCCACGAAGAAGTCGTTCTGCGGTGCTACGATAGGCGCATGGTTGCTCGCTTTCTCAAGGTCTGGCTGAACGTCGCTACAGTCGAGTCCATCTTCCTGGCTCTTTCTCGTGATCTCGTCTCCTAGCGATGCCGTCGATGCCGCCATGGATTGTGAGAGACGTTCTGCCATCGTGCCGGAAGTAACGTGTATGTGTTTGGTGTCAGTTTTTAGCCACAACTAGGGAACCCAGGCTATTTGTACGTATCTCAAAGACGGGCCCGTGGATGTGTCATTATTCCCGGACTTTGCATGGACTTAATTCGATCTCCTGCAGCCGCCGCCCCTTGACCCACTCTCTCCGCCGGACCATCTCCGCGAAGAGCGGCTTGGCGTTTTACGCACTGTTGGATGCTGTCGCGCCATGACAGGCTTGATCCTGAAACAAACCTGATAAAACGAGGCTGCGGATTCATAGATCGGGAAGCAGGAATACGACGTCATCGTGGCGGTTCCGGCAATCGATAAGCGCAGCTGACAAAGACGGCTGATTTCCCGGTTGACCCACAAACCTTCATCCAACCTCAGGTCAGCCAACTCCTTCGACGCAATAAGCATAGAAGCGATAGCGAGACATTTCAATGTTTGTAGTGTGAAAACTAGACCTGAACATTATGTTACTGTACATCATAGCTAGCGAAGCCCGCTGCAGGCCTCTGCTGCCGCGTCCTCACCTAGCCCTCCCAGAGTTCCGAGACCTTTTCAAAAACCTGAAGCATCTCTACGAAAGCTCGCATTGTAGGGAGACACACCAAGTAGATGTGATCCCTCATGCCCTCTCTGATCCTCACCTTGGTGCTCTTATCACCAGCACCCTTTCTGCTTCCTGCACATCCCTGTCGTCTTCTCGGCCATCTTCTTGGTCACCTTCTTCCTCAACCACGTCCTCCATTACGGCGTCAACTGCCTCCATGTCTTCATCTACTTTCCCATTGCTGGAAGGTTCAGACACCATAAGCTCCGTGTCCTCGTCCTGATGCATAAAGTGAAGATAGTGCCAAAGGAAGGAGTAGCTACCCCAGACACACTTCATGCCGGCGAGGTCCGTAGTCCTTGCTCTGTACACCTGTAGGAGCTTCTCCACGTGCATGTCGTCCAACCAGCCCTCCTCATACAAGATACCGCTCTCTCGCAGGATAGCCTTGATTCTGAGAGGTCCCCACAGTACTATCATCAAGATAAGTACAAAACTATCCTTCGATAACACGTGGGGGGAGCTAAGTATGAACTGCTTGTACAGAGTCTTGAAATCTCTCCAAAGGTCTACATTTTGTCCCGCGTCGAAGAAATGTTCAGCTCGGAGCCTGGCGATCTTCCAGCAGAGCCGCGACGGTGGCGAAATTATGTTAAGTCCAGTAGTCGGGATTTGTCGGCCGAAGACACCAAAGGAAGGCCCCTTGGTCTGTCGGCTGGAGCTTCCAAAGACTGATCCGCTGTTGAATCCAAGTAATGAGCGGTAGGAGAGCAGGATTTGATTAGCGGATCTGTCAGCTTCGCCTTGGTTTTCGATCATATCAAAGCGTAGGAATTGTAGGAGATCCCCTGCTTTGGGCAAACTATCTCCTAAGCCGCGAGCTTTGGAAAACTTCACGGCCTCTTCTTTTGACACTTTGTCGGCGTAGTCGTAGTCGTTTTCTCCGATTTCGGGAACCCAGTCGGCTTCCAGGTCGATCTTGAGGTGGCAGAGAATGCGATGGAGCATGTCGTGGGCACGCGCTTTCAAAGCTTCCGAAGCTGCCAAAGACTCCATGGTGTGTGATCTTGTCTGCAAGCGATGGAAGTGGTAGTATTGTGATGTTGTGTGGTTGTGTGATCGAATGGTTGTGAGTGCACTCGGGGAGGCGTCGCCGAGATTAGCAAAGAGAGATGGCAGGACAATAGCACGCTAGCAGAACGGGGCACAAATCCAGGCTCCCGCCATTTCACATGTTATCAAAGCGACAACTTTACAACAGGGCACATATAGCTATGATTTAGAGCACCAAGATGCATAGAAATCTTGAGCCATTGGGTAGCTAGTTTTGTACATATCACTTCGATATAATATGGCACAATGTAGCTCAAATTGTCAGAATGAGCACCTGGCACATTGTATGCCAAGGCCATGCCCCTGTCACAGCCACCGGGCACGCACACAGGCAAAGCATGGGACAGACCCACTTAGTCAAGGTGAGGGAGACCTGCCTGGCACGCCGATGCCCCGTGCCAGCAACTCACGTGTACGCTAAACGTTGGTGCCTTCTGGGAATATATCCACAAGCCGCCTCACCTTTTCTCTTCTACTCACCACACTCCCACTCCACCACCACCACTGATCATCTTTGCAAAGCTTCAATGCAAACCGCCCGGCTTCGGTATGTACCTACCTACCCTTTCAGTACATACTGGAGCCGGGCAACGTCACTTCACTGGTGGCTCAATCCCACCACTGGGAAGGTATGTCAGCATCACCCCACTTGCAAATTCAATTCAGCTGCTAACACGACTCCAAAGATCCTCTAGTAGGAGGATCTTTCCATTGGGCCGCGGGCGGGTTGGTGCCAGTCGACCTCTCGCACCACACTAAGGGCAGCAATTCAACCCGCTCGCGGCCACGGGGGTGGTGTGGGAATTCCACACCACTACCTCAGACTTGTGGGCGGTGCCGGGCACCGTTCAGTGCCTAGCACCGCCCGAACTCGTCGTACATGGACAGTTGAAATTTCGGGTCATTTTTTTATTTGGAATTTCAACCAGTCTATGTACGACGAGCTCCGCTATTATCGTTGTGTTTGTTTCAAGTGAGTCACCTTGTCAGCAAGATCACAACCAGTCAGCTAACATTCCGCAGTCCACTCGATGTCAACACTTGGAAGATGAGGAACTCTAGAGGGGTTGGAGGGGCTTCAGGACTGGAGTCCTGGGAGGATTTCAGTCCTGAAGCCCAGGAAGGCAGAACGATGGACAAGACCTAGCTAGAGCACTTGATACCCCACACAATCGAAGACTGTTTACTGTCACACTGCTTCACTCTGAAAATGCAATTTCCTCTTCAATATTCGCTTCCCCTCACTGTGCTGTGCGATTGCCATGGCCTAATCGCCGCTTAACCGAGATTGTTACCTGTTGTTGCTGTAGAGCCGTAGAGCTACGAGGTGGCTGAAGCGGCACTCACGTCTACCGTTTGCTTGCGTCTTGCTGTCACCACCACGCCCACGTATTGCAAACACTTTCCTACAAGTCTCTACTGAAGATACACCACCCCGCCTTCGACAGACGTGCTCACGCTCAAGCTCGCGAACCACAAGTAAGTCTACAATCCTTCACGCTCAGCCATGTGTTGACACGAGTGACACACCACGACGAATACCAAACCCTGACAAGTACAACAGCCACCACACACAGACACCCACGTCGCCTCCCGAGGCCCTCGTACACATCCTTTCCAGCCATCCAAAGCTCCAGCCAGGCGGCTACCAGGCAATCAAACACCCATCCTCTCCCCACAAAACCAAGACCGAGAAGTCCTCCAATATACCCAATATGCCGATTCCTCCTCTTCCTCCGACCCCACCACCCTCCCCACCCCTTCTTCCGCCTCCCCCTCCTCCCTCACAGTAAGCAAAATGGTATCCTTCAGGCACGCGTTGGAGCAGGGATGATTGCGGGGGTAAGATACCTTGTGGTCTTCAACGGAGACGGAGAGGTTTATGTACTGATGCGAGACGGAAAGCGGTGGGGATGACATGGGTGTGATAGATGGATGGTGTCACGGTTTGGGGTCTCTCCTGCTCTGCTCCTGCAGTCGCAACTTACCTTTGTAATGGAACGATGCCTATCTGGGACTAGCGCTGTTTACGGTCACCCACCTACATATACAGTTTGTAGACTCAGACAATACAACCTCAGTTCAATCCTTCAATTCTTCCAGCACCCACTATTCCCCAAAGATGGTGACAGATACTCTTACAGTAGGGAGAATAGCAACAGCAGCAGATCCCAATGACAGACCACACTTTCCTGAGCAAACACACCATGATGCAATACACTAACTAGTACAAGACTACCAAATGGCAACTTACACACACTTGACTTCCTTCATTCATACTAATTACAGTTCCCATCCCTCCCCGGACCTCTACTACCGAACCTACAACCCATCCTCATACCCATTCAAACACACTGACCAACCATACCCAGACCCAGCCCAGTCCGCACCTTCACGTTCAATTCCAGCCAACCCAGCTCTTACTCATGACACGCCACACACGTACCTCGCCAGATCGTAAATCACCCATCTTGAAGCTCTCAGGCTTGACCTTCTTGTGCTCGCGGCCTTGTTCCCAGGCACGTACCTTCTTCTTGCTGCCGTCCCATTCGACGACGACACCAACGTGGTCGGGCTTGCCGACATCCACGGCGTATCGGGCATGCATGGGACCGGTCTTGCCTTGGAACTTGGCATTACGGAAGGTGATGATGTCACCGGGGCGGATCTCGTCGTAAGATTGAGTTGATGCATTTGCTAGGTTTGCGTAGACGAGGGCGCCGAATGAGCGAGTTGAGACTGGGGGTAATGCGTCAAAGAGAGGCTTGAGAAGTTCTTCAATGAGACCGTGTGGTGTGCCGTTACCGACTACAGTGTTTTGCTTCGACTCGATTGCCTTGGCGATCTGACGACCAAATTGTTCGTAGGCGCTCTCAAGCTGATCGGGACGCTGACGAGCAGGCGGCGGATCGTTGCGTTGTTCAAACTCTACATCAGAGACATTGTTCGCCTCAAAACGAGCTGATATGACCGTTTGCGAATAGTCGAGATAGAGAACCTTGATGATCTTCTCTATCGTGTTGCCAGTCTGTGACTCCTTCATGTCGACAAGTACGTCCTTGCGGCCTTGCAATGACGGCGGGAGTAGATTTGGCTGCGTCCACCAATGAGACCCCATTCCCAGGTCGATATCACTTGCGATGAAGTCTTGATTTGAAGCTGGACGGAGCTGGTCCATGGACCCCCGGCCCATCATAGCACTTACGTCAAGAGACTTCCGGTTCGAGAGCACCCGATTCTGCTGCTCCATTGTCGGCATCATTGAAACAGGACGCTCTTGTGGTCGTGGTGGGGCTGCCTTCTCTTGAGGCGGAGGGGGCGGCACATTCAGATGTGGAGGAGGTGGGGGTGCATGCTGATGCGGCGGAGCCTGAGGTGGAGGAGGTGGCTTATCATGTGACTTCCGTGGCGGAGACGAGTACAAATCGTCTTCATCGTCCGACTGAGGTGGTTCCCTTGACGGCAAAGGAGGTATTGATGGGGGTAGAGGCGGAGGTGGCCGATTCTGCGGAGGTGCAGGCTGACTTTGGGGTGGCGGCGGTACTGCCCTAGGTGCTGCAGGTGCTGCACCTGGGGGACCGACATATCGGAAAGGATCATAGTCGTCATCATCCTCATCTACTGGCATACTGCGAGCAGGTGGCGGCCCAGGTGGGGGAGGAGGTACACCACGGGGAACATCTGTCGATGTTCGGCTGGGCACTGGGGGTGGTGGTGGTACAGCTCGCGGCCCTGTGGGAGGTAGGGGCGGCATACCGTGAGGAATGGTGGGCGACCGTGCCGAAGCTGGCTCGTCTGTTGCGTTGTCCTCGAGACTGGAACTCCTAGCATGCGATTTCAGAGCATCCTTATGAGTAGCATCGGGCGCAATATCAGTGTCGTAGTCTCCTTCGTAGTCAGTCTCGCCCTCCGTTCGATCAAGCTTTCTTATCGGCAGTTCTCCATGGCGAGAAGGAGGCGCCTGTGTCGGTGGAGGGGGTGGAGGAGGGCGAGTTGCGTGTGGAGATGCAGGGTCCGCTAATGGAAGGGGTGGTACGCGTCTCTCAGACATGTCGTGGGGTTGCTCGCCAGTAGCAAAGTACGAAGCCCGCCTTGCTGCAGTTGCAGGTGAGAATGGGGCAGGTGGCGTTTTGACATCAGGACCATCTGTCAATTCGTCGCCTGACTCAGATCCTGGGCCAGGAGACTTGACCTGGGGAGGAGGCAAAGGTCGAGCTGCACACAGTTAGCAGATGGCAAGATTTTGGAGGTGGTTTGTCGCACATGCTGAAGGTACTGGAGGAGGTACAGGACGCCCTGTAGAATGTTAACGACAAGCCACGAGACAAACCATGGGAACCAGCTCCTAGCACACATACTAGACACGCATACAGTCATGACATATTCCGACACAGCGTCGTACGTTATGTACGTCTTGCACAGTGTTTCGGAAAATGGCAGTTGCAGGCAGTCTTGGGTAGGATGCGCAAAAGAGTGGATCGGCTTGCGAGGGATGAGGAACTTACTGTCTGATGGAACGGGTGGAAGTTGCTCGCTGGTGGGTGTCGGCTGGACTGTCGATGATGCGACATCCTCTACATCAGGGACCTCTTCGGCTGGATGAGAAGCAGTGACCGGTTGTGGTACCTCTTCCTCCTTCTCTACATAAAGCGTTCTGTCCTCAGCTGGTTCCGGACTCCGGACGGGTGGCATACCAGGCAGACCGAACATGGGAATTCGCTGCTGGGGAGAAGAGTACTCTTCGGTTTCTTCTGGCTTCTTGTCAAGTATCGGCTTCTTTTTCTTCGGGGGAAGAGGCGCCATTGGAGGACCCCCAAACATGCCAGGCATACCCATGCCGCCGCTCATTTTTGCCATGCGCTGCCGCAATTCTAGCTTCCGTCTTGTCTCGGCGTCCATCTCGTCCTCTTCCTCGTCCTCTTCTTCAGCCACGTCCTGCTCATCGCCCACGTCCGGCTCCTGTGCTGGAGCGGCAGCAGCCCGGGGTGGAGGCGGAGGCGGATGTCTGCTCTTTGGTCGCTCCTCATCATCTTCGACGCTGGTGGACTCTCCCCCAGCATCCTCAGTCTCGCCAGCACCTGATTGGTCGGCATCGTTCTCGCTGAGAAGTTCGCGGTTGGGAGATTTGATATCGTGGGATGACCGTGGGGGGCGGGTCTGGTCCATTGATGGCCGGCTCTTGGACGCTCCACTGACAACGCGTTCAAGGTCAGTATTCTCGCTGTCTTCGGCTTGAGCGTCTTGCGACTGGGTTCGCTTCGCCACCGGGGGCCTCTTGGGCTTCTCTTTGTGCATGGCAGCCGCTCTCTCGGCCTGTTCCTGCTGCTGCTTCTGTAGGAGGGCGATTCGTTCTTTCAAGCTGACTTTTGGCTGCTGTTCCTCCTCGCCTTCATCCTTGGGGCCGCCTTGGGCAAGTCCAGCACGCTCCGCATCATTCTGGTCTTGTGCCTGACGTGCTGCAATTTCTGGGTCTTCCTCGCGGCGGTACGTCTTGATAGGCGGAGTCTCTCGCGTAGGAGGTATGTATGCATTCCGACTTGGTGGGGGAGCGATGAACGGCTTCTTGATAAAGTTGGTTGGGGGACCAGAAGGCTTAAAGGGCTGAATTGGCGCAGCAGCCGGGGCATTGAAGGCAGCAATGCGGTCCCGAAAGGCATTGGACTTGGAGGCGACAGGCGGTGGGACCTTCTTCGCGGGCGGTGCCGGTTTGGGGGACTCGGACTGGCCATGGAGGGCTTCTTGGGCTCGGGCACTAGACGCCGACGGTGGAGAGATGGGCGACATGGGCAGCGGAGTTGATTTGGCGGCGGCCGGCACCTCTATTGGAGGCGGCTGAGGTTTTGGTGCCTCAGGCTCCTGACGCGGCGCGGGTGCCGGCTCAGGCTCTGATGGCGAGAGCTGAGGCATAGGAGGGGCTTCCTGTGCCGGCGGCTGCTCCATTGGCTTGTGTCGTGAGGCTCGGTTGGGTCGTGGAGGCGGCGCAGGCTCATATCGCTCGACAAAGTTCCTGGGGAAGAGACCATCGCGCTTGATACCGCTGTCGTCGGTGTATTCGCCCACGTACCAATCGTCGCCCTCCTCTTCGGTTACGGAGATGATCTGGCCGACCTTGAAGTCCAAGTCATCCTCGTGGGGAGACGAGTAGTCGTAGATAGCCTTTACTTTGTACATGGTGACAGCTGTATTCCCTGCTCAGGTGCGCTACGAGCTAAGGCTACGGGAAATTGGGGGGAGCTTGGTGGGTGTGGTGCGCGGCGAGGGGTGGGTTTAGCTACGGCGAGAGCGTCGTCAGTCTAAGACGGGGCGGAAAGCGCGGAAGAAATGGATGCCTACCATTCACTGCTTGCAGCCATGCAGGTCGTGCTCCGGGCAAGTGGTAGGAGAAAGAAGAGGGCTGCTGCAGGCCTCGTTGGAGGTATGGTGACGAAGCTCAAACATAGCCCCGCGCAACATTGGGCGCTGCTTGGCGTGCGCCTAACAGGTCCACTTCCTTCACATAGTAACGACGATCCTACACCAACACGGACGCAGCCGCGCATACAGATAGACGATGCAGCCCAAGTCGATACTCAAGAAGACGACGGTCTCTACCGACGCACCGCCGGGCAGAAAGCCAGTCAATCCGCGCCATCTCGCCGTCGCACGCCATCATGCTACTGTTCTTGAGGACCGCAAACGCGTCGAGACCGAGGTGCTTGAGGCCGTCATGATACTGATGGACTTTCCCACTTCACCAAATGCCGACCCTAAACGGCCCTCGCCCGATGATGCTCTTTTCTTTCAGAAAGCAGTCATACCATTTCAACCCGCCGACTACGATGCGCTTATCGAAGAGCGCAATATCGCGGACAAGTGCGGTTATGCCTTGTGCTCACGTCCAAAGAAGAAGGCACGGTCGACGGCAAAGAAGCAATTTATCGATACCAAAGACGGCGTGCAAATTGTGGATAGGAAGGTGCTGGAGGTGTGGTGCTCCGACGACTGCGCGAAGCGGGCGCTATACGTCAAAGTGCAGCTCAATGAAGAGCCAGCGTGGCTGCGTTCGTGTGGATACGGAGAAAAAATCGAGCTCATGGTGGAAAACAGCGAGGAGCATCGATTAGCCCTGCCCCTACGTCCCAAGCAGGAAAGCGCGACCAAGGTAGATGCAGAAGAAGAGGACATGAATGCCGCCTGGGCCGCGCAAGAAGCTGCCATTGCGCATCTAGCTCTCGAGCGTGGAGAGAAGCCAGGCCAGGCCACCAAGGCAAATAGCGACCTCATTCAAGATCAGATTGTCGAGCGTGTATCTACCAACGCACCACCACTGGCACCATCGCTTGCACAGGCATCCAACCACACCATGGCTATCGAAGGCCACGTTCCTCGCATCAACAGAAAAGACAAAGACAGTGATGACGATAAAGACGACGAAGATGACGGGCAGGACTGGGACAAGCATCTACCTGGCTGAGGCGATGCTATTTGTGAGGCATTGTTACACGGATAGCCATGCACCAGAACCGCTGCTTGGCACCCCCAGACCTTCGCGAGAGACCTGATCAGCTACAGACTGCATCCCAGGACAACAAGCTCGGTGAAACGGCTGGAAGTCGCGGACCATCAATCTATTTGATGCGAAGATGTGATTGGGGACATATGCATGGAAGTCCTGCCCACGTACTGCAAACTGCGGTTATCTAGGGAATTGTGGGAGAATCAATTGAACTGAGGATACTGGCAAGTTTCAAGGAAATATTATAAATGATTGTAGAAAAAAATCTCAAAAGTCAATGTCACATCTCATCTCATGCATCAGAATCCGCGGAGGTGAGCACAGACCATCCGCAAATCCATCTCGACATTTGCTCCCACACGGAAATCACGACTCAGCCGCCATTAACGCCAGCACGCGGCTGTCGCAGCGCCAACATGTCTCTGAGCCGCCAATCGCTCTCGCCCACAGCCAATCTGCTCCGAAACTCCCGCCTTTTCTCACTGCCAAATCCCCTCCCACGGCCGCACGTTGCTGAGAGCTACGGCGCGGGCGTCATCAGAGAATCCGACACTGCGACGCTGCCCTATCCGACCCACCAAGCCATTGCCACAACAAAGCCCTCGCTTGCACGCGGTGATTGGGGTCTGAAGCGGCCGATTCCATCAAGGAGTCATATTGTGCAAGTTAGCGACCCGGTGCTCAAGGTCACGCAATTGGATACCATTGAGCATGTCACGGATTTCGACTCTGCAGCCGACCATGTGCGGACAAGGCAAAAGTGGGAAGAGATGGGTGTGCCGGTGATGAAAGGCATGACGCAGATGCGAGACCAGGACTTGAGTGGAACCCCGCCATCCGGAGCTTTTGAGATTCGCGATGACACTACGAGTTATGACACTGACTTGGGCCTGGATGAGGCGGGGCTGTACCTCAAGGCGCTTAAAAAGAACATGCCGTCTGAACGCGCCAAGGCCCAGTGGGAAGTCTTCAATGCAACGTGGAAGGACAAGTGGGAGGAGAAGAAGGCGAGTTGGAGGAGTCAAGGGTGGGGTGAGCAACTTACAGACTTTGAATCTACGCAAAAGAAGGCGGCTGAGGGGAGGGCTCAGCTCCGCGAACATCATAAGATACTGTACGAGACAGAGTCAAGAGCTTTCCGTACGCGCTGGGATGCGGAATTGGCTACGAAGGAGGCCGACTGGAAGGCACGTGGCTTGACGAACCCTGAGCATCCAGGAAGGGTTGCCGAGGCCAACGCCTTCAAGGAACTAGAGAGAAAAGCAGCGGCTGACTTGCAGAGACGATGGGGGGAGAAAGAGGCAAGACTCGCAGAACAGACTCCCGCCAACATGCCTTGGCTATTGGATTTCACCGCCTTTGCACGAGAGCAAGATGGAGCCAAGAGGGCCCTTCGACAAGAACTTGCCGCTACTCCTTTCACGCCCCTCACGCGCCCACCTGTCGATCCCATCGTGCACAACACCAAACGGTGGAAGCACGACGGCCCGTGGCTCCCCGGCATGGGCGCCGATGATTTCGCCACTTACCTATCCAAGCAAATCACCGCACGCAAGAAGGAATTCCAAGCCTACCTAGTCGAATACGTAAAGACTGAAATTTACAGATCCCGCCGCCAAGCTGCCACCAAAACCAGTCCTGAAGGAATGCCACTCGACCCCCAAGAAGCCGAGGCCTGGCTCTCCACCCAAGAGAAAACATGGCGACACATCACCGACTCCCAGATCCAAGCTGGCATCAAAGCGCTCCGCAAGGAAACCGCAAACGATCCCCTAGCCTCGAAACTCGTCCGCAAACTCATCCTCCCCTTCCTCAAACTCCCCGCCATCAAATTCAAACACAAAGCCTTCCACAGGGACGCCGCTTCCCGCGACATCGACGCATACATATTCGACCAGGAAAGCGCACCATTATCAACCCACCCGTCCGCTGGTCTGGGCTACCTCCGCACAAAATCTTACATTGCAAACCACCCCATTCTCGGTCCCCAGGCTAATCCCGCTCCCATCACCGCCCGTGTCGTTCAAGCCAGGCGCACAGCTTACAAGAATGAAAGTTACGCCCGCCTCGGTGTGGGCGGCTTCGTTGCAAACGACCAGTTCCGCAGCACGGACACGCGTCCCGGGGCTAGATTCGGGGACAACGCCAAAGACGTGGAGACTATTGATGTGGATACGCCTGGTGGCAAGAAGATTCTTGTCCACCCGCTCTTTGCTAGTGTGAGTAATGATGGTAGGATCCATGTTAAGATTGCCAGAGCAACCGGGCCTGAAGGTGCGGTCGCTAGGGGCGAGTTGGATGATAGACCCCCGGTTAGAGAGCCCTTGGAGAGTGATCCACTGAGGGATTTGGGGAGTATGGGCAGGAGTGGGGTTAAGGAGTTGGATGCGATGAGTGGGGAGGCGGCGGCGTTGGACCAGTTTTTGAGGGCGGAAGGTCAGGGGAGGGGGTCGCCTGGAGCGGGGTTTCCTGGCGTGTCGCAAGCTTTGAGGGGGGAGTAGGGGTGTTGTGATGGAGAAGGGGGAGAGATGTGGATGCTTGTAGTATAGTGGTTTGTATGAATATTCACGATTGGAATATGTGATAAAGTCTCCTTTCTCTCAGACTTCTGAGCATATATGTTTCTCTCTGAAAACCAGATGTTTTCCAGTATAACGGTCTGAACAATATGTATCGTAATGGCAAAGCTCCGTTGCGTTGATACAAGGCAGTCAATCTGTGGAATACATTAAAGGACATCTACTGTTCCTTGTCGAGCCACGACCCATGCCTACTATACTGTCTTACTTTCCTCCAAGCCTGCTAATTTCAAATCACGTATCAGCTATTGAATCCTACCAGGCTTGTTGTTACCCTTTGGTGATAGAGGGACTCCGTTGTGTACATGATCGACAATCATCAGGGTCTCGGAACATATCCCTCTATCCCCCACAGGCCATAGACATGTCCACCACAGAAAAGCCAATCGGTGCAAAACCCTCCTATAATCCTCTCTTCTCTTGTGTTAGATGCGGATGTGTGAGGCCTCAATATATTCCGGTTCCAGACTACGATTCCTCCATAAACTACCTACAACCCTTCGGGGAGATTTATACCCGCCACCGCTTTGTCATCCCCACTCCATCATGTATATATCCCCCGGAGGCACGTGACTAAGCTATACTACATGTAGGCCAGACACGTTGTAGCCTAGTCTACTGTGTCTTGGCAAAGTTGGTGGTGACGTTGTTCAGCTTCCCATGTACCCCTGTAGCAAGGGTTTTCTGCATTGCTTATGGGAGAATGGGGTCGATGTCTCAGGGCATTGCGGGTGAGACGAGTGATTCCGAATGTGAGGGATGGGGTTGAGCTGGTAGGGTAAGCGGGGTGCGTCTCGGGGCACGGCGGGTGAGAGACGTGAGCGTTGATGTTTAAGTGGTGGGGTTAGCGAGGTAGAATTTTGGAAGTGTGCGGAAGAATGTAGGTAGGGTAGGAGGGAGAGAGATACACTAAACTAGTGTGTTTGGGCCCGAAGACACGGGTTGGGCTAGGTTGGGTTGGGTTGCGGTAAGTGCGGGTGTGTGATATTTGCGGAGTTATGAGGGGTACGAAGGTCAATGATGGAAGCAACGGTCTTGTCAGAAAATTCTGCTCTTACCATCACGCTCCTTTCAAGTCGTTCACTCGTACAGTAGCTGTGTTGCGGCAGCTGACGTACATTTATTGATATCGTGTGGCTAGTATAAGGTCCGGACTGAGTGGGTCTGACGCTCGCAGCGGTTCTCCAGCCGCCCGTCGGGCCTTTGCGCCTTCGTTAATCTGATAAAAGCCAGATGAAATGCGTGTGGGTGGCCGTACGTGTGGCTGAGTGGCTGTGTGATAACGAGTGGTGCTAGAATTGGTACGCCTTAAACTACTTATAGTTTAAGCCATCGAGGCGCTGTGGCTCAAGCAGGAACATCGGTAGAGGGTCGATATTAGCCGGGCTGGTTGATGTCAAAGTACGGTGAAGTGATATGTTAATAGTAGCGTAGAAACATGTGTGAATCCATTGGAAGTTTGTGTAGAGTGGCGAGTTTGCGCCTAGAAGGATGCATGGAGTGGTGTACTGATGGCGCTCTGGCCACGTACGTCGCTGAAGCCATCTCTGATCACTCCATCTCTTTGTCACGAGCGTTCAGTCGGAAGAGTCACACAAGCATACGTGAAGCCGCTCAATGTTGTGGCCGTGCCTGCCTAATCTAGCACCATCCCCTTTGGGACCCATCTGCGAAGCGCAAATAGCGGTGTCGCAGATTGAAAGCAGGGTTTTGATTCCGCCAGAGGCGCAATTGATTTGGGAATCAAGAATCCCGACACCCAAAAGAGCAGAACGGTATAGTTGGTCTGCGCACCTTCTAGGGCTGATGGCTGAAGCTACGGTCAATCGGAGGACTGGGGACCAGGGGTAGGTCGAAATAACTTTTGACCAAGACTCATCGCATACAGCCATTCGGAGTTGAGGGTGGTGGAAATTTGTAGTAGTGAGGTTCGGTAGTGGGGACGGCGGATTGCGGACCTACTTTGGGTGCAAGAACATGAGCCGGCGCTAAGGGACGGCGCGATACTGTGTGGAAGGTGCTGACAGGAGCGAATTGATGATGGTAGGCACGATGCGTCCCGACTGCTCTTTCCCGACTTCGGATGGCTCAAGGCAACAAGGTGGCATTATGAGCTCACATGCTCAGCAGTTCGCCTCCCAACAAACATTGATGCCGCCCAGCTGTTAGCGCATCCTTTGCGACAGACATGTGCTATCGCGCGCAAAAACTCAAGCCCGCGCAATATACTCGCGATGTTGCGATGTCACCGCGCGGTGCATGAAGCCAGCCTGCGAACGATGCGTTCTACTATTCGCGTGGGTGCATCCTTTTAGCGCCCGTCGTACAGGCCGTCGTACAGTGAAGCCCCACCAAAGCAGTCGAGCCGGCTGGCAAACTTCCCTCCACCCATATCATCATCAACGCAAAGTGAATAATATGGTCGGGCATTGGGCGCCGATCAGCAAATCCCCGGCTCCTGGTGCCTGGCATGGACGCCCACCACCACCACCACCACCGTACGGGAATGACTGCATAGCCCCCACCTCGATTCGTCAGTCTTCCAACTTCCATCGCTCAGCTGAGGACCACACAGTCAGTGCGGAACTCATTCACTGGCATCAGCAGCAGCACGTACCCGTTGCAACATGAATGTGCACGTCGCAAGGCGTGCCCACCAAACCCGAGCTTAGGAAAGTGGGTGGGTTTGTTAGTTATGGCCGGGTGCGCTCGAGCACCGACTGCTTACCATTGCTGCCCATCGCGTTTGAGACACATTTTGCGGCCGCGCGGACGAGTAAACCGGCTTGCGGACTCGACAGGACGGCCTTGCGCCCAATGGCAGCGGCTTTGTCTCCATTTTGGCGTCCTGAATTTCCTCAGGCACAGAATACAGGCCGCCGTCAGGGTCCACTTGGGCTGGCCGCTGTCTTTCGGGGGGCAGGCTGTGCAATTCACCGCTGCGCAGCCTGGAGAAACGGCCCCAGGGCGCCCGGATCATGTTCATGCACTATCTTCTGCCCCTCGCTGCGGCCTAGCAATGGTGAATTTTTCTGCACACCCGTTTCGGTACTCGATGCTAAGTCCCCTTCCTTGTCCACCTGTTGCGCTCATTTCAGGCTACAATCTGCGCCTCCTGGCACTTAAGAACGTACCCTCGCCCAGTAGGGCGCACTTGGTTTCTCAAGTTGCATATACTCTCCTGCACTATCCCTCGGCACATCACTTCTGCTGTCTATAATTACAATACCGCCCCTCTGACTCTTTCGCTTTTCGTCCACACCTCCTTCAAGTGACGACTACACTCCCCCATCTGTCACCGCTCACAATCACGCCGCCCGCCACCTACGCCCTTATTTCAGCCGTCCCCGCCGTCCAAGGAATAAAGGACATCCAACACAATACCTCCTGGTCTGATTCTTCTTCAACCGTACCTTCAACCAACCCACTCCAACATTCTTGTCACTGCCGGCACAACCAATTTCGTCCATTGCCGACACTATTCCACTTCGGACAAGCTCATCTTCTCAAAGCCTCCAGTCCAACCGTTGCAGGGGTTGCGACAAGGAGACTTGGACCATTGATATATCAAGGACTTTCAATTTCAACCCTGCCAATTCCACGCTACCACCATGTGTCGAATCGAGGAGCGTATCTACATGGGCCGCGATGGAGTGCGGACCAGTTATGATGTCCATTACCCGTGCAGCAAAGAGCGCAGTGACAGGACATGCCCTGATGCCACAAGGACGACTAAATGGTCGAGCCATAGGAGAGAATCCTTCTCCCGTGACAACACTCCCTCACCAATAAACCCGCCAACTCCTACAAGCTCTGGTACATATCTGGTGCAACAACGTCGTCCATCTGGTAGTGGTAGTCGCCCATCCACTCGTGACGGCCAGAGGACTATCAAACCGGAGATTGTCATTGAATTCGGAGCAAAGAAGGGTAAAGGCAAGAAGTATCCTTCCGTCTCAGTTTCTTCCAATACATACAACCGGACCTCACTTGGTTCCCTCGGGTCCAATGATGCAGCCATTGATTCTCCGGGCTCTGAGTCTTCGTACATCTATCGGACCGGGTTCCCGGAGGCTACATTGCCTCCACCGTCCGCCTTTAGTCAGCCAAACAGCTACATCGCGACTCCCACCGCATCCCATGGCTATCATCATCGGCCAACCCCGTCGGCCTCCTCTAGTCAGACGCCGTCACTATATGTCACCTCCGACCCTGAACTTGACTATGATCCACCGACTCCTCGCCAGCGTACAAGATACCCCCCGACGATAATCCACAACCCACCTACTGCTGCTGCTCCCCCTTCCCCATCTCGCCGTCGTGCTGGAGATTCCTCGGGTTTACGTCAGACCACCAGGGTCACTCCACGTGTCTTTTCCGATGATCCATATGGGCCGGAAGGTCTTCGTCCATTTGATGATGACTTGGCAGATCGATCTGGTTCGTCTCACGCTAGTTCAGGGGCATCTGACCCCACCCGCCGCCCCAAAGTCAGCGACGAGCGACGCAAGAAGAAGAGCGAAGACCAACGTCGTCAAGAAGAGTTGGACCGACAGTTGGCTGAGAACATTGCGCAAGAAGACAACATTAAGCAGGTGCGATTTGAACTAGGTCGTCCAGCAGCTCGCACACAGGAGAGAGCAGAGCGACTACAAGCTGAGAAGGAAAAAGAGCGAGCCACCGCACGCGAGGAGGCTCGCGCCGCCAAAGAGATGGAAAGGCTTCAAGCTGAGAAAGAGAGAGAGCGAGCCGCAGCACGGGAGGAAGCTCGACGACGCAAGCACGAAGAGCATGAACGGGAACGCCTAGCACAAGAGAAGAAGGAACGGGATGACAAGATGGCAAGAGATCGCAAGAAGGAAAAATCCAAGCCTCCAACGAGTGATGTCTTCAACAAGCGACCATCGGGCACGCGCCGAATGTCAAGCTCTTCCATGACTCCTGAGATGATGGCAGAAAAGCGCCGTCTTCTTGAAGCCGAGAACATCCAGATGCAGGCTGAGAAGCAAGCCGCAGAGGAGCGTGAGCGCGAGGAGAGACTGGCAGCTGTCAAACTCCAACAAGAAACGCCAGCTTACTACGACCCTCGCTCTGGAATGGGGCGAAGAGGCTCCGTCACCCGCCACGACAGTGTTACCCGCCCATCTGGTATGACCCGATCAAACAGCAAGCGTCGTACGAGCATCTCCCAGCAGACATCCCCTAATCTTAGCACCCAAGTACCCGAAACCCCCTACTCCACCCGGGCCCCCAGCTCAAGAACAAAAGCCCCGCCCCCACTCTCCTTCCCGTCAAACTTCCAGCAACCCACTACCCGGCCCCCATCCTCATCTCGCCGCCCCTCCTTCTCCCAAGACAACCCCTTCGCCGCACAGCCTCCCCGTACCCCTGCCGAAAATCCCTTCGCGCACACGTCAGCAATGTCACCGTCGCTCGCACAGGACCCCTGGGATCTGCGCACAGTGGAAAACTCGCTTCCTATCGCGCCACCACCACGTCCGACAAATGAAGCTCGCTACCAAACTATCCAGCCTCGCGAACCGACTCGTCCGTCTGCTAGACAGGGTCCCGTGTATGCGGATGCATTTGATACTGGGTCTGATAGTCCTGAGGACCTTGCGCCGGCTTATACGACGAGGACGGGGTTGAGTCGAAGGAGCTCGACGTCCAAGGGGACGAAGAAGAAGCATTAGTTTTTTCTTTATCTGTTGAATCTTTCCATCGCGATGTTTTCTAGTTGTATGTTACTGTTTGATGTTTCGGTTCATGGCTTTTGCTCGTTTTATACCCTTCATATGGCTGCTTGGTTGCACTTGGTACGATCGATGGTCTTTGTTATAGAAATATATACCCCTGTACGTGTTATGTTGGATGTTACGAGGAGTTATGTAGTCATATAGCTATGTAGGTTTTAACAACAAGGATGTTTATGATACACTTTGTACATTTCATGCTCTCTTCGTGGTAATCTTGATGTTTGGCTACTTGGCTTTGCTCGCTATTGTATCCTCTGTGGTTTTCCTGTGTCACCTAGGCGTGTAAGTATGTATGTACGCCGTGTGCTAAGACAAGGTCACGTGATATATTCGGTGGCATAGGGTCTTAGCAAAATCTACTACCTATCGAGCCCAATGCTCAGGTCTGGTACCCTATCTTGCCTTTCCTTCTTTCTCAAAGTACGAAAAGATCCACTGAAAATCCCAGATCCGAACTCCCAAAAAATAAATTAACGCCAATCCCTCAATCATCCCGATCTCTTTCTGGTCGACCTCCGGGGCTCTTTCTTCTTACCTCCCTCCTCGAGCCCCTGGTCACGCATGCGTTTCCACTTCTTGTTCTCCTCCGTGGGTTCTACAGGCTCAACTTTGATCTCTTTGCCGGCACCCTCGGCGACGTCTCCGTCGAGAGCGGTGTCCGCCATGTTGAACGTGAGACCAGTGTGCATGGCCGGCACGGCAGCGGGGGCTGGGACTTCATCTGTCGCACCGCCCTCTGAATCTTCCTCTTTTATTATGGCGGCGTCCGGCTCCGACGAAGGAGTGGATGGGTTGGGGGTTCCTGGCTCTTGTGGTGGTTGTGCTGTTTCCTGTTGCGCCGCCTTTATACGCTCCTGCTTTACGTGTTCCCGTTTCTGATACACACACACACACACACACACACACACACATTATTTATGTTCTTTGGAAAGGCAACACAAGGCGGCTCACCTTTTGTAGCTCTCGCTCGAACTTTGTAATAATTTGGCTGAAGTATTCGGCCAGATCCTTGCGCATGTCGTCGTTCAAGCCTCGCAGTTTCTCGCAATCGATGGCGGTTTGGGGGCGAGTCAAAGCCATGGTGCGGAGTGCGCAATCAATGATCATCTCACGGGGGTGCAAACCCTCATGGTTAGCTAGCTTGTCGCGCCCATCGAGCAGGAGCTTGTACAAATTTTTGGATACTGGATCGAGGTTCTTCGGCACGTTGTGATCCTCTGCCATAGAGAAGAACCATTTGGCCTCTGGGTTATTCCCACCTGGGTGGAGGGGCTGTAGTCGAAGCTCACGAGCATCTAGGAATCCTTTCTTCAAAAACTCTTCAAATGTGTAATAGTCTTCTGAATAGGCTGGTAGTGGTGGACAAGGGCGTATTTTCAGTCACTTCGCATTCATACGATAGTAGAGCATAATTCCCGCATATGGGTCGGCTGCCGCGTACGATTTCATGTTGGCTGTCATGGGCGAGAGCCAGTCCTTGCGCTGTCCTGAGTCTTTGATCAAAGTGTAGCCATGGAAATGCTCATTCACGAGTCCCCCCATACCTCCTTTCGTATAATATGTCTTGAAATTCATTCTTTCTTCGTTAATCAACACATTAAGGTAGCTGAGCTCCATAGCACCCCTAGGCTGGAGACCGAAGTGTTTGCGCAATCTAGCGAGATCGCCTATTATGGAATAGCCAGTCTTCACTATGTCCCGATTCTCAATGATCTTGCGCAGTGAGGGCGCCAGAACTTCGCTAGCTCTTTTCCCGAGATGCCGGCCAATGTGGAAGACGGCTATCTTGCTTTCAGTCGCGACCCCGATGACTGACACTGCCTCTTGTAACGGGATATTATTCTTGCGTTCTGGATAGATCCATTGCATATCGAATCCCAAGACGCTTTCGTTGAGAAACATGCTTGCCAGTTTTTCGGAGTCGTCATAGTTGTCGCTGTAGAACTCCTGCGGGGGCTGGTTATCGGGTCCTCGGAAGAGCCTTGGACTGAATGTTCGTCTGTTAGGATCCTGATTTTCTGGAAGTCTGAACGAGCATGGCCATTGGGGTTCCACAGCGGGTGTTAATGTCGCCATTGCGAGATGTTAGGGAGTTGTGGATGGGATGGAGAACACTGCAGCAAATATGAGATGAAGGGGTTCCAAGTGGGCTGAATAGTTACCCCTGGTTTTGTACTAGCGTCGAGGTCCCTGGCTTGGCCGTCTTTCGGCCCGCAGCACGACCTCGGGACCCTTGAGCTCGGGCGATATCCGCCTTTCCCTTTGGGCATCGTTCTTTCAGCCCGCATGCACAACGTCGAGCGGTGCCATACCGCCTGCCGGTATAGAGATGGACGGAGCATGTTCGTTGCTAAAAAAAAATGGCCCTACATCTTCGACATTTCCACGTTCACTGGCATACCTTCTCTATGTCGACCACGTCGAGCCCCGCGATGCCAGCCGGCATCGTCGGAAGGCTGACGATACGTACTAGCGTACAAGGGCATTCGAGATCGACGCATAAAAGCTAACGTTAAAACACTTGAGGGGTCATCTTTTGTGGTAAGGCCAAATCCACGATCGAAGAGAATTCTCAGCCGTGGTAACGCTGGTATCTCGAGATATAGATAAGCTTTTGTGACAAGATATGTCCTGTAAGTTAAGGTTTGGGTTGTGAACGTCACATAGCCACTAGTCCCGAGTGAACAGGATGAACTTTCCTTGTGTAAGTGTACTGGTCTTATAGAACAACTACATATCGCAGTGGGAGATCATGCTCCACATCCGAGCAGGGTGACGTTGACCGGTCTTACTTACAGGGCATCGGCGTTACTACCACCCCCATTATACTTAGTACCGCAACATACATACAAGAGCTGACAGTCCCCACAAAGTTTGCTTAAAATTGACCCCACCTTCCAAAACATCTTCTGATACCCTTCACAAGTCGGAACACTCTTCATTTACATCCCAGGTCACAAACTCCGGGGTTTCGCGCTTCGTTACTTCACGAGCAGAGTCGTGCACTATGAAAATGTGGGCACCGACAATTGCCTGCACTATCCTCCTATCAACAGGCCTACTGGCACAAAAAACATTCGAGACACCCGACATTGACGTCGCAGAGGCACTACTGGTGAACGGCGTGGATATTTCGACCATTCCGGAACTGGCAAACAGATCCACAAAGTCCTCCACATGCTTTTGTTCGGTAAGCACGCTTCAAGCACAACGTACATCTCTGCTTATACCATACATAGTGTCAAGTCCTCAAACGTATCTTTGGTAGTAATAAGGTTGAAGATCGGGAAACGCTTTCGTACAGTGCGGCAATAAACTACTTCTATGCGGTCCAGCAGCGGGACGCAAAGCCGATCTGCATCTTCAGACCCGAGGAAGCCCTTGATGTGTCGTCTTTGATACTTCTTTCGCGTCTTACCCAATGCCCATTTGCAGTACGAAGCGGAGGTCATGCGGCATTTGCAGGTGCATCAAGTATTGACGGCGGTATCACGATTCTTTTCGAACGAATGAAGCAGCTTACTCTCTCCAAAGACAAGAAAATCGCTTCGATACAACCTGGAAACCTCTGGTTTGACATCTATAAGACCTTGGCAAAGGACAATCTTACCGTAGCAGGCGGCCGCGTCGGTGACATCGGTATCGGAGGCCTGGTTACCGGTGGGGGCATTTCATGGATCGCAAATCAACAGGGTTGGGCGTGTGACAACGTCGCCTCATATGAGGTCGTTGTTGCTTCGGGTCGCATCGTGACAGCGACCCCCACTGAGTTTCCAGATCTATATTGGGCGTTAAGAGGCGGAGGCAACAACTTTGGTATCGTTACCAAGTTCAACCTCGAAACCTTTCCTTATGGGATGATGCTTGGCGGAACAAGAAGGTTCGCCGAGTCCAGTTTTCCTGCAGCAATTGATGCTTTTGTCAATCTGGGCAGGAATGCTGCAGTCGATACCAAGGCTGCGTACTATATGGCCGCTGGATTGATTGCTTCCTCCAACACCAGGCTGATGTTGGCCGAACTCGTATATACGGACCCCATATTGGACCCTCCAATCTACGAAGAGTACCGCAATATTCCAGCTATTTCAGACGGCCGAAAGATCGATACTCTTGCCCATTTCACGCTGAAGATCGAGAGTTCGAATCCGAAAGGCTTTCGACAGACATTCTGGACTATATCATGCAAGCTGGATCGAGATATGGTCAAGTTCATAGCGGATGTGGGGTTTGAAGAATTTGAAAAGTTGCGAGATGTCGCAGATATTCTACCAGTGAATGTATTTCAAGTCATCACCGTCCCGCAACTCGAGCAGATGCAGAAGAATGGCGGGAATGCACTCGGTCTATCACCCTCCGATGGACCCATCCTTCTCTGCTCGCTGAATACTCGCTGGACCAACATCAAGGATGATGAGTTGGTGTTAAAGTCACACGCCAAGATAGTCAAAACGATGCAAGCGGAAGCGAAACGGAGAGACTTGGCCATTGACTACGTCTACATGAACTATGCTAGTCCGTTTCAGGACGTTATCTCAAGCTACGGAAAGAACGCAGAGAAGTTGAGGCGCATTGCACTCAAGTATGATCCTACTGAAGTGTTTCAGAAGTTGCAGCCGGGCTACTTCAAGCTACATGGGCCACCTAATCCCATCTGGCCATAGGAGGCCTTTGAGGCGAAGTTAGACGTACAATCATGGCATCAATACCACCAGTCGTACTACTAAGAACCTAGTCAAGTCTGTGAAAGTTAGGATAGGAACATCACAGTCTTTACATGTATCCTGAGGACTTGAGCGGGGATTTCGGCCCCAAAACTGTGTCGCATAACCACATGAGACGTCATCTACCCCACCTTCTTGTCGACTTTATTGCATCTTCCATCACTACGTCCGAGGTGAAACCTTCTCAAATATTCTTCTTTAAATACACCGAACGATAACTATCCTGATGCAATGAATTTCAAACATACTGCTCCCAAAAACTCGCCGTACAGAGAACAGGCACTCGCATCCGACGAAATACGTCTTCTTACCATAGGATCGACTGATGGCACGCTGTTACTACGCGTTGAGCCCCATGACCTCGAAAACATCATTCAATATGACGCCATATGCTACGTTTGGGGAAAGGCAGAAGCCTCGGTGAGCATAACTTGCAACGAAGGCCAAGTTCTCGTTACACCGATCGTTCATGAGATGCTCGAATATGCCTCGCACGATCGAACCTAAACCGCCATCGCCTCCTAGCTGGTATCCCAGCTTTTCAGGTACTTCGGCACATACATTCATCTTGAAGAATGACTGTAATGATCCGTTGAGAGATCATTAGAAAGGCATTCTAGAAGAAGAGATGGCAGAAAAAGAAAAGGAAACTGCGGGAACCAGTCGAGATATTAAACTACGCGCGTGACCTGGTTCCCAGATGCCCCCGCGGTTTTCTCCAGATGACGATTATCTACGATTTTCCGGTATGACTTTGGGTATAGTAGCGGAAGTCATAGAAGACCCTAGGCTGTTCGATGCTCAAAGTTACATTCATGACACGGATAACAAGCGCGGCCCTCTGCACAAGGTAGTTTTGCATTTCTACTCTCGTACAATTGATCTAGCGAATAGTCTAGTCAGGGACGAAAGTAAGATGGGCAAATTTCTCGCCAGAGACTTTCTGATGTGTATCTTACTAGATACTAGGACTAGGATGAACATAGAAGAAGGCTTGGTACTTGGTTGGAGAGAGTTCGTGGGTAGGTGGGTATCACGTGAAGAGCAAACGCCTGTTCTCCCCCCTAAGCTGCAATTTCTTGTCACTCTTCTGGCAAGTAGGCTAATGTTCCTCACTGGTCACTCTTTGATCAGCACTATTAGTGGTCGCGTTGGGATTGCCACGCCAGGATGCAAGCCTGGAGACAAAGTATGCTCCGTCTACGGGGCTGATGCTTTATATGTGCGTTGGCCAGAACCAACAGACAAGGACAGTGATTTTTATGGCGAAAGACCTGCCGATTTCTGTGGCCTTTCTTTCATTCCTCATTTGATGAAGCCTCACGAGCGGGAGGCAGCGAGGCAGGGCCCAGATGAGGTATTTGTCATTGGTTAAGGTGGAAAAAGTAGTGTAGAGGGCACTAAGGCATGATAAGGAACTGTTGATCTAATGGAACACGGTATCTTGCTACGGTTTAGAAGACCTGTGATTGGCGTGGTGTATCTGGCTATCCGGTGCTATTTCATATGCACCATTCCCGAACTGGAATATTCACGAAGGGCCTTACTGCAACATCAAGACACCTGTACTTGTAAATATTGCAAATTTGATGGGACTGTGTGAGGCAACAGGAGGATATTGGTGGCAGAGGCATGCGTTGCAATAATAAGTGTTAGCTAAAGAAATGATTATTTCCGTTGTGTTTAATACAGCTATTCATGTGCAGCCCTAGCTTGACAACTCTCATGTCCAAAACTCGGTACGGACGAGATCGTCGTACGCAGATGCATTCATCTTCAATACATCTAATCCCTGAACTCTCAGTAGGGAGTACGTCCACCGCATGGGAAGGCTGTCGCTCAGGGCGATGATGTGAGTAACCCGATGCTCGTTCGAACTGAGATCACGCATTCCGCCAATACCGACGATCAACCTCGACGCAGGGCTGAATTGCACTTGCAAACGCAACCTTGGCTGGGCAACAATACTCGTGGCCGTAAGTCAAAAAGCACGGACGAGATTCGACGAATGTTTGCAAACGCGGGAATCAGCTGCACTTAAGCGGCTCGCGACCAACGAACGGGACGACACAATGGGGGTAGCAAGAGGGCGAGCTGTATAATCATGTCATGGTTATTATCAGTGTGAAACGAACATCTGCAGTGAGACGTGTTTTTGGTAGTAGAATGCCAACTGGGTTAAATCATGGCAGAAGGGAGACTGGCTACAAACACACCCAGTACATGGCGTGGATGCAACATCATACATCAGAATCAATAAAATGCTCTCGCATCGACATGCGCTACCCCTGTAGACGTCGTCGCCCACACGCACGTGACCGATCCCAAAGCGATGAACTGCAAACTTGCACGTGCTAGCAAATTCACTTAAACTCGCTCACCATAGCTTGAGCAAACGCAATAGCCCACGTTTCCCTTCACAATCGCCCGTCGCCCGCACGTGGACCATTATCTCAAGGTGCCTGCTAGACCACCGACCTGTCTGTATATTCGTATCCTGAATTAAGCTGCTACCATCTCCACACCACCATCACCCACAAGCTCAGCGAACCGCCCGCTCAAGCAACCACCAGCTGAACCGAAAACAAGCTTAAGCACCTACGAGATAAAGTGACAACCAAATCAAGCCCCCACCAGCGAAGGCAGCCACTGACAACCCACCAGTCCAAGACCAACTACCTCAGCCAACAAGAATGTCACCACACCGATTCATTGTCTTGGCCATCACACCCGACGACCCAAATATCAAGACCATCAAAGTCAAAGTCCGCGTCTCTACCCTCCAGGAGCATTCTCCGCTCTTCTCCTACATCGAACACATCTCCCACGTCCCCACCACCCACATCACCCTCCCCAACACCTCTCCCCTCGTGCTCACCAGCCTCATACATTGGCTCAAAACCGGTAATGCCCCCCCACACTTATCCGCGGCCAGCTTCCCATTTATTCTCAAGCACTGGGTCTTGGCGCGCGCTCTCGGGCTCTGGAGATACCAGAATGCATGCATTCGACTTGGTTTGTCGGCAATGCAATCGAAGCATAGCATCTGCGAGATTGAGACGGTCAAGTGGGTGTACGAGAATACTCATCCGGGTAGTACGTTGAGGGATTTTGTCATCAAGATCTTTTGTCAGCGTGGGGGCCCGGTTACGAAGGAGGTTTTTAGTAAGGGGGTTGAGGAGTTGGGTATCGTGAGGGATTTGAGCTATTGGTTATGGGTGTTGGAGAAGGCTAGGGGGATACCGGAGAAGACGTTGAAGAAACCAGATTGGACTGGGGAGTTGTATCCTCTTCCTGAGTTCTTGGTATTTGATGAGACAGGAAATCAAATGCCGGATAAGTTCCATTTTGTTGGGGATGAAGGCGCATTCTGGGGAGCTGAGGCTGTGGCAAAACAGCTAGGTCTCTGCTGAGAGGTCGCCCCTTTGCTGTACTTAGCTAGTTTTGTGGAGTTCAGTGCCTGTCCACGTCGGAGACATAGAGGGTCATACATCATCTTGAGAAATACAAGACACCGTGAGGTCTACACTTGGAAGTCTATACAAATATAATCTCAGTCAGGCATATCGAAGAATGACAAGAAGTACTAAGAGCACAAGTGAACTGAAGAATTTATAAGTACAAAGCCGATGATGTGTTATGCTATTGACTGGTGTCTGAGCCTCACAAACACTCTCCAGACCCAGCTGTAGAGAATGCCCTTTTTAAATGAAACTATTCCGTACATGTCGCTATTAGACTAAATGAGAGATGATATATCCAAATAGTTTGTTTTGGTGACGAATCGAGTAAATGCGGCATGAAGCCGTCGACGTCGTGAGCAGCGCGTTGCAACAAGCACCGCTGAGGGGTATTATCGGAGAAGGAGAACTAAATGTACAGATCCAGGTAAGCGCCGATACCCATCATGAAAGAATTTTTTCGTAAGAAATCACAATAAAGAATTGGTCATGAGCACTGGAGGATATAGTCGTGGATGCAGGCAACGCCGACTAGGCAGCAACTGGCGACATTTGGTGTTGATTGCGCTTGTGTCGGAGAAGGTTGTCCTTGCGCGAAAAGCCATCGAGGTTGGTGCAGGTGGGGTGGTCACAACGGTATAAGTTCAGGACCAACAAGGGGTCAATATGTTGTCGTTCATGTCTTTGAAGATCTTTTGGATACAGGAAGCCCTTGCTACAGGTAGAGCACACGTGAGGCTTCTCAACCATGTGGGTCTTTTGGTGACGGCTGGTCAGGGTCAGTATATGCTGGAACGCTCTTCTCACGACAGTACATACTTTAGGTCGCATTGACGGTTGAAAACCTTGTCGCAGCCGTCCGCTTTGCACGCGAAACCACCATCACGAGGTGCTTGTCTCCGTTGTGCTGCCCTGCGAGGCTTGGATGGGCGTGCTGACAAGCGATCGCCGGGTGTGTAGGTATCCTCGATATGCGTTTGTATAGTGGTTGACTGGACTTTTGTCTCGTTCGCCTCCATGGACTGGATGGACTCGTTGTTGATTGGTTGTCCGTAGGTCGCATGGACGTATTCGTAGAGGGGTGCCAAAGCTTCCGTTTCGTCGCGGTCAAATAGCGACATGTCGAAGGCGAAGGAGTCGGCGTCGGGGTTGACGTCCACGTCGACATCGTTCAGCAACATCTCAGGGGCAATGTAGGGCATTTCCGACTGATACTATTAGCAAAGACTTCGTGGGCGGTAGATTGTGCCTTACTGTGACTTGTGAGGTGTCGAGGCAGCAGCAGTCAAGGAAGCGGGAGTAGCAGATATGGCACAGCATGCTGTTGAAATCCATGTCGTCGCAAGGCAATCCAAAAGATGTATGGAGAATTGGATAGGCTGCTGCACTTGACGCTGCTACCGGCTGGAGTAGAACAGTAAGCAGCACTGCAATAAACAGCAGTGTGTACATGCTCAGGTGGATATATTGTTGCCTGAGGACCAAGTGGGGACGACAATGAGGGTGACAGGATTAAAAACGCAGATGCCGTGGGAAGTGTCTACAAACTCAGATGGTAACAATGGACGTGGGTAAGGTGAAGAGGAAGAGAGTATGTCAGAAAAAAGTGTGAGAAGGGCGTAGAGTCTGGCGAAGATGCATGCTAAGGACAGAGGACTGCGGAGGCCGGCTGCCTGAGGAGCCACAGGTCACGGGGAGGTGTGGCTATGTCGATGATGTCGGTGTAGGGCATTGTGCCAAGTTCGCTGTATCTCTAGCTGCGATTTTATAAGTTTGTCGTGTTAGCAATGATGAAAGTGCACTTTTGTTGCGATGAAATGTGCAACTATGGTTGTGTGTCGATGTGACAGGCGACGGCGCCGTGCAGCGATCAAGGGATGCGCAAACCTCGACAGATTTGCACCATGCCGTTTTGAGACCCAATGAGGGGTTGTACGATCATCTCTTCCCGTGACTTGGGAACATAGTTGCAGTTGGCACTTGTAGTCCTTTCTGTGTCTTGTAAGTTTTCCAAGGAAATTCCACGTCTTTTTCATGTTTGGTCCGTGTTCAGTGTGAGGTTTGCCGGACGTTCGTGTCGTCGTTCCCACCCACGTGTCTTGCCTTTCCATGCAAGAAACACATTGCTCTCGTCCCACAACTGTACCTTGCTAGCCCTTACTCATGCAACTGCGGCGGTATCTCTGTGAATTTTTTTGATCAGTCTCTCCTCCTGTTCATCGGCATCGCTACGTTGGCCATCGTTTAGGAGACTGTTTGGGGTGCGCAAGCAAAAGTACTACAGCACTCAAGAGGCCATTGATATGTATCGTAGCAATAGACAAAACATCCACGAGGTTCCATCGTGCCCGATGTCCAAGCTGAGGCGACGCGCTCGATATATGTCGCGACTCCTCTTCACACCGCCTACAGCAAGATTACGGCTCCTAGTCATCCTCGCAACGAGGCAACCACTTGAGTTACCTTGTCACTATTAATAGCTTCGCATAATCAGGCATTCTCAGCGCTTAAACCATGGAGGGCTGACGGCGAGTGCTAAAGACCTGATGAGCGTCTCAGGCTGAACGTTTGGCGAGGCACCGTGTGGAAAGGATGCGGGCGGCCTCCTAGGCATCCATGGAACCAGGATCTTCATACGCGGCTGCACCAGATGTCTACATATCACTTTTCCAAACGGTCAATTCAGGGCTGCGCCTTCCCCGATTCGGTCAATCCGGCAGGTGCCATGTTGTTCCGTAGAAGTCCCGCTTACTGGCAAAGCTGCCCCCGCGCGTTCTAGCTCAGCCATCGTGGGTACCCAGGTATCCAATCAGTCCTTAGCCACCACATCCAACAGATCCTCAGCCACCTATACACGCAGCCAATTGTTGGAGTTACACCGGGGTATACTTTGAACTATGCTATCTTCACGTGGCCGCAAGTATGCGGCGTTGGACTTAGCAGCGAGCTACAAGAAAGACCGTGGTCAGCTGTACGATGCCAATCATCCAAGAGGCCTCATTTCTTTTCGGAATGCGGAAAACGTTAGTCTGCACTCTCAAGAACACTTATTTCAAGTATTAACGCTAAACAAACATAGTTCCTTATGCACGATGAAGCGCTTGATTATATCAAGACAAAGGTCAGATTTATATCCATACCAAGGGATTTTGCTAAACGAGACGCAGTGCATCTCTTCTATCGAGCCTGAGTCCTTGACCTATCATGATGGACCATTTGGGTCCAAGCGATTGAGGCAGGCGATGGCCTCATTCATCAACTCTCGCTTCGCACCAGTTTCAGCTTTGAACAAGGACCAAGTCACATTCGTTAGCGGCGTGACAGCCTTGAATGATGTCCTATCACTCTGTCTGACCGAGGGAGAGGAGGAAGGCTTACTCCTTGGAATGCCAATTTATGGCTCGTTCGCCGCGGATCTCCGAAGCATGTCAAAGTGAGTTTAAAACATATGGATACACATGTCGCTTCAAATGGCTGCTTACATTTGATGCAGGTGTAAGCTTGTGTACACTCCGTTCAGAGGAGTGGATCAGTTCGGCGTTAGGGCAGTCGAATGCTATGAGTGGGCTCTCCAGAATGCAGCAAAGAGTGGTGTTAAGGTGAAGGGACTGCTTCTAGCCAACCCAAGCAATCCTCTTGGTGAGTGAACATGACATATTGTACAGGGAAAGAACTGACATCTCAACTTTTTAGGTCAATGCTACTCTCGGGAAGCCTTGGAGGCCATACTACGCTTCTGCAACAAGTACAGCATACACCTTATCAGTGACGAGATCTACGCCCTTTCTGTGTACGATACCGATGAATCACGTCCAGGTTTCACATCGGTACTCTCACTGGATACAACAGGATTGATCGATCGTAGCCTCATTCATGTAATGTATGGGATGTCAAAGGTAAAGCTTCATTTGCTTGGTCGCATGAATCAGCTGACGATAGCCTAAAGGACTTCGCGGCTGCTGGTCTCAGACTGGGATGCCTGGTTACGTACAACGAAGAGCTGGGAAATGCTGTGCAATCTTTAGCGTAAGTCTCTTTCATCCATGCTAAAGACGCCTAAGGAGTTGTCATGTCTAACTACAACAGGCGCTTCCACGCTGCTTCTCCGGTGACAGACGCCATTGCTACAGTGATGCTCGAGGATGAAGAATGGCACACGCAGTTCCTCGCAAAGAGTGCGCGTGTACTCAATGAGCATCAAAGCATTGCCGCCAAGGGCCTCGATGCTGCTGGAATACCGTACAACCGCAAATCGTGAGTCTCATTCGTCTGCTCTTCTCTCTGCTGTGGATATCTCGCTGACATCTTGGCACATGTAGTAACGCGGGATTCTTTCTCTGGATTGACCTCTCTGCCTGCTTGAAAGCCCGGGAGTGGGACGCGGAAGATGAGCTGAAGCTCCAGCTGTACAATTTTGGTTTGGAGATGTCGGCCGGCAATGCATATCATGATGAGGAGCCGGGGAAATTCCGCTTCATTTTCTCGGTGGATAAAGATATGTTGGAAGAAGCGCTTAGGAGAGTTGTGGAGTTCTATGTGACCAACAGGCGCTCTTAGGAGAAACATGCTTAGCGCGAGGCGCGAGCCTGTCGTCGAACGCAACCATATACATGGGCACTCCGGCTACCTACCCTTATAGACCTGCGACTGCTTGTCTAAGGGATCATTCTTGAAGTAGTACAACGTACCTACCTAGGTAGCTATCCTAGAATACGTAGAGTCTAGCGGAATATCATTGCCGAAAACCTGATGTCATTTAAGGTTTCGATGGCATTTGTCCTCAACATCTACGGTTTATTGCTATCCATCCTATGGTTGACCCGGCCTAACTCCTAGAACCTATATCCACCGCTTACAACTACACTTAAATGATTTAGCACGACTCTATAACTCATGGAGCGAACGCGTACCCTACACCTTAAGGTTTTGATGAGATGAAGATTGCCCGTGACAGCGCGAAAGGGCGCCACGCGACAGGTGGATCCCTGCGCCATAGATCGTCCCGCAAGATCGGATCGTGACAGGGGCGACTGCGTCATCATTCCAGCCATCGAAGTTCAACAAACACAAGCAATTGCCATCCACGTTGCCCTCATGTCACGATAGAATAAACTTACCAGGCAGAAAGATGCCGCCAATCCTCTCGCGAAAGCGTTTACGGTCCGATTCCCCCAAAGCCGAACCCCCAGCCAAACGTGCGCGCGATCGCAAACCTCCCGCACCCCCTCGGCGAGGCAAAGAGACCGTCTTCCAAACCTTGGACGCGCCGCCAAAAGTCAAACGTACACTTTCGCAAACCAAGGCGCTGTTGGAGCAGGAGGATGACGAGAGTGAATTATCTGAACTGGAGAGCAGTGAGGATGATTTTGAAGATGTGCCGCTGAATGGCGCAAGCAAAGCAAAGGGAAAGACAAAGGGGCAGACCGATGAAGACGGCAGTGAGAGTGAAGACAACGACTGGGAGAATGCACTGGGAGCACATCATCATACCAAGCCCGATCACGGACCTACACCTGTCATCACGGGAGACATCGCCCTCACATTGTCCGCCGCACCGAGAAACGCCTTCGAAAGATCGGATGGCAAAAAGGGACCTTCAAAAATTCAACGACAGATACGAAATGTCACGCATTGTATGCATGTACAGTATTTGATGTACCACAATCTCATGAGGAACGCATGGATACAGGATAAAGAGACTCAGAAGATATTGGTGGAAAACATGTCCACTGGATGCTGGCGCGAGTTGGAAAAATACTGGAACGACGCGGGCGTCACAGACGGGCTAAGCCGTGCTGTCGTGCAGAAAGCGCTGAGTCCATCCCAGAAGGAGACAGCAAGCCAGAAAGGGAAGTGGAAGGACAGTGGCGAGAGTGGAGTCATGGTGTACGGAAGCCCACAGAAGCGTTCTGCTCCTCGCGGAGACAAGAAAACAACATCCAAAGCAAAGGATTCTCCTCAGAATACCAGAAAGGCTCGAGACTGGGGCGCAGCTTCAGAACCACTTGAGCCAAATACGCCAAACCTCTCCGCTGGGGATCCTCTTTTGAGGCTGTTAAAGTATCTCTCGGCCTATTGGAAGGCTAAGTACAGAGTAACAGCCCCCAGTCTAAGAAAGCGCGGATATCTGTCTCCATCGACGCTAGAAGATGAGATCAAGACTTGGAAAAACTATCCAAACCACCCCGATACGTTTGGCGAGCGAATCGAGAATCTGGAGGCTTTTCGCGATCGGGCTCGTAAATGCGAGGGTAGCAGAGACCTTGGAGAACAGCTGTTCACCGCTCTTGTGCGAGGATTGGGCATTGAGGCTCGCATGGTGGTCAGCTTACAACCTGTTGGCTTTGGCTTCAGTCAGGTCGAAGAAGGCAAGCCGAAGAATCTCGAAAAACTGCAACAGGCGAAACCTGCGTATAAGAGCGCCACTGAAGAGACTACATCGCCCGATGCCAAACCAAGGCCAGATGCTGCGGCAGAAAAAGGCAAACCATCCACCAAACCCAAGGTAGATGACAGTAGCGATCTGAGCAGCGTTATATCCATTTGTTCGGACGAAGATAACAGGCCAGCAAAGAAGGCGCCAAAGGCACGCGATTATAGTAAAGATCTGCCGTACCCGACGTATTGGACAGAAGCCATCTCACATCTGACACATACACCAATAGCAGTGTCTCCGTTTCCTCGTTTGATCATCGCAAGTGCGGCATCCCCGGACAAACTCTCAGAATTCTATGCTCGAGGCGCAGCAGCCGACAAAGCAAGACAAGTCTTAGCATACCTGATCGCTTTTTCTGCCGATGGCACAGCCAAGGATGTCACAACACGCTACCTACCGAAGCACCAGTGGCCTGGCAGAACAAAAGGGTTTCGTATGCCCGTCGAGAAGGTCCCGATACACAACAATCGCGGAAAAGTCAAGCGATGGGAGGAGTGGGACTGGTTCAAGTCGCTCATGCGGCCATACTCGCGGCCTCATGAGAAACGGCAACCATGGGATGAGGTCGAAGATGAAGGCGACTTAATCCCAGCGCAACCGGATAAGAAGAAGGAAATGGATGAAGAAGGTGGGAAAGAAACGCTCCAGGGCTACAAGAACTCATCAGAATACGTTCTCGAACGCCATTTCCGCCGCGAGGAAGCCCTCAAACCTGGCGCCAAGATTATCCGTCACTTCGTCACTGGTAAAGGTGACAACGAAAAGGCCGAACCAGTTTACCGACGGAAAGACATTGTGCTCTGCAAGACGCAGGAATCTTGGCACAAAGAAGGCCGCGAAGTGCTCGAAGGCGAGCAACCACTCAAACTCGTTCCAATGCGTGCGGTCACAGTGACACGTAAACGCGAAATTGAAGAGCGCGAGCGCATCGAAGGTGGCAAAGTCAAACAAGGCCTCTACTCCAAAGCGCAGACGGATTGGATCATTCCCGACCCCATTGTCGACGGCAAGATTCCACACAATGCGTTTGGAAACATCGACGTTTACGTCCCTACCATGGTCCCGAAAGGTGCCGTTCATATACCTCTCAAAGGCACAGCGCGTGTATGCCGGAAACTCAACATTGACTACGCGGAGGCTTGTACAGGGTTTGAGTTTGGCAAACAACGTGCTGTTCCTGTTTTGACTGGTGTGGTAGTCGCGCAAGAGAATGAGGACATGTTGATTGATGCTTGGGAAGCGGAAGAAGCAGAGAAACAGAGGAAGGAAAGAGCTAAGCGCGAGAAGTTCTTGTTAGCACTTTGGCGGAGATTTGCTTCTGGACTTAGAGTTGTTAATCGGATGAGGGAAGAGTACGGTGAGGAGATAGAGTTGCCTGCGAAGGCAAAGGTGGTTCCACCGAAAGAAGGGGACTGCGATGAGGGCGGCAAGCCGTCACAGTGGGATGTCTTTCAGAATCATACTGATTTCGAGGGCGGCTTTGTGCGCGACGAAGCGGCAGCATCTGGCGGCGGCTTCGTTCCAGAACAGTCACATCCAACGTCAGATCATAATGAAGACATGGCAGGTGGTTTTCTGCCAGCCAGTCAAGATGAGCCAATTCATGGTGATCTCACCATTGACCATGACGACAAGAAGGAAGCATCACGCGCAACGATATCGGAAAGCACACACCGCACACCCATTTCCCTCACACAGGCGCTGCAGCAACTGCCCAGCGAACAAGCAGACGAAGACTCCGACATGGACGTCGACCCAGACGAAGAACCCGACCAAGACCCGACAGACTCTGAAGGAGAAGAAGACAACCCGCCCCCCAAGCCCACCCGTCATAAATCCACCTCCACCCGCGGCCGCTCAACTCCTCGCGCCCGCGCTTCTCAATCCTCAACGCGCAAACGCAAAGCCACGCTACAATCCCCACCCACTGCCCAGCGCACAGCACCCAAGCGTGCCGCTGCGCGACAAAGCAATGTGCAAGTGAAAAGTCACTTCTTTGCAGAAGCAGCAAGCGACGCTGAGACTGACCTTACTGACATGACTGACCGGGCGTCGCCCAAGAAGGCGGCTCGAGGGCGGGGCGGGGCACGGGCGAGGGGACGAGGAAGGCCTCGGGGTAGAGCAGGGAAGGCTAAGGACTGAGGGAGTTGTAGAGGGTATTGGATGTAGTGGACGGCGGTGGAATTGTAATTGAATATTGAGTGGATATGGGGGTGGGTTGGGTACTGCTTTTAGGGGCTGTCAAACTTGGCAAGAATATGTATAGATGGTATTTTCATGTCAAAGTCTGGGTTTCCTGAGTGGAAATCGTGGAAAGGATAGCCTATATGCTCACTTTGAGATCATTTTTGGCTGGAAATAGACACAGTAGTAATGGTAGTAGCAGCAAAGCCAACCCGCAGGGACATGTTCATAGAGCTGACTTCTATATGACAGGCTGGCTGCTTCACCATCCAATAATCAGAAGAGATTGCGTCAATTCGAAACCCCGGTTAACGATAACGAACTAATCACGTGTCTCCCAAAGCGACCACAGACCATCTCAAGACTTCGCTGTTGACAGGCCGAGCACTCAAGAAGCACCATCTTGCGACAGAAGTACCCAAGTTGATCACATCAATCATTGGCAGAAGCACACCTGAGATCAATCAAGCTAGCTTGATAGCTTGATTGGAAGATTGATGCCAAGCCAATTCAATCAATCCAGCCAAACCTCATACAAAAACGCAATCAATCCAGCTGAGCTTTTCCGTGAGCTTGATTCAGATTGATAGCTTGATTGCCTTAAGTATATAGTAGATTTCGGTGATGAGGCAGCCCATGAGGCAGCTTAGATAGCTGTAAAAGCTCTATACTGAGCTTTTTTTGGTGTTTTAGTTACGCCGTGTAACATTGAGTAATATCCGATAGCTCCGTGTAACTAGCAGCCAGCGCGTCGTCTCATATAGTATACTCCATCTCCATCTCCATCACCCACAATACTATATACTTTTGGTGTTGCAGATCTATCGCCGTATACCTCACCTCATCGTCGCCCTCATGCCGCCCAAAAAACGCGTCTCTGATAGCGCTCCCTCGCCTAGAAAGCGCGCGCGCGGCACTGCGAGCCAGCCCGTCGCGATCGACTCGCAGTCATATCAATCTCAGCCATCTGCTCTATCTCCGCCGCCTCCATATACACATACTTTCGAGTCGCGATTGCGCGAGTCGCAGCCCGAAGACGCTATCGTCGCGCCCGCCGAGGGCAGTGAGCAAGCTACGCTCGCTCCGTCTTCTGAAGCCGCCGACGACGCTGTAGATGAGGCTTTTGACGCCCATCTCGAAGACAATTATGATGGCATAGATTGGGGTCGCCTTAAGCTGTATACGAAGCCTATCACGACGCACCAACACAAGCGGAGTTGGATCTATCGCCACGGCTATCGCGTCGCTCTTCTCAAAGATCCAACCCGCGTATTCTTCATCTGCCACTGGTGTTTCAAGCACAAGCTCACGGATATTGGTATTGGGATATACAATACAAGCGCAGCAGTCTCGTCAGCCGCGCGCCACCTCAGCGAGCAGAAACCTGGCCATAGGCTAGTAGCACCAGGCAAGACTCCAGTTGCTAGTGTTTACAACGCGCTCACCACTGCGAGAGTCCCTATCTCACAGGCAGTAGCTAATCAGATTAACGGGTTTAGCAAGCAGCGCTTTAGGTTTGCCGCAGTAGACTGGCTCGTCGCGAACAACCACCCCATCTCTGAGTTCGAAACACCAGCTTTTCGACGCCTAATTGCTATCGCCAACCCACTTGCAGAAGCAGCGCTCTGGAAGAACCACAAGAGCGTCTCCCAATACGTCATACGACTGTTTGACTGGCTCAGGCCCCGCGTTGTCCACGAGCTGTCACAATCGCTTAGCAAGATCCATATAAGCTTTGACGGATGGACAACGAAAGGCGGCAAGCGCGGGTTTCTCGGTATCGTCGCCCACTACGTCAACTCAGATGGCAAGCTCCGAGACCTGCCTATCGCGCTGCCTCAGCTCACAGGCGCTCACTCCGGCGATCGATTAGCTGAGGTTGTATTATCAATCTTAGAGCAGTTTAGCATAAGCGAGCGCACACTCGGTTACTTCGTCCTCGACAATGCCTCTAATAACGACACCGCTGTCGCTGCGATTGCCCACGAGCTTAACTTCAATCCTATACACCGACGCCTCCGCTGTGGCCCTCATACGATCAATCTGATTGGGCAGAGACTGCTCTGGGGCAGAGATGCAGACTCATACAACAACGAGGGAGTTGACGAGCTCGCCGACGAGGCAGCGTTTATAAAGGAGTGGCGAAAGCACGGGCCTTTAGGCGTACTTCTCGATATTGTCAACTATATCCACACACCGCAGCAGTACAATCTTTTTGAGAAGGCGCAGCGTACAGCTTACCGTGAGCTACCTCACGACGCAGACGACAAGCTCACGATACTACAGCCAATCAAGCCAGTAGTCACACGCTGGAACTCATACTTCGACTGTTTTGAGCGAGCTATAAAGCTCGCGCCGGCCATCAACGCGTACGCGAACACCCACATACAAAATACAGCAAAAGAGGATATCTACGCCGACTCACAGGGCAAAAATCGGCCTGCTGCTCCACAGTGGATGAGATCAGACGGCCTCACAGCTGCCGATTGGGCTGTTGTTACCGACTATATAGAGGTTCTTAGGCCACTTAAAGAGTGTACAAAGCGCTTTGAGGGACGTGGCGAGTATAGCTTTGGCGCGATCGCTGAGGTGATCCCAACGTTTGAGTTTCTACTCACTCAATTAGAAGCTCGCCTCCTCTACTACGATTGCGTAGTCCATGACGCTCACGACGAGGCACCCGAAGATCACCTTCCTATTAATCTACGCGCAGCGCTACTTAAGGCGAACGAGTACTACGCTAAACTCGACGACTCGCCAGCTTACTACGCTGCTACAATACTCCATCCTCGCTACAAACACTACTGCGATCAAGCGTGGGCTGAGAAGCCTGACTGGCTGGCGCTTAATAATCTTAATTTCCAGGCACTGTGGGCGGATTACAAGTCGCTGCCGTTACCGAGGCCTTGCTACACACGCGCACCGAAGAAACCGAGCAATATTGACGACGCGATTGACGGCATTATTGATCCCACACGCGGCAATACTAAGGAGGATGAGTATGAGCAGTGGAAGCGCGAGCCAATCGTTGGCAAGGGCACCGATCCTATACAATACTGGTTCGGGCTGCGCGATCAATATCCCAACCTTAGTAAGATGGCGCTTACTATACTCTCTATACCCGCTTCAAGCTGTGAGTGTGAGCGCGTCTTCAGTGAGCTCGGAGATCTACTAGAGCCTCGCCGACGCTGTATATCACCTGAGCTACTAGCAGCACTACACTCAGTACGACGATGGAGACGGGCAGGTTTTGGTGGCGGCGACAACGACGATATGGGCCAATCAAAGCTTACCGACGAGCAGATGGACGTTTTGTACGAGCTTAGCAAGTGGGTGGGCGAAGACGACGATCTAGATACATGGGACGACGGCTGAGACTCAACACCAAAAAATATATACAACTTTCCTATTTGGGAATCAAGCACCCAAGCTACCAATCAAGCTAACAACTTTCCGCCAAGCCAATTCAATCAATCCAGCCAAATCTCATACAAACAGCCAATCAATCAAGCCGGGGGCTGTCAGCTTGCTTGATTGATTGATCTCAGGTGTGGGCAGAAGGATAGAACTTGGCCAGACGAGTATTTTGAGTCGAACAAAATAAGTCATTTGTTGGCAAGAAGAAAGTCGATACCTTCTTTTAGGCGTCAACGATCAGGGTCGGGGTCCATTACGGCTAGCTCTGATACACCAAACGACCAACAGCCATGGGACGAGAAGACTACGCCATATCAGGATCAACGTCATAAGACCTCAATTGAAACCAAAGGCAGTTCCATGCGCAGTTATGTTGGCAGAGGTGAGAGGAATCGAGGAAGATAGCGAAGGTACTTTGCGACTCTTGCTACAGCAGAACGATCCCTGTGAACTTTGACCTAATACTCCCTGCGGCCTCGCTCTTTGACGATGATATATTCAGCAGGACCTTCGACATTAAACGGCCCGAACAAAGCGAAGGTTCTTCAAAACATCACTCGGCTATTAGTTCAATCAGCTGAAGCTATAGCTACACGTAACGCCAGACTTGAACCTCTCATTGAAAGCGTCAACGAAGACTGGAATAACGCTACCCCCTTGTCCGCAGCCCGACTATGCCGTCGAATTCAAACGCGAGGCGTTTACAGAACAACAGCTCATTAAGCTTTCACTTTTCATTGGCGACGTCATCGCCGGCGACCTATCCTACTTCATGGCCACGTACTATATGTACTTCCCGTTATTGACATGAAGTAACATGCGGTGCTACAGCGCTTGACATCGCAGACCGATAAAACACTCACAGCATGACCCTTGCAGTCAGAGCGATTGTCGAGTTTTTCCGACTTCTCAAGCCCGAAGAGGAGCTTCACCGGCAAATTCTGGCCTTTTTAATCACCCAAGATGCCCGGTCGGTGAGAATATACGGTCATTACCTAGTGATCAATGGAAAAGACACTACCTTCTATCGTCACCATATCCGCTCCTTCGACTTTACAGCATTAGAGGGCAAAGAGAAAGGGACGTCATATAATTTCACCGGGAACGTCTACGATATGTGGATACTATGGCACCTGGACAATATCCGCTCGGCCATTGATGAGCTCCCGTCTGAGTTTGACTTCAAAAGCCCGTTGCTCCCAGAGGGATCCGGACTTTCGCAAGACTCGGAAACTTATCATCTCCCTAGATGGTCACCGTCATCTCACTCATGAGACCACGTGCATCCAAAAAGTGGAGATAAAATGCTATGAATGTAAAGTGCTTGATGCAAAGCAGTCTTAATTTGTTTCCCGTTTGGCCCTCTATTAAACATACGATCGGCCTTTGTTTTCACGAATACGATATTTAATCGCCCATCGAACTCAGTAGTAGCCATGTAGCCGCCACACGGCGCTACGAGATGTGACAACGTAGCCTAGACGCCCGTTTAGCAGCAGTCACCACACATCGTGACATCTTACAGTTATCGATGGGCCTTCTAGCTTGTCTGTTACTAGCCAGTAATGTTTGTAACGTCCCACATTGGCAAGCCTTGGACGCGATAGCGTCACCTCTCACGCGGATCGACTCCCATATGTACGTCACTTCACGAAGCGGAATGTAGATCAGCCGTAGGTAGAAGCCGGGCCATTCGCAGAGGCGAGAGGACCTGGCCAGCTGGCCGTATCTTTTGCCTCCGGGCTGAAACGGAGTAGGAAAAGAACAACCACTTAATCAACCACTCGACGATTCCACCATCAGCGTGTCCTGCATGTCTCGTACAAATGTTTGCAATCCAGCGTGGAAAGCTCGGACTGTTTGCACGCCGCTCCATGCGCTCTCCGAAAGTGACTCGTATCCGTATTCATCATAAGTAGACTATACTCTTACGACTGAGTCAAGCCAAACTAGTAGCGGGTGAGCAGCCTGAGATGTAGGTAAGCCGAGGTTGATTTGCACCTAAGCAGCGACGCTTACTAGCCCTAGAGAAATTTGACTGTCTACTCCGTTAGTCGCTTAGTTCATTGGTCTCACAGGGCTGCATACTTCGCATGCACATTCGGGCGGTTGTACCAATAACGCGCGACGCAATGCATCCCGACATGCACCAGTTCCCGGAAGTTTTTCTTCTGCAGCGCAAGAGCCGTGGTTGAGAAGGTTTGGGCCTGACGTAAACTCGGCCAGTTAAGTACCACCATCCTTCCTTCATGATTATCCTCATCTAAAAACCAACATCGGTGAACCTGTCCATCTCACCTCATGCTCATGCACCCAAGTCCTTCGCAATTGTCCCATGAAACAGATTCCCTCCGCGTGGCAATCCTCCGCACCGGAACGAGACCTCCTAAGTATGCCAAGCCAATTTCTCACGCATGCGCAGGGCGGGCCCGCACGTTACCCGGTATTGTGTGTGTGATGCTATTTGGAGTATTGCCGAGCCGACTGGCCTGGGCATCGGCGTCTTGGTCTCCGCGCGAATTGGGCTGAGGCCTGGGGCTTGGTATTGGGGTGCTTGGCGGAGTTAGCGCCCCCTGAAGCAGGATGGTAGGCGGTTATTAATAAATGGGGGATTCTTGCGAGGCGAGGCGGGAGGATTTTCGCCATGGCTGCGAGGTACGATGGCTCGATGATGAAGGATGATAGTATGGACGGTCGGGGTGGCGTTGTTTTTGATTTTTTTGGATGATGGTAAGTTGAGATAGACGGGAGAACGGCGTTGTTTTTTCTGGTGCTGTGATGTGCTGACATGGATGGGAAACTCAGTTATCCAGGAATACCCTATATGAGGGCACGTAAGCGTGTGCCATGGGTCAACAACTAAGTACACATTCGACCTGCATGACCGCATTTCGCTAAACTAAAAAACCACTACACGTCTCATGTTCCCGTATTCAGGTCTCCGCTCTTTCCATGCCGCATTTCTACCGATAGCCGTCTGTCCCCTCCGCTCGTATTTTCATTTCCTTTGATTCGTTCTTTTGGCGGCGATACTGCCTTTAAAGTGGGCGTTTTCTTGGCTCGCCTTGCCGTGGCTTGCCATGTGTCGTTTAGGTAAGCTGGGCGCGCGAGCCCTGTAGCGAGCGCACATTAGTTACCGAAAACGGACGTGGGTATGTGTTGGGGTATGGATAGGATGTGGAGAGAGGGTCGACATTTGCGGGTCCGGGTCCTGCGGGTTCTGTTGGGAGGTTGCTTGTGAGGATTCAAATACAGGTGCTTTTATTGTTTACATCCTCCCCCCTCACCCGAGTTTTGGTACCACTCGTCCCTCGCTCGCTCTCTTTTTTTGTTTCGTGTGTACATTGCCAGTCTTTTCGGTCGTCGTGTCAGACTGTGCGTGTGTACTCGCTGTCATTCGCTTACTTCTACACCCTCTATCAGTCCCTCTGTTAGCGGGATTTACATTTTTACCCTTATTTTAATACCCGGAAGAAGAGATGCGTTTCCAAGATATTGGTATTGCTGCTATGGTGGCGCCCCTTGTGGCTGCCCATGGAGGTATGGAAGGTGTGCCGAAGATCTTTGGGTTGCCCAGGGGTTTGGAGTCTGACTTCAAGGCTCCCGTCGCTGCTCGCGTGCTGAGGCATGCTTCGGAGCCCAAGGGTGGACTGCTAGAGACTCGTCAGGGTGGTCAAAACGGTCGATGTGGTGCTGCTTTTGGAAACGCGAAGTGTGCGACAGGTTACTGCTGCTCGGGTTCAGGATACTGTGGTACAACGAAGGATCACTGCTTGGCTCCGGACTGTCAGATGGACTTCGGTCCTGCTTGCGATGCCAACAAGGCTCCAGGTGGTGCTACTACACGTAATGACCCTCGTCCTCAGAAGGGTAACGTTGCGTACGGAGGCGGTGGCATCTATACTTGCCAGAAGGCTGGAACCGTTGCCATTACTTACGACGATGGGTAAGCCACTACATTATACACCAGCACAATTTGAATACAGCTAACATGAATAGTCCATACATTTACACTGAGCGCGTCTTGGATCAATTCGCTACCTACGGCTTCAAGGCGACCTTCTTCGTGACCGGAATCAACAACGGCAAAGGAGCCATTGACACCACAGCTGCCTGGTCTAATGTTATCAAGCGCATGATAGCTGAGGGTCATCAGGTTGCCTCCCACACATGGAGCCACGCGGACTTGAGCAAGATCAGCGACGCCCAGCGCATCAACGAGATGGTCAAGAACGAAATGGCCATCCGCAACATTATCGGAAAATACCCCACCTACATGCGACCTCCTTACAGCTCTTGCAACGCCGCATGCCAGACGACGATGAAGAACCTGGGCTACGTCATCAGCTACTTTGACCTTGACACCGACGACTACAACCAGTTGTCTAACATTCAAGTTGCCAAGGATAACTTCAAGAGGATCCTCGATTCCACTGCTGGTGGCCCCCAATCTGGCGACCGTCTGGCTATTGCCCACGATATTCACGAGCAGACTGCGCTTAACTTGACTGGATACATGTTGGAATACCTTAAGTCCAAGGGTTACCGCGGTGTCACCATGGGCGAGTGCATGGGCGAGCCTGAGGCAAACTGGTACCGTACATCCGGCGAAGCTCCTCCCGCAAACGGCGGCGGTAGCGGTAACGGTGGCGGTAGCGGAAACACCCCTGTGTCAACCGATGGCTCCTGCGGCTCTGGAAAGGGCACGTGTGCTGGTTCGACATTCGGAAACTGCTGCTCGCAGTACGGATGGTGGTAAGTTCATTTTCATCCCTATTCTCAAGTACATCCAACTAACAACCTCAATAGTGGCGCTTCAACTGATCACTGCGGCGCTGGCTGCAACTCTGCGTTCGGTACCTGCACCACAGGTGGCGGCAGCGGTGGCGGCGGCGGCAGCACGACTCCTGGAAAGAAGGTTTCTACAGATGGAACTTGCGGAGTCCAAGGTGGAGCTACTTGCGCCGGTTCGACGTTCGGAAACTGCTGCAGTTCGTATGGGTGGTGTGGTTCCACCACTGGACATTGCGGTAGTGGATGTGATACTTCCTCCGGTACTTGCACCAAGTAAAGTGAGCGAGAATTGCTCTTTGCATACGAATCAATGGGGACGATGGCTTGCATTCGGATGTGGGCAAGCGAGATATCAGAAAAGTAATTTAATGAAAATTAATACTGTATTATGATATCCACCTATTGGCGTTGTTCTCCTGACTTGTTGACGGAATGTGCGCTGACTCTGCTGTAGGGCTATACTCAGGGGAAAGGACGGCTTGGAATTGGCGCGAGGGATTTGACCGGTGAGAGATGATATGACAGGATGCCCAAGGCTGATACAACTGCGCGTGCTATGCTGTATCACACAGTGGCTACTTCAGCTTCCATGATGTTCGTGGCTGAGTGCATATGCATATCGCGCTAACTGAGTTGAGCGGGATGAGGGGCAGTGCGCAGTTGCGGCTGCCTCGTCGTTATCTCAGCCTCTCCTTGCAAACACATCTCTTTTTCGCGGGTGCAACTCTGTAGCCACCTGTTGCCGGTGTTTTCGGGTTGCCGGCTGGCTTCTGAGGCCGAACTGCAGCCTGTGGCGCTTACCTGGATGATTACAATGAAGCCCCAACCTCACGATCGCAAGCACTCCCTCCCTCCCGCGCCCGCCATGTCGGGTAGTTATGCAAGTATTGATAGTGTGAAATGTCGGCGGACACTACTGCTCGCAGGACGATCCTCTGAAAACACCCCCTGGCAAAGAAGCAAGCAATAAACGAGGTAGCTCACTTGACTCGTCTTAAACATTCACACATAGTCGGTGTGATTGGTACATATACGCTGGGTAAAGAGCTATCTATATTGATGTATCCTGTGGCGGACTATAACCCCCAAGATTTCCTCCGACAACATTGCGAAGAACGCGACCGAAGAAAGCATTCCTCAATATTTAGCTTGATGATACGGTCTTTTGAGTGTCTCGTCAGTGCTATTGTATTCACAAGCAGTTGATCAAATACATGGATGTCAAGCCTCAAAACATCCTTGTTCGAAGACAGATGGATAATACAGCTCTCACATATACCAAGACCTCCACGTATCAATCTATATTACCGACTTTGGAACCTCACGCTTGTATGAAAAGACGTGGAAACCGACTGACGAACAAGCTTTGCTCGAAAATATGTGCCGGTCGAGGTTGTAGAGGAAGATATACGAGGATTTCCGGCCGATATATTCTCTCTCGGCCGTTTTTTTTGGAGATAGCTGCATACATCTGTGATATTAGGCCTCCGGAAGCTGCCGAGAGATCAGTGCAGGACCATCTGCAGGGACTTCTATACGCTAGTACACCGAGACGACCATGGTATTACGCCAACATCGATCGCATTGATCAACACATCAGTTCGAGCAAATGGCCTGGCTATTTAGAAAGATCAGTTCTACCCCAAGATACATTCAGATTCATTCGATCAATGATAGCGGATGATCCACAAGCACGTCCAGAAGCAAAGACGCTGTGCATCCACTTTACGCCGGGAGCGTGTTATCTACAAGAGCCTTTGCCATTCGAAGCCACGAAGTAACGGTCCGAAAAGAGAGCACCCTCAAGGTATCTGGATAGCAGGCCAGTTATTCCTTCCATTGCGAAACACGCGATCAGCGCTAGGACGCCTCATATGATGCTGTATCTCTGTTGTGAAGAGTAAAGGATGGTCATTAGTGTAAACCAACGCTGGTGTGTTTGCATGTCTGATAACAAATCCCGTTCTACTAATAGCAACAATGGAATGAAAGAAGTTGTCACCGCCTGTTTGTGAAGACACGTGCATACTTCTTCGAACATTCTCGCAGCGTACCTACATCTACTCTCCAGCATACCTACCAAGTGGGACACCTTACTTTGCGCGACTCTCGAAATTAACAGTCGCGACCTCACCATGGCAACCATAATTCTCATGATATTAATTGTTTTCCTTCCTGTCGCAATAGGAGTAGGTATAGCATACTTTGGCTACAACGAATACAAAGCCCGGCGCTTTGCAGCCCCAGACGTGGAGCAAACACGATATATCGAAAACACTCCACAGAGAAAGTGGCAGGAAGTGGATCTCGACGACGTCGCACTGCCTGAGAAGCAGTACCATAGTGGTCAGTGGTACGGATCTCCCGCTATAGTATCTATAGACATCGCGCCGGTCGCAAAACCGCTACCCAGCAGCCCTTATCTCGAGTTTACGGGTGGAGAGGGACTAGTCAGTCCTCCCGGGCGAGTCTTTCTCTCTACGAATGAAGAAAATGAAGGGCTGAAGGGGCGGAGTAGGGAAGTTGACAGGTTTCATGAGCAGGAGATCCATGGATGCAAGCCGTGGGACTTTGAAAAAGATGGCTATGGTAAATCGGCAGCTCAGCAACCTGAAGTTCAGTGCCCAAAGCCGATAAGAGCGATTACCATGAAACCAAACCCTGAACCTGCGAATACAGCGTATGATGCAGAACAAACAGCTGCTTCGGACATCTGGGATAAGATCGATAAGGGTGAGGTATCAATTTCGAGACGAAAGCCAGAAAGGAAGTCGCGGAAGCCATTAGTTCCTATTGGACCTCGCAACACCGCGATGACTGACAAGAATGACATGGAAGGCGTTGATCTCAACAGCACAAAACTATGCGCAAACAGGGAAGGTCCTGCATCATCGGTGGTCACTGTCGTCGACACCAACAATGTAAATATTCAACTTCCAGTATACTACGCCAAACGCAAAGCCAGCATCGACCCCGTTGCTACGCCGATAATAGAAGGCGATCGAGCAGCAGAAATGCGCCGCAAGATGGCCGAAGCGAAGAAACAGAGGGCAGAACGGCAGAAGCAAGAGGAGGAAAAGCAGTTACGTGAAGAAGAGCGCAGGCGGGTACGGGAACAGGAAGAACGGGAAGCGGAAAAGATACGTGCAGAGGAAGCTCAAAAGAGGGAATATGAGGAGAGACAACGAGCACTCATACCGCCAAACCAGCCTGAACCCACACCCGAAAACATCAGTGATCCAACTTCTAGCCAACCTCAACGCCGCTCCTCGAAACGCCGTTCCAACGTGTCCACCTCTTCATCCACAAGCCGCCCCTCCACATCCTCCATATCCAGTCAAGACCCCCCCTCCGCCCGTCGTACCAAACGCGCCAACACCATCGCAGCCGACACACTCAAGCCGACCACCGCCCGCTCGATTCTCACTTCAAAAGCCCCACAAAGCATGAGTATGACAGAAAACCCACGCCCGGATTTTAACCCAAAGATGCCGTCTATTATTGAGAGCGTACGACCAGATAGCCATGGCTCCGTTGGCAGTGGTAGTAGCGAAAATGGTGGTAGTAGAGAAAATAAAGACGCAAAGCGACGATCTAGTTCATCCAGCTACTCTGCTAGATATAATGGTGGACGACGGATGTCCCAGGATGCAGGTGCAGGTGTGCTGGATGAGTGCTATGAGGAAAACAGGGAGGATACACGATATAACGCTAGGTTCGAGAAGCGGGTTAAGCACAGTGGGACACGACGCTCTTCCTCCTCATCTTCTTCATCACAGACACCAGCTCGGCGCGCATCAGCTTCCTCGAGCAGAAACGACACCACAGATACTAAGAGGAGGCGCAGTACCACGTCCCGTTCCTCCACTTCCAGCTCCGTGGTTGCTGAGCGCGAAGCCGCAGATCGCAGGCCGTCTATGACCTCGGAGGCTTTGAGTAAGTTTGCCAAAGGGGTTTCAAGGTGGGATAGCACTGATTCGGGACGACGGCAATACAGCCACGAGCCCGAGGAGAGGAAAAGCAACACGCTGGGCTTGCATGGAAGGCACGTACAGAGGGGAGACGAGGTGGCTTGTGAGACTGAAAGCTCGAGTGAGGAGGGAAGTAGTGATAAAGATGAGGGTTTTGAGGATGAGCATGAGCATGAGGCTGATCCGCCGAAGTTACGAGGAGGGGCTGGGAGTCAGACGGGTGGGACGGAAACGGAGAGTGAGAGAGATGGTGAAAACGCTGGATATAACGAAGACCGACACTCTGGCACTGATTGCATGCACGCTTCGCGTTCAGAAGACTGGCGTTTCGACCACACGGAAGAAGAGCAGGAGAATGAACACTCAGGAGACAATCGTTCGGAAGATGAGCATACGGACACTGAGCATTCAGAAGCCCAAAATTCCGACAATGAGCACACTGACCGCTCTGGAGATGAGCACTCTGGCGATGAGCACTCAGAGGGCGACACTGACAGCAATGGCGATGATCGAGACGAGTATTCAGACTCTGAGTCAGACTCTTCTTCTGCATCTGCCTAGACAAGAAATCACAGATGTAATATCGCACAAAATAACCATCTTCTTACCCAACCCGCTCCCTTTCAGCCTCAAGGCGGTGATACCCAACCCCGCCCTCATCGTTTTCATCTCGCTAGCTGGGGTTTCACTATTACCTTCTCTCGGCTTCCATCTCAATCTGAACCCTTTTTTGTGTTTATTCAATCAATCAGACAGTCCGCTCACTCACTCTCAGCCTCTCTTGATGGTTGCATCCCGCTTTCGTCGTTGTAAACTCGATAGCTGAGCTTGGCCCTTCTGTTGTCGATTCCGTACCTAGCTAGTTAACCAAGTCACTAAGTTATCACTTAGATCCACGTGTCTCTATGGTGATACTATACGTGTTACATACTGTGTCTACGTGCCACTTCACTCCCTTCACATCACGTCCCAAACCCCTCTTCACTCCACCCCTTCACTCCACCCCTTCACTAACTCACTCACCCCCATCACCACCACAGGCACAAGCAAAAGCACACGCCCAAACACACATATATCAAACAAGTCATATCACATTCAAAATCAAGCATCACAATCTATAATAACCCTGCTATGAAAACCCAAGCCAACCATAACACCCAAGAATGCAGAAAAAACACCGAGTAAGGGGAGATGTTCATACCATCATAACGATTTGTTGTTGCAAGAAAAGCAAAAAACGCCAGCACCAGAAGCCCACAGATACCTCCCGTTTGGACATTTGAACAAACAACGCAGCAACGCTAAAAGATAGAAGAAGAAGATGGAAGAAGAAGGGTAGAAGCTGTAGAAGGTAGAAGCGATAAAACATAAAAGGTATATAAGAAAGCTGAGCAGAGAGAGAATATGCACCCCATCCCAATCAGAAGTAAACCCCTTCCAGCCTGCATATTAAAAAAAAATTGTGATATAATGTTCCCAGTCCCAAATTCCACACACGCGCTCGCTCATGTCGTCAACCCAGAAAGGAATGCCACCCCTTCTTCTTGTTATAAACAAAGGAAACAAAGATCTCAAAATAGAAAGATCCAAAACGAACGAATATGTGTCAGTCTCTCGATATCAATCAACTTTTTGGTCCTCGCGAACCGGTCATCGTACCAGTCTTCTTCTCCGTCTTATCGTCAGTCTTTTTCTCCGCCCTGTCCTCGTTCTTCTTTTCCGAGCTCTTCATCCCGTTGATCCCGTTCGCATTTCCATTCGTATTGCCGTTCATGCTGTTCCCATTCATGTTCTTACCCCCCTCTTTCTCTTTATGTGTCTCCTTCTCTTTCTCCTTCTTCGCATTTCCATTCATGTTTATATTCCCACTACTACCACCATGCTCGCTTATATAAAAATCAATAGAATGGTCAAATGCAATAGAATGCGACAAATAAGCCGAAAGATCGTTACTCGCCGATCTGGATTCTTCCTCTTCTTCGTCGTCTTCGCCCGCCGACATGTATTCATCGTACAAGGGGTCGCGGGCTGCTTTTTTAGCTCGTGTGGAGGAGGTGGGGACGGTGTGCTTGCGCAAGGCGTCTTTCGAGGGTGATGTTGGTTTTCTCACGGGTGGTGAGCTGGATTTTGGTTTCGGTTTCGGCGTCGTGGTAGTGGAGGAGGTGGTTGACTTGGTTTGTTTGGGTGAGGGGACGGGGTCGGTGGGTGTGACCACGTCCATGGAGTCGACGGCTTTTGGGATCGTTTGGGTGGTGTCGGGGATGAGGATGCTGCGCGGTCGGATCGTGGTATCGGAGTTCTTCTCTTCTAGCCCCTTGTTTTCTACGTCGGTTACACTGAGTACGTTTGTCGGACCTACGCTGGGTAATGGCAGTGGAAGCATCGAGCTGGTAGATTGTCCCTCTGTCTTCCTTGGCGTTGCGGGTAGGGTGAAGATGGGTATTGGCTCGGTCTTGCTTTCCAGCTTGCCATTGATACTCTCACCAAACATTGTACCATCCTTCTCGTCCCAAAGCCGCTCGTCTATCCTCGGATCTTCCTCTGGTGAAAGAGAAAAGTCTTTGATACTTTCGTCGAGACTGCGCTCGCTTTCATACGAAACGCGTTCGGGTTCTCCAAAGCCGGAATCTTGATGTGGAGGCATGCGATACCCCTGCCCAAGCATAAAGGAATTGCCGACTCGTCTTGTATTTGGGGGAAGATCGAAAATAGAGAAACTTGTGCTCACTCGTGATGGTGGATTAGTGCTCGTCGCAGAAGAGTCCACCGCCACGTCGTATTCGAGATTAGCTAATTCCGCTGGTTCGGGCATATGGGGCTGCTGACTGTCGTAGTAGTAGTCTGGAGTCTCGATTCGTTCCGGTTCTTCCCGACGTTGCGGCGGCGGTGGAGGTGGCTGCGTTTGCGCAAGGTGATGTACGCGATCACTGAAACTGGCCTTGGTATCCACGTCCCGGGAGTTGCCCCTTTCAGATGGTTCCTGCAAGCTGTTTGGTAAAGATGGCGGCTCGATAGGTTGAAGACCACCAGGCATCGACAAGCCCAGCGGCGCATCATCAGATGGCTTGCTTCCCAGAAACGAGTTGTCCATGTCGCTTGGCGGACTTGTGATGCAAATGTCTTTCACTTCTTGATTCCCGAAATCACGGACATCAATGTCGCAACCTCTCTGGACCAGCTTGGTGTCCCCATCAACATACACCTGCTCCCACCTAGTCTCCCTGCTAGCTGGCAGACTTGCAAGCTCGTTCTCGAGTTCCGAATCATCAAGAGACATTACAGATCGGTGACCAGGGTAGGGCGAACAGTCACTCCGCCTATTTCTATCACTCATGCCCAAAGGACCTGGCGAGCGTCCGCGTTCATGGTGGTTGTTCGGTATGATGTAGGAGCCGGAGGATGCGGGGTATTCGGTGCGCGCTACGTGAATCTCTTCAAACGATGATTGCTGTCTCGAATGGCGACGGTGATGTGATATATCCTCCAGATCCACGGCTGTCCGAGGATCAATATACTCCTTGTCGCTCCGATGTGTGGAAACGCTATCTCTTACAGCGGCCTTGGGCTTGAATTCGTAATCCATATCCTCAGGGAACCATTTGAGAAGAGTTGTTGCGGATGGCCGTGCTCGCGGTGTATCACTCAAACATGCTCTGATGATGTCGCGGAAGTATACTGGGACGTCAGTTCCCGGGCGGTCGAGAGATCGAACAAGTGGTCGTGGTTGGCGCTCCGGTTCATCCTGCTGTTCTGCTAGCGCCCACAGAACCATACCAAGCTGGTAGAGATCTGACTTGACTCCTATGTATATTGATATACGCTGGCCGCTCTCGATGAGCTTGGCCAGTTCCGGGGGTTCCCAGCCGACAGGGCATCCCCGACGGTTAATGTCGATAATCTTGGCATTGTCGTCATTGTCAATAACAATGTTTGATAGCGTAAAGTCGCCCTGTACAAATCCAGCTTCATGGATCTCAGAAAGACCTTCGATGATTTGTCGTGCCCACCGCTCGCGGCGTGCCCAATATAGCTGTCCGGTTGGCTTGAAGTCATAGATCATGTCTACCAGCGCGCCTTGCTCAGCATAGCTAATCAGCAACCCCTTGATGAGCTCATTCTGCTCATCAACAATGACACCTTCAAATCTAATCACAGATTTGGACTCTTGCAGGCTGACCAGAGCATTGATCTCATACAAAAACTCCTCAACGGCGTCCGGACCGGGTATCTCCTTTTTGATATACGTCCTGTTGTTGACAGAAACCTTGTACACAAAGCCAGAAATATGCGAGTCAAAAGATACGGCGTTCTCGCGGAAGCGCTTACATCTAGATGGTCAATCGAAGACGATGCGGATACGGGATAATCTCATTACATCTTCAGTCACATGGACATGGAGGCGACCATCTGCAGTCTCCAGCTTGAGGTTCGTCACGGTGTCATAGAACTGAATGGCCGGGAGCGAGTCACGGATGGCTTCGTAGATGCGGGAGCTCTTGTCGCGTTGGTAGTGGAGCGTCTTGAGATCGGCCTCGAGCGAGTCTGGCTCCAGATGGCGGTAGTCGCAAGACACGGTCACTCTCCGCCACCTGTTTGGCTCTTCAGCAAATGTGACAAAGAACTTTTCGCGGTCCGACATGTCGCGGAAGTGCATGCTGAGGTTCAGGATCCACTTTGCCTCGAGCTCCTCCTGCAACCGGTCATGGTCAATGTCTTCACCCGAGTGATGTGAGCCGTGCTCGGAAAAGGCTTCTGCCACTTCTAGCTGCGGCGGAGGCGGAGGCGGTGGCAGTTCCATGGGCATTTCCATGTCCATGATGCCTGCACACATGTAGTCTTCTTCCGACTCTTCAATGCCGTAGTCGACCTGGCGCGCGCCTGCGGGTATATTGGAATCTGGCCCTCCGCCTATGGTGCGCTCCTCGTCGCGTTCCATTTTGCGCTCCACCTTGGGTTCCGGCTCTGGTGGCGGCTCCCTTGGGGCACTGGCTTCGCGTGGACTGAGGAGGTCGGGCGCAGACACGGACGGGACCGATTGTGGCGGCGGAGAGAGTTCTCGCTTTGATTTGGGGATATCTCGTGGCCGCGTCAGCGTGTCAAGGTCGACCGAGGCGGCTCGTCGCTGTTCGCCTTCGTTGGGCACCTCGAGCAGCTTATCTCGCTTCTCGCTCTGTAGCCTCTTGAACGTCAGCGGCCTAGGCAGCCCCGGTATAACCTTCCTGCTGCCTCGCCTGCTCAACAGCCCGCCACTCGAGTGCGGCCTGGCATTCTCCTTGTTGCCGTCCTCAGCCTTCTTCTCCGCCTTGACGGGCGATGGTGGTGGCGGCTCCTGCTCTTCCTTCTTCAACCACGAGCCAATCTTTTGCAGGTTGAGGCGCTCCCACATGCTGCTATGCTTGCCGACTTCTGTACGCGCGCGCTGTCTGCTGCGACTCCTGCTCGAATCGGCATTGTTGTCTGCCGACAGCAGCGCCATCTTCTGGGTAAACGTCAACGGCCGCGTCCGTCGCTCAGCTCACACCCAGCCTTCTTAACCCCCTCTACCAGCCTTCACGGTGCGGAACAAGGAGCACCCAGGCGGGGGAGGTTGCTAGTCGGTTTCGATATCGATTGGATTGGTGCTATCGATTTGGCGCCGACTGCATGCTGTGTCGTCGTGTGTCACCGTGGCTTCCCGCATCCATCGATCTCGGTGCAAAGCCCAGTGGCGCACAGCTCTTGCCTCTTCTTTTTTGCCCTCACCCTCGGTGGTCAGCAAAATTTTAGCAATTTTAATCTTTCGCCCGCAGAAAACAACAAAAAAAATCCCGCTCGGTTCTATTCTTGACGCCCAAGCGACATGCCCTGGATCTGCGTTGGCGCCTAACTAGCCTCCGGAACAGGCAGAATTAGACACGGGCAGTGTGATGAATTGGCGATGGCGATGGCGCAGACGGAGGTTTGACTGGGAAGCCGCGACCACGCAAGCTGACGGGGTTGAAGTTTGGGACGAGGAGGTGGGCAAGCGTGCAAATGAAAAAATGTAGCGTAATGATGAGTCTGAGATGAGTTGGGATGAATGCGACAGGCAGACGGCGCTGGGGTCTTGTGAGCCAATAATGGGCAAGACGGCACACCCTGCAAACCTGCAACTCCGTCCCAGCGGCGGACAACGTCGACCCGGCTTCGCCCTAACCCCGAAGTAATGCAGCAAGACGCAATAACCAGCGATTAGTCTTCCGCCCGTTATCCTGCGAGAACGAAAGCGGGGGTGATGATGAATAGTGTCAGAGGATAATAAGAAAGAGGGGACAAGGTAAGAGACGCGGATGAGGAGGAGTAAGATTTTTTTTCTTCTTTGCATGCGTGCCTGCAGCAATAGCCATGTACTTTTGGCCTGCCAGCTCCCCCAACAGCTGGCGGTCAAGCGCCAACTCGCACATTGGACAGCACGCCGCAGCACCACAGCAACCCACGCCCCAAATCCAGTTTCACCCTTTTACTGTGAACAAATCAAGCGCCGGTGAGGCTGAAAAAGACCGTCCCATTCCGCCGAACTATAACTGATTGGTCCTGCCTTGGGGTGTGGTAGCCACTTTAACAACAACCTGCGGTGAGAAAACCAGCCAGGCAGTCGCACACATCCGATTCCTCACCGTGCAGTTACCAGTAAGAATAAACCTTTGCAAGGAAGACGACTATCCGACCGGCTGCCATCGGAACGCTCACTGCGCTTCATTTTTCTTTCTCATTTGCTCGGCCCAAATTCTAGCCTCACGGTACTAACTACACAGCAGCCCCTCATCAACTAACAATTTTTTCTTCTCCTTGGATTACATACATGACATGACCACGGGAGGGCCAAAAACCCCTCTTTCGGGCCTGCCTGCATACATTACTACATTAGTTCCCTCCGCGTAGACGCGAGCGCAACCGGCGCGCAAGCGGAGCAAAAGACAGGAGCGAAGGATGCGATGAGCGATGCGGAAAGCATACGTAGGCCGAACACCGCAAACCGGATAGCAAACACTACTGCACCTAACCCCTTCCCCTTCACAGTCCTTCACGGGAGTCTCCTCCGCCTCCGTCTTGTAGGCACTATACCATACCTTACCCCTCCCATATTCTTCCAAGCTTCTCCTCTACCGCCAGCATCACAAGCCCCCAGCTAAAGTACTGCCCCACTCCAGACATGTCGCACAGCGACGTTTAATGGTTTTCCCAGTTCCGACAAAAGGCGTCCTCCTGCATATGTCGGTCGCTCGGTTCCTCGCTAACGCATGCATGCACTGTGATGATGACTGACTGATTGGCCCCAGTCCCGGTCCTGGTCCTGGTCCTCGCTGCAGATGGGAGAGACGGAAGCGTTTTTGCGCGGCGTTGTTGAGAACGAGGGTGAGTTGAAAAGGAGTGGCCCTTGGCAATACGGCCATGGTAGGTACCTACATGGTTTATTGTAGCTACTGACTTCAATGTTGAGAGCGCGGGGTTGCGGTCATGTGAGCCGTTCACAGTGCATGTTGTAGTCGCATGCATCTATCTTACCACCTCCCTCTCATTTTCACATTTTCTCTATCCCCCATCTCCTTCCCATCTGCCTCCATCTTCCACCCTCCATTAAAAACCCTGCATCCCCTATCCCTCATCCCTCCTCCAATCCCTCCTCCAGTTCGCAGCCTGCGCAGTCCACGCAGCCAGCCCACGCAGCCACACGCAGTATGCGTTGTCCACCACGCACCCGCCAACAAACACAACAACACTCCCAAATCCCACCTTTCGTGTTTCAGTTTCAGCTTTTCTCGACCCTTGCATACACAAAGTGAACACGTCAACGTTGATTACCCCATGCATAGTTCATGAAATCGTCATCATCGTCATCAGCAGCAGCAACACTAGCATCCATGTTCTCGAGCGTAAAAAAGTCACAAGCCACACAAGCACCAAAACTACCGCTTTAGGCGAAGCTCAAGGCGACCACCCGGCTAAGCTAACCGTAAAGGTCATGTAGAGTGGGATTTTATGTTTATGCCGCGTAATGCGCGGTTGGCTTGGGGTTGAGTGCCGGTATACGAGGCCGTTTCCAGTTTATTTCCATGTGCCGAGATGGGGGAAAATGGCAGAGGAAGGAGTAACTACACCCACAAACCCCCCCCCCCTCCCTCGTCTTTGCAATACGAACGAAGTCATGTAGTGGAGAATACATACATTCATCTTCATCTCTATACCCATACATAGTAAGCTAATAACATGCCCAAGAATTCATCCGCCCGTCCGTTCGTTCGTTGGTATAATCTATCACATGGCCCGACCCCAAGTCCATCATGCATATCGTACACACCCTCTCTGGCCTATCTATCCAACCAGATACACCCCATCTAGTCATCATCTTCCCCAGACTCTTCCTCTTCCTCTTCCTTCTTCTTCTGCTCGCGCTGCTTCTTGCGATCGCCCTTTTTGGCTTTGAGACTCCTTCTCTCACATCTCTGTTTTGCCGTGTCCTCTGTCGAGGTTGGGGAAGACAATGTCAAAGACATCTTTGTACCAGGATACTGGCTGGGCTTCGATGCCTTCTTTGATGGTCTGGCATTGCGTTAGTAAGGGCTCAAAAAATGGGTGGAGCATACATGTTTCCATTGCAGTGAGATGAGTACATACCTCTGGTAGTTCGAGCCAATCGCTCATGTTGTCGTGGAGGAAGATGACAGTCTTAGCGCCAGCTCGGCGTGCCGCAACTGTCTTCTCACGCAAGCCACCAATCCGAAGGACCTTGCCCGTGAGAGTGAGTTCACCCGTCATGGCAACATCATCTCTGATCTTCGTGTCGAGCGCCAAGCTGAGTAGACTCGTCGCCATTGTGATACCGGCACTTGGCCCATCCTTTGGCGTGCCGCCCTCAGGACAATGCAGGTGTATTCTCGCGTGTTCGAAGAATCTGTTCTTGGGGTATTCACGCGCTAGAATGCTCTTGGCGAATGAGTATGCGACGCCTGTAGACTCCTTCATGACATCTCGGAGAGAACCACTGCGCTCAAGTCCAGGTGACGACGAGGCAGACAATACGTTTTGTAAAATCGACTCAATGTAGAGTGCTGATCCGCCCATTGATGTCCATGCCAAACCCATGGCTACACCAGGAGGTGTGAAGTCGTACAGTCGGTCCGATGTGAAGATGGCTGGTCCAACATAGTCCTTCAAGTTGTCTTTGGTGATGGAGACGTGTACCGAATCTGGTATCTTCAAAGCAACACGAGGCTTTTCCGTCGTCTGCTGTTCAATGTTCTGTGGAGTTTCCTTTGTGTCACTCTTGTCCTTTTCAGACTCCTTCTGCGCAGCCTTGCCCTCCTCAGTGAGCGCCGCAGCCTCTGGAAGAGCGTCCTCGCCTACGTCGGTGACAATCTTCAGCGCAGCCTTGCGGTATACCTTTTCAATGTGCTTCTTGAGATTTCGGACACCCGACTCTCGGCAGTACTTGTTGATGAGCTCAACGATTGCATCGTTCTGTAGCACAACATCTGCCTCCTTCAGACCACTCATGTCCTTGGCTGCTGGTGACAGGTACTTTTCGGCGATGGCGATCTTCTCGTCTGAGACATAGCCGGACAAGCGAATCACTTCCATGCGGTCGAGCAGCGGTTGTGGGATGGTCTCATCCATGTTTGCTGTGCAGACGAACAAGACCTTTGACAAGTCAACAGGCACGTCCAGGTAGTGGTCCAAAAAGCTGTTGTTCTGTTCCGGATCAAGCAGCTCGAGAAGTGCTGACGCAGGGTCGCCGTGGTTGCTGTTGCGTCCAATCTTATCAACCTCATCGATCAAAACCAATGGGTTCTCCGTCTGGCACTTCTTCAGGGCTTGGATGATACGTCCGGGTAGCGCTCCTACGTATGTTCTCCGGTGGCCCTTGATTTCTGCTACATCATACATACCACCAACACTGAAGCGGTAGTATTGACGGTTCAGAGCGCGGGCAATCGATTTACCGATTGATGTCTTACCCACACCGGGTGGGCCTACTAGACACAGGATCTTTCCTTCGACAGTACCACGCAGTTTACCGACAGCGATGAATTCTAGAATACGGTCCTTGACATCTTTCAGTCCGTGGTGGTCCTCGTCCAAAACCTCGCGTGCGTGCTTGATACCAAAGTTCTCGGCACTGCGCAGGCCCCAGGGAAGCTGTGTGAGCCAATCGAGGTAGTTTCGTGTGACGTTGAACTCTGAGCCATTGGGCTCAAGTCCTTGCAGCTTGCTCATCTCCTCTTCAAAGACCTTTCGTACTGCTTCAGGCATGGCGAGCTTGTTGGCCTTTTCATTGAACTTTTCAATCAGTTTGTCCTTGCCATCCGACTCGATGCCCAGCTCGCGCTTGATACCCTTCATCTGCTCCATCAACATATATTCGCGGTGCTTCTTCGTGACTCTGGCATTAACATCGTCAGCGACCTTCTTCTGCAACTCCGCGCTAATGAGCTCCTTCTTGAGCAATTCCAAGGCCTTACTAAGGCGCTTTTCAATGTCCATCTCCTCCAGAGCATCCTGGAGCTCATGTGACTCTGCTTGTGCTACGGCAGCAGCAAAGTCGGCGAGCTTGACAGGGTCTTCGCCAACGTTCATTGTGGTGTGTACGGAAAAGGTGGAGACATGGTCGCGGAACAGAGGGTTAAGAAGTGCGACGCCCTTGAACGTGTTGACAATCTCGTTGACCAGCACCTGGATTGTCTTGTTCTGCTTGACGTCGAATGGCTCCTCGACCATGTTTTCAACATCGGCGATACTGACATTGCGGCCTTTGAGGATGGTAGCTACCATAGCTCCTTGGGCCGGCTTCGTCTCCTCACCAGCCTCCTCAAAACTTGCAACTACGTCGCCCTTGTTCGAAGGAGCAGCTACTTCGGACTCTGGAGTATCGGCACTCTCGTCCAATGTTACCTCGGCCACGGATGGCCCCTCTTGTTGTGGTGACTTGAGGCCCGTCATCCGTATGCGGCGGTGTGGGTAGAGAACGCATGTCATGGCGAAGTTGTCGTCGCCGCCGACAGGGAAAGCGCTTGTGACCTGGCAGAAAGTGCCGACATCGTAGACCTCACTGGGGTCGTGAATGACATCCTTGTCGGCTGTGTCGTCCTTGAACAAGAAGGCACCAATGTATGGTTGTCCTCGCTTCACCATGTCTGCAATTGCTTGTCCAACTTCCCTGTCCCGGATTGTGATGGCTTTGTAGAAACCCGGGAACAGCGGGCGCTTGAGAAGCGGCACCGCCATTACTTGGGGGTATACGTCGGGTATCGTGGGCTTGACGAGCGCCCGTTCAGGACCCTTTCGCTTCTTGCCACCGCCATCACCACCTGAGCCACTTCCTCCTGCAGCGCTGCCCCGCCCAGAACTTGTTCTTGGTGGTATTGGCTCAGGTATGTCTTTCTTCGCCTCAACCTCTTCAGCTTTTTGTTGCTCCTTCACCTTCTTTGCCTCATCTGATTCGTCCTCTTCTTTAGCCTCCTCCAATGGCTCCGGCGTTGCCTTTGGGTCCTTTTCCTTCCGTCTACTCAGCGATGTGGAAAAGGTACGGTACGCGAATAGTGCGGCGGGCGGCGAAGGGCATTGAAGGTGTGGTCGGGCGACCAAAGATGCTGTACATTGGGCAGGAAGATATCGCGACGACGCCCTCGTCGTGATGGTCCTAGAACTCGAGCGTGAAGCATGGCGTAGAGCTGCCCGCCACGGTAAGTTTTGCCCGTGAAACATGGCGATATTGGTATTACGCAGGCTCCGAAGACGGCAATACTATACAAAGAATGGAATGAGCGAGCGTAGAAGACGAAGCACTCGGAAATTGAGCGCAAAATCTAATGCGAGGCTGCCAGCATGTACAATGAAGAAAAGACGTGTGTTATGGTGGCGGCGTGTGCATTGCTCAGCAACTTCGGGAATCTCGACATCATCATCCGTCCAAGCTCCTCCGATAGCCCCGATGGCGAAACCTCGGCACGCGACACGCCCCTCTACGTCTAAACACGCTTCATCTGATCTGCGACGTTTTTTCACGTGTATGTGAACGATTCACATCTTTCTAATGTTCTGTTCCCATTAGTCTTCCATCTTCGCTTTGCCGCCTACATCTACTTGTAGCTCGTCTTCCACGATGATTTTGAACGACTGTAGCCGACAGCTCCGACATTGTGGAACATTCTCGAACTCGATCCTCCGATGTACCTACTGTATAATGCAATATTGCCAAGAACGACCGAGTTCACGACAGATCCGGATCTGAACACATATGTGGCGACCGTTACTACATGTACGATGGTCGGGCGGAGTATGTAAAAGGCTTGGCGTCACGTGTATACAGCCTCACTTCTACCATATGTACATTGATGTGGGTATGCAGTCCTGCAACAGTAGAAAGTCCAAGCAACCAAATGTGAAAAACAATGGCTATGAAGAGAATAAGAGAACCAAATGATGGGAACACCAAAACGACATTGCGATAATCAGCCATCTCATGTACTGGATCACCGAACCGCATGCAAACACTAAAACTTTCTATGGGTATAATATTCTCATTTCTATTTTCTAACTACACAACACCTATAACTATCTATGGCCCATCTCCCTCTACCCCATCACGCCGTCCCTTTGCTATCCTACATCACATCCGAAAATACCCAACAAGTCCGAGAAACAACTAAACACAAAGATGACATTAGAACGCAATAGCCTTCATGCCACGCTTAGCTGGCATAAGCCCCCGGTGAGGATGTCTGCGTAGGCGTGCAGCAGTCAAGAAGCCTGCGGGAAGGGAAATTGTGGCTTCGCCTGCGCCGGCAGGCATCGGAGGGGCAGGCGCGCCATTGGCCTCTTCAGCGGCGACCGGTGGTGCGGGTTTCTCTTCGGCAGGAGCTGGCTTCTCAGCTGGAGGAGCAGGTTTCTCTTCAGCCGGGGGAGCGGGCTTCTCAGCCGGAGCAGGTTTCTCGGCAGGAGGAGCGGGCTTTTCAGCGGGAGGGGCAGGCTTCTCAGTAGGAGGAGGGGCGGGCTTCTCTTCAGCTGGTGGGGGTGGTGGAAGCATAGCAGCGGCAGGAGGCATGGCGGGAGTCTCGGCAGGAGCAGCAGGTGTCTCGGCAGCAGCAGGACTCTCAGTGGCGGCAGGACTCTCAGCGGCGGCAGGACTCTCGGCAGCAGCAGGTGTCTCGACAGCGGCAGGACTCTCAGCGGGAGGAGCAGTCATTTCAGCCATTGCTGAGGCTGTCTTGTTTGCAAGAGCCGCACCCATCACGAGCGAGAAACTCTCAGTCACTGTAGCAGCCGGTGGTGCCGCTTGAGGCATTGACATGTTGGCGGCAGCGGCAGGTGTCTCAGCAGCGGCAGGAGGCATCTCAGCTGGAGGCATTGATGCGGGAGGAGCCATCTCCGCTGGTGGCATTGCCGCGGGAGGTGCAGGCATGTGAGCAGGAGGAGCAGGCTTCTCTGCCGAAGGAGGCATGTGAGCAGGAGGAGCAGGCTTCTCTGCCGGAGGAGGCATGTGAGCAGGAGGAGCGGGTACCTCCGCCGGAGCAGGCATGTGAGCAGGGGGAGCAGGCTTCTCCGCTGGTGGCATTGCCGCAGGTGGAGGCATGTGAGCAGGAGGAGCTGGCATCTCTGCTGGAGGCGGCGGAGGCATGTGAGCAGGCATTCCAGCGGGAGCAGCTGGTGGTGGCATCTCTGCCGGTGGTGGAGGAGGAGGAGGCATGGCAGCGGCCGGAGGAGGTGTATGGGCAGGCATGCCAGCAGGAGCAGCGGCCGGTGCCGGGGTTTCTGGAGAAACAGTAATGGTCTGTTGAGGAACCGGAACTTCCTCAGCCGGAGGCATTTCAGCGGCCGGGGTCATCGCAGCTGGAGTCTGCTCAGCGGCGATGCTGGCCATTTCCTTCGAGACGTGCATAGCTTCCATGGCGTCGGCAGATGCCTTGTGAGCTGCGTCCTTGGCCTTTTCCGATGCAACATGCATGGCCTCCATGGCATCCGCTGATGCCTTGTGGGCTGCGTCTGCGGCCTGGGCTTTTGCTATGTGCTCTGCCTCCATCTTTGCTGCAGCTTCTTGAGCGGCTTTATCTTTTGCCTGGGAATTGGCTATATGCTCGGCCTCCATCTTCTTAGCAGCTTCTTGAGCGGCTTTATCTTTTGCCTGGGCATTTGCTATATGTTCTGCCTCCATCTTCTTAGCAGCTTCTTGAGCAGCTTTATCTTTTGCCTGTGCTGCAGCTACATGCTCTGCTTCCATCTTTGCTGCAGCTTCTTGAGCAGCTTTATCCTTTGCCTGTGCCGCAGCTACATGCATCGATTCCATGGCGTCTGCGGCTGCTTTGGCCGCATCGGGAGCTGGAGCAGGTGGTGCTGCGGCCGCTGCTTCGTGTGCTGGCGCAGCCATGGGTTCAGTCCGTAGAAAAAGAGGATCATTCCTAGGAAGAGGGCCGGCAGCAACCATGGCCGCCGACAAAAGGGTAAGGAGTGGGTATATGGTCTTCATCGTGACTGAGGTTATTCGTAAGAAGAGACTAAGACGGAATCGTACGAGTTAAAAGTCGAATAAAAAGAATGTAAAAAGAGCACAGCTCAATGAATTAAATTAGCGCTCGGCACTTTGGAGAAAAGAAGGTAGTTGATGGAAAAGAGCTTCGGCTGGATGAAAGAAAGGTAGAGATCTGAACGGTTCGGGCCTTCGCGATATATGTATTTGACTCCATTCCGGGGGCGCATAGCGAAGGGTCAGAACATGGCCCGAAAAGGAAACGGCATATGGAGCCGGCTGCCACTTGGGTACGTTCGACGGGGCTTCCCGGCGTCATTCTCAACAAAGCTATGATGCCTTGAGGCGTTTAGGCGTCTAGGCAGGGTGACGACGACACGATCTCCCCCCTTCTTTTCCACACTTACCATGGTCACTCCTCCATTAGACAGTCTGACAGTACTTGGCACGAACGTGTCCAAGCCACATCCATGGGCCTGATCAGGTACAAAGACCAATGAGAGATGCTAAACAGCAAGAAATAGCTGGCCAGGCTCGATCCGCCAGTGGAGATCTTGGCGTGACAGTTACTGTCAGAGACGATGTAGCATGTCAGGCTGCAGGAGTATTGCAATGCTGAGGCTGGCCTTGTCGATGTTGTGATCGCATATGCGTGTTAGGGATGTGAAGCGAGTAAGGTTTCAACCGCCCGGATAGGAAAGTCAACCAGGTTTTCTGGGGGCCTGGAGCCTCAGGCACAAGCCACAATCCAGATCCGAGGCTGGGATGATGTAAGAATCGTGTGGAAATGCCTGTGGTTCTTCAAGGTCAGGTACGCGTTCACGAATCGTGCGATGGGAGCCTGCTTGGTTTCATCGCTTGGTCGGCTGCGACAACATCCGAGGTAGAGAAGTGAGTCGCAAGCTGGGAAACATGCTTTCTCTTGGTGAGTAACAACGGGATGACATGGAGGGCTGCCAATGTCGAGAAGAATCCTGGTAGTCGTGGGGCAGCTGCCGTCCTATCCGGAAACGCTTTCGGGCTGGGTCCTGTTTACTTCCATGCGACAACGATAGCGAGAGATCAATGTATCGAAAATTGACACTGACAGACGTGACGGTGGAAGTGGATATCGCAATGCTGTCTCCAAATGTGCGAGTGAACCTGCTCGGGTAGAACGGAGTGTGGACGGGGGAGATCTTCTTTCCGAGCGCACGGGCCTTCAAAGGAGAAGCACCCTGAACAAGAACACGACCTTGGAACTTTCATGCGCTCTACAAAATATTGCCTTAACGAATCCCCATTATTACTTGTACATATCCAAAATCGCATCCTTCTCACCAACTCGCAAAACAAACGATAGACCGGGTATCTCGTAAGGCACGATCCTTACGAACATCAAACACGCTGAAGGTTGTGGAAATTACTGACAGTCAGTAAGGCGTTGTATACCGCGTGCGATTTGTTTTCTTCTGGGATTCTAAATGTTGCATACACATGTCTCTGTAGAATGAGGTAACATTACTCACAAAGTAGGCAGTCGACATGAAGAGTGTGACTGGCTAGCCTCGGATATCTCTTGTGAACAAGTTTCTACCCTGCTCCATGGTTTCACTGACTGTTAGACACCCTAGTTCTCTTTCTGAAAAAAGACTGATCGACAGTGGCTGTGTACATTTATAATAGCCCTCTTGTTGATCTTAGGCAAGGAGGTGCTTCTGTTAGGTTCTGACGTATTGAGTGCTGGCCTCAGCAAAGTCCGCAACTTGTGACTCATCTGGATATGATCTGGGATTATGCTGATATTGTGGATTGGTAGAGTTCATTGACAAGGTAAACACCGACTCAAGAGCTATGCTGCTTGCCGGAGGTATGGTTAGAAAGAGGGGTTGCTGTCATGACGACCGCATGACCTGAACGACTGGGTGGTGATCTCAAGTATTCCTGGAGATTGCCAATTTGGTGATGTGTAATGTCCTTAGAAGCTTTCGGTCTCGATATGATGTCTACCAGGTGATTCAGACAAATTCTAACATCTGTTCGTTTTTCTCGGTCAAGTTCTTGTTCTCGAACAGCTCGTTATCCATCAATCCAGCGATGAAACTATGTCCGACTACTTCGTACGATTGGCCGAACGATCGTATCACAGTAGGATGATCGCAGCCCCTAACTAAACATATGCTATCACCTACTGACGCATCTCGCGTCGCAAGGCCAATGTAGCCTTGTCGAGTCACAATCAAGGACTGCTCAAACAATTTTGACAGCTGTTTTTTGAAAGGAATATCATGATATGATGCAATATCAACACGCCATTCTACATCCGCTAAGAATTCGACTGATAGCTTGAGACACCCCCAAAAAGCTGCCATGCGTTGCTGTGCTGTCATGTTCAAGAAGGAGTTGTGGTCCTTAGCTCCCCTGTACGGCTCGATCAAGTGATCGATAGCTCCAGTGTACTTTGCAAATAAGAGGCTTAGTAAGATCTTGTCGGGTAGAGGCTCTAAAGACTCAAAGAGATTCTCAAGCCCATGCTGTTTGAGAAAATCATCATACCGTGGATGGCTCATTACGGAGCTATCGTGCTGCGGGTGATGGTTTTCTGCGCCCATCTTCAATACCCAATGCAAAAAGCTTCGTATCTTGAGGAGTGATGTGGGAGCCAAAAAGTCACGTTGTTCTCTAAAGTCAAAGATGTTACGGCAAAATGCCTGCAGGAAAGATATCCCCGCAGGGTTTGTTGTTCCAATATTGTTCTGTAGGAAGGTCCAGGCAATTATGGAGTTAGCCGTGAGGCTGTCTTTCGAATTATCAAATGGGGTCACCGTTTTGACAGTGTCGATGATCCACCCGTACGTCTGGAGGATTCCAGGGTTACTTGTAAAGGCGATCTTCGCCTTATACCATAGAACGTATGAATCGGCTGCATTGTAATATGCCGTAAACTCGGTACTGCAAAAATCAGGGGTCCACGAGGGAAGACAACGCAATAGTTGAGTATCATGACCCCTTGGTTTACATCGAAGGTAAAGATGCCCATCTTCCTCAGCCGTGACGCGGACAAATACCCCGAAGACCAAAGCAACCGGTTTTTCATAGTCAATGGTAATACATCGATATCACGTATATGATCCTATAGCCCCATAGATGTTGTCGTGAGGAAGTGTCGCTTTGCAGCCACTGAACGCGGCCAACACGGAAGCAAGGTTACTCCGATGCCACCAGATCGCAGCCACTATCCCTGGTATTCGTGATAGATCTTCAAACATCGGAACTTTAGCATCGGAGCTGGAAAGGGTCGCCTATTCGATATCCATATTTATCAGAGATGTCAGCCAAACCAAAACATCCCTAAGTGACAAGGAGGACTTTCCACAAAGCAGCAAGACTTTAGGTGGAAGTAGAAGCTCTTGTTGAATCCATATCCGCTGCCAGTAAGGTCGGCACACGAAATGATCAATGTCTTCCCAAAGAGCCTCAGATACACTCAGGGCACCAGTGCGATAGCTTTCGAAGATACTCTTTCTAGCTTTTTGACCCAGGTGGCTCTCTACATATTCCAGGACCTCTTCGAAGAAGTTATCCATTTCCTCAATTTGGCTCCCGAAGTGACTGCTGACCTCAGACATGTGTTGGAAGACAGCCTCGACCGTTCCATCGGTATCTTCACCGAGCCATGCGTAGACTAATCGTGCCTTAGAGTAGAGCTCTCTCATTCTGGTAACCTGAGCGTTTCTTTCATATACATCGCTTTGATTGATACATAAGGCATCCACCCATATGATGACTGTCTCATGGACTTCACGAATGCGCCGCAACGCCGCCTCAAGGTTGACAGTAACTTGAACCTCAATGTCATTGACGAAAATAGGCTTTGTGATAGTGGGATCACCCCAAACGTATGACAATGCCGTATACGATGGTACCTCGGCCAGGTTGGCTGTGAAAAGGCGACACGTGATAGCGCTATCCGGGTCTGCATTGGGTGCTAGGGAGAGCAGTCGGAATTCGTCCTTTGTTTCATCCAGCAGCTTGTAGAGTAAGCCATTCTCCCTTCTATCGTAGCGAAAGGAGTCGTGACTGGACTCTTTTCGTAGCATTTAGGAGCCGAGGTTTCAGGTTACTCGTTTTCCCAATGGGACGCTTGTACCATGGAACCAGACTCCTGTCCATGTCGTAGATTTTGATGGTGTAATCAAGTGTGTGTAGGCTCCAGGGTTCTTTGAGCTCGTGAAGCGGGGGCATCAGGTGTGTATGCTTTGGCTGCCGCCTAGGCGTATCGGTGCCATTGGCCAGATTGTGCCTCGGGCAAAAGCCACACGTATCCAAATTGTTATAACTATGCGCATTTCGCAAGCTCTAGAGTCAAGTTCTGCAATTTTTCTGCGTGACATCCAGTTCCATTGACAGTAGGAATACGCTTACGCAAATTTGCAATGCTGCTTGACTGGTCACCTGTCTCTTTCTCCAGCCAGACGGGCCTGCGAAGCTATCCCCGTTACAGCGACATGTACAGCCTAAGCTCAGTACGGCAGCTCTTACTTTGGTATGCTGTCAGTTTAGCATGCCGTTAAGAAGGTCGATAGACTGCGTATTGGCTGCCTAATCAACCGGAATATTGGTGCGCTGCCATTGGACGTACTCGCAGGATTTCATTGTGTGGCGTAGCTGTGTCCATAGTCCTATTGCAGGTACGCTAAGCTTTATCGATTCGATGCTGACGTGATGATGGCACTGCAGGCAACATATATGTCTCAAGATATAGCGAGACTTTTCCGAAGTTTTAGTAGCTCGGAATCCTATCGTCAGCAGTCGCATTCTCTGGATTAAGCATCGCCCAGCCCGAGATCCAAGACTGAGCAATGCTTACTTTGCTCGTGCTGTCGGGACATGCGCATACAGCCAGCCCGGCGAGTTTTTCCGGGCCGGAAGCTTGGACCACTAGTTAGACCAAGCTTCCCGCTTAGCTCGCAACCGTACATATGGAGATCTCTCCATCCAGCTCTTGCTCACTACTAATCAAATACTATACACTTTGTTCGTTGCAACGACTGCTAGTATTCGACACCTTTGCCGTGTCAACACGTGCCGTAAGGACAACTGTCTTTACAGCATATGTGAGGTGTTTTGGACGTGAAGATGGTAACAATTAGTTGGTGTGGCGTCGGGCAGGCGCGGTTTGGCTAGCGAGTTTGACTCGTCTCGCCTTACACTCCCAGAACCTTGCTTCAACGCTCATCCACCTCCATCCTGTGCACGAAAAAAAAACTCAAATCAGTAGTACAAAGCGCACGTTGTTCAGCTTGAGACATTTCGTCAGCAAACAGTGGCTAGCCAAGGATAACCCAGTGCTCCTGTTAGCGTTCGGGCCTTTGCAGGGCCGGCGTTACAGCAATAGTGCTGTTGACATCATTTTCGGACAACACGGCACTCCAGACTATTGATTTGTTCGTTACATTGCACCCCCTCTAGGGATACGGACGTGATGATGAAGGTTGCGAGACATCGTTGCACCATAGGTTGCCTGGGGCGGCGATCTTCGGTGGGCCAAAATAATCATGGGCGCACAGTGCTGCGGCTGAAGGGTGACGAGGGAGGTTGGCCCTAGCCACATTGACATCACGGCAGCAGGCATCTAGCACCGAGGGGAAGGAAATACTTATACAAGCGCCGAGTGCACCACCGTGAAGACATTTATCCAACGACATCATTCTACATTTACTACACAACCCATTTTTACCAATCTATTCAGTCGTTGACCTAATACATATCAACCCCTCATCACCGACCATGTATACCTCAACCACCTTTCTGATCGCAGCAATCTCCTCGCTAGCATCAGCCCTACCCACATCAAACATCGTACCTCGGGCAGGCGGACCGGCTATCACGCCCATCCCTTCAACCTGCGCCGTCACAAGCCCCATGCCAGCGTCGAACGCATCATACATGCCTGCGCCAGCTACCAAATCCGACATCCTATACAGCGCATACTATTCCGCCTTCTCCTCCAACACAACCGCAATGGCCCAACAATGTCTCGAGCAATGTTACGGCTACGGGTACCACGTTGAGTGCAAAACGGCATACTGGGCACAGAACGTCGCTGTGCCCGCGGGATACTATGGCACAGCTGGCGGACAACTGGAGACGGCTTGTTTGATGTTCAACAGAGCGTTGACAAGCGACGACTTTGTAGTTGCACCAGAAGGCCAGGGCACTGATGCCGTTGCTCGAAATATCGTATGCTGAGCACGTTGCGTATGTTTATGGCGTTCAAAACGGACAGATGAATTAACGAAAACGGCATTTTGTGGATACCGGGGTTAAGGAGGCGGGGGTTATACGGCGCGGGTTTAATGAGGGTAATTCACCGACATAGCAGATGACGGGTAGCTTTGTACAGCCTTGTTTCTCTCTGCTCAAAATAATTTGCGTCATGAATTTGGACGAGACGATAGAATAATACTACACCTATAATCTTGAACAATGTCTTACTTTTCATCTTCTCTTCGTCACCGCAGTCCTCATACTCGTATTTATCCATCTGTCCATTCCTTTCACATATACACCTCCATACCAGCAACTCCAATCCAAGGCCACCTCCTACTAAATCCACAACCCTGTATTCTCCGTCTCCTCTGTCCAACCCCCGCCATACGCCACGATACCGTCACATCACCCATCATCCGAACTATCACTTCACCAACAAAAACACCTCGCTCAAACGTTCCACCGAGACGATATCGCTCGCGCCATCTCTGTCCCGCCAGCAAAAAAGAATCTATCTTTAGCTCCCTTTGTATCATCTCAGTCTGCGAGCGGAAACGATACGGATTCTGTACACACAGTTACCTAGCGTAGCGGTCTCCAACAAGGTGACTTATGTAACTACTACTTAGCTAGTATTTTGCCCTAAAAGAGCCAGGCGAACGAGAAGCCTAACTATCTCTTTACATGGTCATTATAAATCCCCCTTAATTCTCGTATAACTATGTAGTACGCAGTAACAGGTGAACAGCGGTATACAATACTTGATGTTAAAGGCTACCCAAGTCTAAGCCCGTAGAGATCCGCTCTAATCAGGTAGTAAAAGGGAAGGGTTCTAACGTATAAAGCACCGATATCATGCCGCGAAGTGCCACAGACACTCCCTCTACATACCCAACAAGCGCTGCTGGATACGTAAATAGAAACACCGTGTGTGCAGTCGTAAGAGAGCCTAATCCGGCAACTCTACCTGCTCTCAAAGAGGCTCAATAGGAGGCGCGTGGGTTGAATTTGGTAAGGTGGTAGAACCGCTTGGCTAGATTACGATCATCTCGGTGCCTTTTCGTGGCATTCAATATCGCCTATAGGTCTCGCCCGCTCGGAACGCTAGTACACCGCCAGAAAAGGCGAAATGAATAGGGCCGGCTTCGGCCAATCATCCAGGAGTCTAAGCTCCTCGAAGAATGTTGGAATATAGGCCAAATATAAGTATTGTCGGATCGTGAGTATCGGTAGAGACGTCGGCTGCTTGATACTTCGGCCCGACTTCGGCCCACCTTGCGCAGAGCTTAGGTATACCTTCGTAGCAGCTATGTTCGTAGAAAATTAAGAACAACCACCGAACAGAATGCATTCCTAGTTATCGTTATTTCCCTTTACGCACTTAGTGCAAAGCCAACCAACAAGTATCTAGGTAACCACAAGGAAGCTCTACCCACAACACAGATCTATCCTCCATCTTTACGCAGACAAACAATCTACCTTATTATCAAAAATGAAGCTCACTCTTCTATGTCTTTTGCCTGCGGTGTCGGCCTTCGATTGGTTCACCAACAACGGATGGGGTAGGCCGGATCAAGTAGATCTCAGCGACGAATGCATACAACAAGAGAAAACAGGCACTCATTATTACTGCGTACGCCAAAAGCACAAAATTTTAAACAAGAATAAGAAGCTAATAGTCCTGTAGGCTACTGGAGCTACGACTCTGAAGAAAAACCCGTTCCCTCAAGTCTTCCCTTATGGGCGCAATGGTTGTGCCAACGCGAACAAACAGGGTGTTGCATGCAATTGGGGAGGACAAGCAGGCAGTGTAAGTTAATGTTGAATTGTATTTTACTATAATCACAAGCTAATTATACTTGCACAGATTGTTTGCGTAAGTTACTATGCCAAATATCAAGTAACTGGCTCGCGTTTTACTAATTATATAATAGTGCCCGTGAGCGGAATTCCTCGACTACATCTGCCGTTGCTAGCGGCCAAGGCAGTATATTCATATCCGCGGATCACACTAGCACGACAAGATGTGGATGGTACGAGTGTAACGGGCTGAGCCTCGAGTCACATGACTAGGCTGCTAGCCTAGTCGCTTCCCCGGCAACGTGAGGGCCGTGCGCCAACCCAAACAAAGCAGGCTCGCCGCTTGCGTCTTACCTTCTTTCTTCATCTTGACTGTAAATAGCATCTGGACTAGGTAGCTGGAATACAGTTCCTACAGACCGTTCACAACGAGCGGCTCTGTCTACCAAGGAACGTTCGTGTTGAAGGGGCATAGTGTTTAATTATAGGCAAAGATAGTGTCATCTAGTTTGATTCAAATGCTAGAACAGTGTTTCCAAGGTTGACTTCCTCTTATGTTTTCCAGCAACTATATACATATTCAAAACATGTAGTAGATTCTAGAAACTATGATACATCTTGAGTGGATTCAAATCATCATTCTTATCATTTTCTTTGTGGACGCTCCCAACTTTGCCGCAAGCTCGGCTTCTTTTGGAGGGTTACTCTGCCACTATAGTTCTCCAAAACGGCCCAAGATCTTAATATTCGCACCACTCTGTTTAGCCTTTATGTCTTTGTCTGTAACACAAAACAAACTGTTATATGAGTCCTTGTCTGCTTACTGAAACATGCTAATTACCCGTAAGACGGAGATCACGCTCGTCATGGCAAAGCCTGACTTGCTGACGCCGCCGGCGAGATTCGTCTCTACTAGATCTGGTTGCACACATGAGGATCAGATCCCCGGGCCGTATTCTTGTAAAAGGAATTCATATAAAATGCTTTAGTAAGATACAAGGCTTATACGAGACAGGGGTAAGAAATACAAGGTAAGCACGTCACTTTTTTCTGTGTTTTATAGTTGAGTTAGTGGGGTTTGTGGTAATCTACATTTACGTACTAGTCTCTACTTAGAAGAGTGGAGTAAAGATCTCGGGATGGCCCTATGTAGATCTAGAAGTTGGTGTTGATGTTCGATGTGGAGTTGAGAGGAGGCTGGGTATTTCGGTGGGCTCGTGTGGGTATGCTAGGTACCTGTACCTAGGTTTTTTTGCTAGCCTGTGTGATACAAAGGTAACCTGAATACATAGTTTTTGCCTCCACCCGCTTCCGCTTGCTTACTTACTCGCCCGCCCCGAGATTTTCTGTGCAGCGTTCCATGCATACATGCCCACGGGAATATCTCCTGAGTGTCGAGTAGTAGTCATTAGTAGTAAGTCCAATGTAGTGTACTCCGAGACTTTACCAGCCGATGACCGGCAGCGGGCGTGGCAAGGGGGGCGTTACGCGTCGTAAGACGGTTTCTTAGTTAGCTAGCCTAGCCTGGGATCGGTTGGGGATTTTCTTAGATGCAGATGCGGATGCATTCAAGCGAAAGAGAGAGAGAAAAAAATAGTGTGTGCTGGCTTCCTTCACCTACCAGTCATACTTGCAGTCAGGTCACAGCGCGCACCCGGATTAAGCAAGGTTTAAGCAATATTTTACGCCTAGGAATCGGCGTTCCCATTGGCATGGACGCGGGTGGGGCTAGGGGTCCGGATGGCCCGCTAGTAAGTGACCTGGGTGGGTGAGGAGGAGGGAGGGGGGCCTTATCGGATGATTCCGGTCGCTTTGGGGTTTTTAAGGCGTGCTGGATGTTTAGATGAGTTGGATTGGGAAGGCAAGTGATGTTCTTTGGGCGGAAGGATCTGCTTTAGTGCTAGCTTACGAAGACTTGTTAGACAGGCAAGTTGAGACTTTACATGTTGAATGAGTTATCTCCGTAGTGAAAGAGCGCTGCACGTGCTAGCGTGTAAGTATGTACCTAGACAGGGTGGGGTCCAAGAAAGCGGCTCGGGTACATAACCCGCACATCGGATGCAAGCAGCCGATGATAATATTAGGCGCTGCGAATGGGGTCTTCATTCCAAATTCAAACTGGTGTTGACTTGTTTTGGACATTTCCAAGGTCAGTAACACGCAAATAGACGGCCATCAGCCTCACCGCTTGTCACGACTGCGATATCCTGTCTTCAACTGGGGGTAAAAGCGACCTTTATCGAGCTAAGGTCGCTGGGCTGCGACCGGAAGTCAGATCCGGATCACAGCCACCACCCGCTATCATCAGCCTCTTGATTCCCCAGGTGAGATTTTGGTCATGCGGCGGGTGGTGGAGAGGCCCCCATACAAGCGAGTCGAGTTCTCATTGGTGGGAATGCGGCATTGTTGCTGATGAGGCTGCTGCTGACGGCCCGGATTGCTACGTAGGCATGTAATCCGATCTTTTTGGGATACGGGAAATTGTGACTATTGGAACGGCCGATGGATTTAAGGTTTTATTGTTACGTGGCTCCGATAGCTATAGTGGACGAAGGGTACGAGGCAGGCATACATGTCTTATATTGTCGTAAACAAAGGTGGTATTAGATAGTGTATAGGATGGGATTGGCGAGAACGCATGTGTTCAGCCAGAATTTCTGGTCCCAGCTCGCCTCCTGAATTGATAGCGGGCTGGAGCGTATCATGAGACATCACAGCAAAGAGAGTACCGTCTAAAGAGACTTCCAAAATGCATCGCTTGGGAAATACAGGCTCCAACAGAAAAGATTGGAAAGGGTATAGACAAGAAGTGGGAAATGAGTCAAGAAAACGTCCTAGTAGTACCATCGTCATTGGATCAACTTGTCTCAGTCTTGACTGATGTAACGCCCTTGAATTCTCCGTGTAATATCTCCAGGAGTTTTCGCAGAGTATCTGTATTGCTGCTTCGTCGGCGCGTGGTTGAGCCTTCTTCATCCTCGCCCTCAGCATCATCGTCTTGGGTGAGAAGTTCGATAGTTTTCCGGAGTTTCTCATATGCGGCATTGAGTTCAGAATGGGAAACTTCTAGCTTGTTGTATTTGTCGCTCAAGACAGTAAGCTGTGCTTCAAGATCTCGCGCATGCTTTTCTTTCCGTTCACGGAAAGCGCGCTGGGCAGCCCGGTTTTGAGCTCGTCGGCGCTGTTCACATGTTAACAAAATTCCGAATTCACGGTTGGTGGAACTTACGCCCGAGGTTGTGTGTATCCGTTCGGCTGGCGCAGTTGTGTGCACAGACCCAAAAGACGGCTCGGTGTGTTGTAGCGGCCGGGGACTGCAGTAGGGACTATCTTGATCGGATGCAAAATCAGGCGGGGTCATGGGCATGGGATATGATCCGAATGGCAAAGGCTCGTCGACAATCTGGGGGTAATAAGATTGGTGGATTGGTGCAGGGAACTGGTCGTAAGTCGAAGAAACCTTTGCAATGTTAGTGGGGAAAACTTCGAATCCCGGAGTTGACTCACTGGCGATCCGCTCAAGCTGGGTACTTTTGAAATATCGGGAGGCATGTCGAACACCGTCGTCTGGTGTGGTGGGGCAATATAATTTCCTTGGGCCATCCAGTAGTCAAAAGATTGAGAATCCATTGCGATTGAAGTGTTGGTGGTTACAATAGGTAGAGGGCTAGTGAAGGACCTAACTATGCTGCACTGGTGGGTAGTGTTGCTTATGGTAACAATGTAGCAATGTCACGGTAGGTCTTGTCAAGTGTAACAGAACAGTAACTTGTAGTCGAGTTGATTATGTGGTTGAGACAGCTTACACAGCTATGGGTGGGCTGAGATCTTATACACGTCGTGGACGACGCGCATGGAAACCGAGTCGACTTACAAGAGTCGGTTTGAGCAGGGGTTCTACTGTGAGCATGCAATTATACCCGCATGTAACGGCCACAGTGGACCCTGGGAAATGTGGCTTTCTGCGAAAAGTAGGTGCATAACGCAGTTTGGCGAGCGTTGTGGTCCAGCCTGTCTCTCGGCAAGCGCGTCCGGAGCACGTTGCAGCGGTGCCGCAAGCAATTCAGGTGTAGTTATTCTCGTCTTCGAGTGGTTCGCCAAGTTACACTACCGATGAGCGCGGGGCAAGGGCTTTGCATGAAGGCGTACGCTATACTTTTTCAGGTGTTTGATAAAAGATTAGCATACTCGCTGACTTAAATCGCAACCATGGCCCGCCAACCACAGGCGCAGTATCGGATTTAGTCGATTGGCGTCTTGGTAAACCCCAGAGGTGCCTGGTGTCGTCTTCTCGAAGACCTAACCGACCTAAGGATCATCGTCCCGCAGACGATGCATAGGGCTGGATCTGCTAGGAGCAATGGCATCCAGCTGCTAAGTTTGATGCTTCACGATGGCTTTCGCGCAACATTTCGCACCGTTTCCCTCAGACACGCTGGCCTCGCAGCTCAACAGAAATTGGGTCGAGATGGTGGATGCCTTCGACGTCACTGACTCAAGGTTGCGTTCAGCTGGAATCTCGGGGGTCTTTGTCGCTCCCGAGAGTAGGCTGAGCAGCCCCGAAGTTCGGTGGTAGTGAAGTGTAGTTCGCACTAGCCGCGAATAGTTGCAAGTGCATTCCAATTCAGTCACCGCCCTTCGGCGTCGCTTGCGAGGGACCCCCGAGGCGATGGCTGCTACAGAAATAGCCGTACCTACCGCTCGGGATTGCGCCCTTGACAGCTGGCCTCGTTATACTAGAGCTCTTGGCGTAAACGCGCCTCAATCTTGACGCGGCCTCGCTGGAGAGAGTTGAGATTGTGTGTTGTTCGTATAGCATTGGTGTTTACCATTGACTTTTCAAGTACTATCACATGCATCATCGCACATGGGTTGAGGATAAGTAACACAGGAAAACCTGAATGCGATCGGTGAATGTCGGGTACAGAAACTGGGGTGCGGCGAAAACCAACTTTTGGGAGGAATGGGAAGTAGGGAGGAAGGTCCGTTAGGCATCACTGGTTGAATTTTTGGGGCTCATCCATGTTACCGCAATTCCAAGCAACCACTAAATGCAAATCACGACAGGCTCGGCCATGTGATGAGCTTGCCTTGGGCTCCACTGTGATGTGATTGAGCATCATGGTGCAACCAAGCTCGAGTGACGTCCAGAAAGGATATAAGGTAGCAAGAAGTCGCGACGTACCATCTCGCAATACCTAGGCTGATGCAACACCAGTATGCTACGACGCCTCATATATCGCGCACGCCATGATGCAAACCACACGCCTACACGTGGAAGCGATATAGAGCCACAGCCGTACCGGTACGGTACTGGCTATGACCTCTATGCGAGACCACTGGCCGAATGCGGTAATTTTGGAAATTCAAGGCCGCCTGCCCTATGACGTACGTGGAAAAACGCTCCTGGACCGCTGCCCACACCCATGCAAGATGGAAATCAGACCAGACTTGCATGCCCTTCACCGAATTCGCGTAGAAACATGACGTCTAGCTGTATGGGGCAGCGATCGGCTGTCGACGCCTAACTTTATCTTATCTGATGGTATTCTGCTACCACTGGTTGGTGGGGTGTGCTTCCGACAAGCATATCTGCCCAGAACCCCTCAGATCTCCTTCTCGGCACTGCAAGACACGGTCTCGACATCGATAACAACGCAACTCGCCATTTCTTGCTCAGTCTGCCCCGCTTGCTGACATGGCCTGCTTGCTGCAGCGTAAAGCACAAAAGGCACTGCATAAACCTATAAGATTCCAAGCTTTTTCGACTGGCTAAACGGTCAGCAGCGGCATGGGACATGGACGTCTCGATCGACGGAAGTAAGCGAACTACATGTTCGACATTACCCATCCCGCATCACTGTACTCCCGCTCCGAAGTCGCCATCAAAGCTAGGCCAAAGCTGTCGAATGTTAATGCAAATATTCTGCATACTCTACCGTACGGTACACCCAACCGCAGCGAGCATGCAAAACATGCAGTGTCTACCAAATCTTCTGCTTACCATCATGCGCCAAAGAAGCCGTGTCAGATTGTCCTCTCGCACGTATGACAACAGAATTCCCATGACACGGCACCGGAACGGCATCTCCAATTGTAGTTACTTATCCGTCCCGTTGGTCATGTTATTACGACCCCAATCAGTGGTAGTCTAGTATGGCGCACTTCAGGGTCCAACGCCAGGAATCCTGTAGGACACGCTAGTAGCCTTACCGGGGCATATTGCTCCCTCCAGGCTACACTTCTGTAGGATAAAAGGTCGCCGACATTATTCTTCATACATAGGCGCGACATGCCCAGAATCTGCGGAGAAGTGATTGGAGCCAAGCATCTTATTAGAGAATCCTCGCGTAAATCAGTTTTACCACCAATGCAAACGCATCCACAGTAGACATGGTAGTATAAGGTCTTTTGCTCTCCGAAACATTCCCTGGGACAAGTATCCAGATGTGGAACCGTTAGCAATGATGTTTGATGGACAGAGTAATAGCAGCGTCTTGGGCATTGTTACCACGTTTCGTAAATCCACAAATCATGAGTGGAGAGCGGAGTAGCAGAAACCCACCAAGATCGGAGCTATCGGTATGGCAGCGGCCCGCGGGGTACCGTAGACGTACCTACGTCTGATCGATTTTGTCCAGCACCAGTCACATCCTCCACATGCCAAACATGGGCGCATAGCCTCATTGCATACAACCCTCAAAAACCCTCTTTGCATTATAGGTTACTCTGAAATGGCAGCATCCATCTCCCTCCGTCCCGCACAGCCCACAGATGCTCCAGGACTTGCAGCAATACATACCTCAGCCTTCTCCACGAACAAGCTCATGCGCGCCATCTATCCTACGCCACAGGTCTGGGCAGCGTTTCAAAGCGCAGTTGAAAGGAAGATGATGGCAGATATGCATGATGCGCATACCACAGTCTTGGTTGCTACTGCGAAAAGGTTTTCATCGGGGTTTGGAGCAGAAAGAGAAGCAGCACAAGGGGAAGTGGAAGAAAGGGATGAGATTGTAGGTTTCGCAGTATGGATACATCCCACGCCATGCAAAGAGGGATTCACACCGCCGGCTTGGAATTTACCAGAGGGGACGGACTGGGGTGTACTGGGGCCGTGGAAAGAGGCTTCGGAAAAGGTTGCTTCACATGTTATAGGGGAACGTCCGCATTATGGTGAGCTCATCCGCCCACACGCACTTCTCAGTACCTCATGAGCGTTGTACGAAGCGGTGTGCTCTTCCAACCCCAACGCCCCCACCTTGGGTTATTTTCAGTCTTGTGATTAACGAGTATGCACAGAACTCTCATGGCTCGCCGTCGCATCACAGTATGCACGGCGCGGCGTAGGCACCATGTTGCTCCGCTGGGGCCTAGACGCGTGTGACAGAGAGCACGTGCCCGCATATCTGGACAGCACGGTGGAAGCTGCAGAGAATTTCTATCTGAAAGCTGGATTTGAAGAGAAGGGCAGAATCAAGTTGATGGTTAAGGGGGAAATGTATGAAGAGGTTGCATGTCTGTATGACCCAAAGAGGTCGAATTGAGAGACTGTGCGCGTTACGTTGGGCTCCGCTATTGGGCATTGTGGTTTGATAACGAATGTAAATTTGCAGAATGAGTATCTGGGATGTTGGTGATGATTGTGTCGGGGTACTCTGCATGGCCTGGTATACGTCGCACTAGCTTCCAAGAGCGCGATTATATGTGGTTGGAAATATAACAAGGCCGCGCAGCTGTCTACCAAGGCCGTACGCAGCGAATTTCTAATTAAGGGGCCTGTATACAGTATGGCGACTTGGACGTCTTCGTATAAGTCGATGAGGTGGTCAACACGTGGGGTGAAAAAAAGGTGAGTAATGGGTCGAGAACGTCTGACTTGTCGGGCATGCTTCGTGATGCGCGACAAGCATACGGTGGGGTCGGAACATACACCGGACATGGGTATAGAAAATGTTTGAACATGAAGCCCAACGGGTGGGTGCGCATTGCGATATCGCCAGCTTACGCCGAGATGATGTTGTGAAAGTAAGAATCATATCCAGGCTACCTTGAAAGTAGTTTCTACTCGGACAGAGTCGAAACGGTGGCGAAAAAAGGCACCTTATTACACCATGGCATAGCTGCATACTAGGTCCCAAAACGACGAAGCAATCCAGCGTATTCCCAAGTGCACGCCCCACGGGGATAAAAGATGGTGTCTAAGTAGTGCGCGGAAGAGTCGGGGAAGCGCGCAAGTCTCGACCGAACCCTGGAACCCTCCAATACCTGACGCAAAAGGTCCAGTTTTCTAGGAAATCAGAGGTAGCGGACTTACGTTTAAATTGTGGAATCAACCAATCAGGGAAATTCCTTGACACATGAAAGTCGCCCCCGACCGTGGGCGTTGCATCACTGCGTCCTAAACGACGACGTGGTGCGGCTCTGCTTGCGAATTTCCTGCCCCTTTCGGCAACCCCTTTGCATGCTACGACAGAACGGCCCAACATTTGGATCCACAGGCTCGTCGCGACCATCTGCAAAGGTACCGCAAAGGTATTTTCCATCGTCGGGCCGATGGTTTGGGCGATGAGGTAACGCCGTCTGTTTTGGTACCTGTCATAGCCGTGGCAATGCGGAGTACTTGATGGCCTACATCTAATACCATTGTCGCCCTCATCAACCAATTGCCGTATCAACATCGTCGCTGCTATCATTCGTGCCAAACCCTCCCACGGCAACGGCAGTCGCAATGGAACCTTCAACTAACTCCACCGAGCCCATCAATGTTGATGCTTACGAGATGCAAAATGTACAACCCACACTACCACCACCATCGGCACAACCAGAACAAGCCCCAGGAAAGTCAAGAGTTAGGTTCAACAGCTCTGCCAACGTCGAAGTCCCCCCTCCGACTCTCGAACCAGCCCACAGTTACAGTCGTGTGAGCGAAGCCGATTCAAAAGAAACTCCCGCCAACCAGCACACAGCCGACGCAGAGGAGCTATGGAGCGCACATGTGGGCGGTCCAGCACGTGCCGAAACTTTCCATGCACAGCCTTCAAATGAAGTAGACCCTGATGCTGCTTATGCAGTCACAGGCAACAACAATGGTGGCATTTTCTATCAGATCCTCCAGGCGTACAAGACACCTGTGCCTGGCTACAACGACGCATCATCCGAAGCCAGCGCGGCCTCACCTCCAAACCTGACTGGATCTTCAGGTGCCGGGACGCCATCAAGACGAAAGTGGTACAATGCAAACAAGTCGATGCAGTCGACCGAGACATTAGCAACACTCGTCGGAGCCTCAGCGAAACTTGCAAACCCTCAAGATGAAAAGAAGAATCCCGCTGCTGTACGACCACCCCATAAGCGGACCAGCAGTGGCGGCCTGCTCACCAAGGTGTGGAAGGCGAAAGAGGACTCCGACGCCAAAATCAAGATACATGTTGCCAACATCCTCAAGCGACAGCAGTACATTATCAGAATGTGCCGCGCCTTGATGCTCTTCGGCGCACCAACTCATCGTCTAGAGGAGTACCTCGCAACCACAGCCAAGGTTCTCGAAATCAATAGTCAATTCCTCTACATCCCCGGTTGCATGATCATCTCCTTCGACGACAATCTCACCCACACGGCTGAAGTCAAGATCGTTCGCACTGTCCAAGGTGTAAACCTTGGTAAGCTCAAGGATACCCACGACATCTACAAGGAGGTGTTGCACGACGTCATCAGCTTGGATGAAGCTCTTGCCCGCCTAGATGAAGTCATTAATGCAAAGGACCGTCACCCCCGCTGGCTCACCGTCATCATGTACGGTCTAGCCAGTGCGGCCGTCTCAGTCTTCTTTCAGGCCCGACTTATCGACATGCCCGTCATCCTCGGTCTCGGCTGCGTGCTTGGTCTGCTACAACTAGTCATCGCACCACTATCCAAAACATACAGTACAGTTTTCGAAATCACAGCCACCATCCTCATGAGCTTTCTCGCCCGCGCATTCGGTAGCATCAATAACGGCGAGCTCTTCTGCTTCTCAGCCATCGCACAGAGCGCCATCGCTTTGATTCTTCCGGGGTGGCTAGTCCTCAGTGCTGCGCTAGAGCTTCAATCCCGTGCTATCGTACCCGGTTCCATTCGCCTCGTCTTCGCAATCATCTACTCGCTCTTTCTCGGCTACGGCATCACCGTCGGCACAGCCATATACGGCGCCATAGATTCAAACGCTACAAACGCAACACAGTGCAAGGACCCCTTGAACCCGTACTGGAACTTCCTCTTCGTCCCTCTCTACGTCTTCTTCACGACATTCACCGTACAAGCCAAATACAAGCAGATGCCGGCTATGATCACCATCGCCTTCGCCGGCTACATTGTAAACTTCTGGGCCAGCAAGAAATTCTCCTCTTCCGCACCTATCGCATACACATTTGGTGCCTTCACCATCGGCGTCTTGGCAAACCTTTACAGCAGACTGCGTCACGGTGTTGCAGCTGCCGTCCTCCTACCCGCCGTATACGTTCAAGTACCAGGCTCCCTCGCGTCAAGCGGAAGCATCAATTCCGCTCTTCGAACAGCCTCTGCCCTAATCAAGGGCTCACAAGCTGCTGCCGACGTACGTCCCCTACCTCCCCCTTATACCATACCTTTTCCACTAACGCAGCCGCAGGCATCATCCGACCACCTCAACGCCATCGTCTTCAACGTCGCCGCCTCGATGATACAAATCGCCATCGGCATTACCGTCGGTCTATTCATGGCTGCTCTCATCGTTTATCCAATGGGTAAACGACGAAGTGGTCTTTGGACACTTTGAAAACACATCGAAGTATACATATTTCTAATCCCCCCCTTCCCTGTTTGAAGCATAGCGATATGGCGTTTATAGGACAACACAAAAATAATGGTGGGATCGAAAAAAGGAAAAAGGAAAAGGGGGTTTGGAGTACGGAGTAAGGGTACTCCTGGTGCTAATGATTTATAGTCTTGCATCATACTACTACTACTAGCCAGAGCACGTGGAGATGCGTGGTGTAGTGAAGGCACCCGGATCACGACTTTACGCCCTTACTACGAAGACGACAATTTTCCAGCGCAACAAAGCCGAAGCGGAAAAATCACTGCCCCCCCCCCCCCCGGCCCCGCGGACCGTATATACCCTCCCCGTACCCCAGATAGCCCGATCCCTCCCACGGACCCATTTCCACAGCGACAACGACGACGAAAGTCCTCTGCAGCAAGCCCGCCCCAGCGTCCCCAGCGCTCCACTGGAACTTTCCTTTGCGACAAATTCTCCCCAGCATCCCACCGGAACCTTTGCGACTCGCCCGGATTTACCTCCTTTGCGACTCTCAGGACCCAGCTATCTGTCCATGAACTCTTACAGGCAGCCATTATACCCGAGCGGCATTCCCTTTTTTCTTTCCAGCCGGACATAGACCTTGCGACTTCCTTCCTTGCGACCTTCCTCTTCCCTTTTGACCTCGCTACGTGTTCGTTTTCTGCCCTGCTTATACCCGCCCGACCCATCGACCGCCCGCCCGCTACCCCCATGCTGTGCTGATGCCCGTTTATGTTGCGGTGCTTGCTTGCGTGGAGGTGTGTGGCGGGTAGGCTAGTGATGATGCTTATGTGTGACGTGCAACTGGTAGGTGTGATTTGTGATGTATTGATATTTTTCCTTTCATTTCTTGAGTATGTAGCTTGGAGGTTGGGATTGGGGTGAAAAGCAATAGGGAGAAGACATGAGTGGGATGAGTGAGAGGAGAAGAAGGGCAATGGTGGCAAGATATATAGTCAAGTTAGCTCAATCTCAACAGGTTGACTATGAAAGTCTGTCTTTTACATAGTGGTACCGATTTGTGTTTGACCCCTTTGTTCTTGGTGTTTCGCTGGACGTTCCCTGTTGATGGCCAGTGTTTGGACGGTGGAAAGGGAACAACTGGCTTATATGTGTCGGAGAAGATGATGAGATAAATTTGGTTACCATGTATACTAGTACAGCTTACTTTGCTCTGGGAAAGCATGAACTATCAGAAATCCAACGACATAAACTTCATTATCCATCTCGTCAATTTGATGCGCACTTTCCAAGCATCCTGAAAACCACCCTCTACCACCATCTCGCACCGAAAATCTTCGGCGCAACTCCACTCCCCTTCTCATCCGCCACCAAATCAATCCTTTGATGCCCCTTCACATCCACCGCCAACGTCTCATACTCATACTCGCTCTGACTCGGCCGCTTCGTCAAATGCACATGCACAACACCCTGACCCAGCGGCCCCTCTACATAAAACCTAAAGCGCATATGCTGGGTACCCCACTTGTCCGTCTCCTCTGTACTCGACATCCAGCGGCTCTTTGCCCAGTTGGACCAGGTAACTTCGCCGTGGGCAGCGATTTGCGGACCGGGGCCCAGGAGTTTCTGGCAGCGGGCGTCTTCGCGGATGCGGGTTGTGGCACGGTTGAAGTAGGCGGTTTTGGACGAGGGGCTGAAGACGTCGGAGACAAGGAAGTAGGCTACGCCGCCCTGTGTGGAAAGAGTCATGTTAGTTTTAATTGCTTTTTGGGGTGGCGTGCGTGGTGCCTGGTTTTTTTGTTTTTGCTTTTCACGTCATGTCATGGGTGGCGTACTGTTGCTACGAGGCCGACAAGGACAACGACTAGATTCACGCTTTGCTGTGTTGTGCGCACGGCTTTTTCTACGGGCGACAGGTCCGACCAGCGGACCTGGCCCGTGTCGCCGGTCAAGGTGATGGATTTGCGCTGTGGTTGCGGTGGGGGATTGGGCGTCGACGTATGCGTTGCTTGCACTTTTGATGTGGTGGAGAAGAAGGCTGTGCGACCGATATATTGTCGTCTGATTGATACTGGCTGGATACGCGGGAGGAGAAAAGTTGGTCGTAGGAGAGCAATTGCCTCGCTGGGTTTGTATATGGCCGCCATGTTTTTGGTGTGAGGGGCGTTTGTTGCGGGGGAACTACGATTTGCAATGCGATGCGATGCGACGTGCCTGGTGATGCGGAGTTTCTGAGCTAAGCACCTGAACTAGCTCGTGTGTGACGGCAGAAGGTGAATGCAGCCAAGGCCGAGGCTGCATGAGTGTGGCGGGCCGGTCCCTGAGACGTAACTTTTGGGTATCGGACACAACACGTTCGTTCGCTCTAAACCTCAGAAGATTCAGGCCCAGGCTCGGAACACAGCATCGTGGAGCGTGGAGGTCGAGAGTCACAGCCAGGATGAGTTCGAATAAGAAGAGTAGCCTCACGGGCTATCTCCCCGATATCCTCATGGCAGCTGCCGCAGTACGTACATACCTACCTTCCCTCTTGTCACTTCATTCCTTGTCGTTTCCTATTACTGACATGGACACTAGCCATTAATAGCCTACTTTGTAATCCGCAATCTTCTCACTCGTCTCGACCCTGAAGCCCAGCAAAAAGAGGAAGCACGTGCCAAGGCCTCAGCTGCGACGCGCAAACTCGACGCCATTCTAACGAGCAAACGACGGAAAAGCTATGGCGAGTACGACAGCGAGGATGACGACGAGACTGAACCACGGCATCGACGGCCGCGGATAGCGGACCTCAATCTGAATACGTATGAGCAGACAATTGCCATGGAAGTTGTTGCGCCCGAGGAGATTCCCGTGAGCTTTGAGGGTACGTCACATTATTGATACAAGACGACGACAGAAGTACAACATTGGGCACCACTAACTCTCTCACCTCCCCAGACATTGGTGGCCTCGACTCAATAATCGAAGAACTCAAGGAATCCGTAATTTACCCGCTCACCATGCCCCACCTATACTCGCACTCGTCCTCGCTCCTCAGCGCACCTTCTGGCGTCCTTCTCTACGGTCCACCCGGCTGCGGAAAGACAATGTTAGCCAAAGCGCTCGCACACGAATCTGGCGCATGCTTCATCAACTTGCACATCTCCACCTTGACGGAAAAGTGGTACGGCGACAGCAACAAACTCGTAAACGCAGTCTTCAGTCTCGCCCGCAAACTCCAACCTAGCATTGTCTTCATCGACGAGATCGACGCCGTACTAGGCCAACGAAGAAGCGGCGAGCACGAAGCCAGCGGCATGGTAAAAGCAGAGTGCGTTCCCCCTTATATCTCCATACCAGAAACACAACCAGACTGACACACCACCCCAGATTCATGACCCACTGGGACGGCCTCGCATCCAGCACCTCCTCGGGCACCTCAACCCCGCAACGCATCTGCATCCTCGGCGCCACAAACCGCATCCAAGACATCGACGAAGCCATCCTACGCCGCATGCCCAAAAAGTTCCCCGTCGCCCTCCCCTCAGCCATCCAACGCCACAACATATTCTCCCTCATCCTTCGCGGCACAAAAATCGACACCGCAAACTTCGACCTCGACTACCTCGTCCGCATCTCCGCCGGCATGAGCGGCTCCGACATCAAAGAAGCCTGCCGCGACGCCGCCATGGGCCCTGTCCGCGAATACATCCGCCGGAAGAAGGCAGACGGCACATTGCGCAGTAGTCGGGCGGTCGCGCAGGGTGATGTGCGCGGGTTGCGGACGGAGGATTTCTTTGGTAGGGGCAGGGGATTGAGGGATTTGGATAGTTTGGATGACACGAGGGAGGAGCTGAATGCGAGGGTGAGGAGTAGGGTGCATACGACTGAGGAGAGTGAGGAGGGTGACGAGGATGATGCGACGACGGAGAGTGGGACGACTGTTAGTGGGACTACGGGCACGGGCGTCGATGGTGGGGTTAGCGAGCATTCGTATCGTCCTGCTGCTTCTGCTGCTGGTGCTGGTGTTGCGAAACGGGAGGAGGATGTTGTTGTGAGGTAAAATACCAGGCGCTAGGAAGCGTAAACCTCCTTTCACAAGATTCCCTGATGAGAAACACTTGGACATGTTTTTGTATGAGAAACAGAAACAGAAAGAGAGGAAAATACCGAACCGAATCGAACGAAACGACGTTTTTCGTACATATCTCATCGCATAGTTTGCCAATGGCGGCGTTGTTGTTTTCCATCACTCAAAGCAAAGCGGTTATGTAGTGTGGATAAGGGGTACGGATAAGGGATAGAATAGGTCACGCATCTCACCTTTTTTTCCTCTTGTAAACACAGCGTCTAGTCATGCATACAGTATACCATTTTCCCCTCCTCCACAACACACGTACATACATACGCACGGAGACACAAAGACCAATCGAGACAGTCAGACCACGACCATGTTGCACAAAACAGAAAAACCCCTGCCTACTTCTCCTCCTCACTCTCTTCCTCCTCATCTTCATCCTCCTCATCCTCGTCCTCCTCTTCCTCATCTGCCGCAATCTCCTCATCCGCATCCTCCGCCTCCGCCTCATCATCCTCCTGCACCAAAAGATCCTCCACAGTTCCGCCCTCCTTCTCCAACCGTAGATACTCGTCCCACTCTGGGAACATTTCCGCGTCGCCCTCGTCCTCGCCATGTGGCGGAGTTCCAAGGAGTCTAGCGACTTTAGTCTTGCTCTCCTTCTCGAGGGCCTCTTTCCACTGCTTGACGAGGCCAGCGGTAGCGCTGGGCTTGTAAGTTTGGGAGAAGAGGACAGCTTCAGCAAGGCGGTTGGTTTTGACCAGGAGGTCGATGCAGGCTTGGACGTCGCCGATTTGCCAGAGCGCAGAGAAGGCGACGTTGTTTGCGGCTGAGGTTTCGGCGAGGTCGGCGAGTTCGCGTAGACCGGCTGTGTCAGATGTGGCCGAGTAGAGAAGCAAGAGGGAACCAAGATCCTTGGCTTTGACGAAGCATTCTTGGGCAAGCTTGACGTCCCAGTTTGTGAGTGCTGCGTCTCCGACTGTCTTCCACTTGTGCTCCGTGTCCTGCTCGCGAGTAATGGATACGGCTTGTTGAAGATCGCCTAGAGACAGAGCGAGGTCGAAACGGTGTTCTGGATCAGTGGCAACCTTGAGAGCCATCTCCTTGTAGCCTTGACCTTCAAGGAAGCGGGCAATCTTGTTGTTCTGGTCCTTGGGCACCGATGGAAGAGTTTCCTCGGCGGCCTCCAAATCGCCACGTAGAATGAGTGTTTGGTACTCAACCACGGCCAGAGACAAGGCAAATGAAACAACATTGACATCCTTGTCGGCAATGTAGATCCTGGAGTCGCGGGGGAGGTATCCAAGAACGTAGTGTGGTGAGTCGAAATGTGAGATGGTGTATGTCTGGTCTCCCACAAGGTAGTTTAGTCGGTTCGTGCTGTTTGTGTAGATGAAGCAGTCTCCAACCCAGGTACCAGTGCGAACACTGCATCTTTGTTAGCTCCAATTCACATTACATCCCAATTTTAACATACCTCTCATTAATGTCGCATACTACCTCAAAAGCAGATTCGGCGCCATCCTCATCAACCTCTCCGTTCTGCACAGCCTCAAGGTAGTTCTCTCTTGAATAGCGTAGTACGTAGAATGTGTCTTCTGTGGCCAAGGTAACGAGCTCGCCGCTCTCGGACCAGTACACACTCTTGGGTTCAACCTCTATCCTTCGGACTAGAGCACCAGAGTCCCAGTCGAACAGACCAATACCACCCTGACCCTTTACACCGAGAAGAACACCGCCGCTTAGGCCATCAGCAGAAAAGCCAACGTTCAGCACACTCCGCTCCTTGAAGTTGCGAAAAATCTTAACGCTAGTGGATGATTCCCGGATGGCGTAGTCCTTGTCGTGCTCTTTCGAGGCCCAGCAAAAGTCCATGGCGGAACCGAAAGCCTGGTTACGGAGAGCAAGCGCAGTGTAAATGATGTACTCTCCATCGCCGCATACCGCCACGAAACGTCCGTTTGGCGAGTGAAGAAGGGACTGTGGGTAGAGTTCAGTCGAGCCCAGGTCCTTGCTGGGAAGTGTGAGCCGTTCGCCATCCTTGAGCTGGTCGCTGCCCTTGATGACCGAAGTGAGAATATCATTGTTCTTGGCCCATAATAGCTTTCCACTACCATCCATACTGACAGCCGGCTCTTCGCGACCCATGGTGATGACGACAGCACCATCGTCAAATCCAAGCGCGACTCCGTTCTTTCCCTTTTGATATGCCACGCACCATGCGCGCTCCAAGCCGTAGTTCAACGACTGCTCTAACCGGTACGTCGACGAGTGCCAGATCTTGATGGTGCCATCTTCTGATCCAGAAATGATGACGGGAAGCTCAGGGTGGTATACGGCGAAACTGACGTTAGAAGTGTGGCCTTCAAGTGTTGCAATCAGCGCTTTTGTAGTGTAGTCCCAGACCTTGACTGTGCGATCGTCGGACGTGGTGAGGAGGTACGGCTTGTCCGACTGGGGGTAGTAATCGATAAAGTTGACACCCTTGGCCTCGTGCGCCTCGAGGGTGTAGTTGGGCGTTGAGCTGCCGAGCGACCAGATCTTTACGGTCCTATCGAGACAGGCGGATGCGAATGTGTTTGGGTCTTTTGGGTTTATCGCAATGCCCATGACATAGTGTTGATGACCTGCGAACTCTTGTACGCCTAAAGATGTCAGCGCATGCAATGTTCTAGACGCCCACTTGACCTACACTTCCATGACTTGTCCCAATCCCACAGCTTAATTGTCATGTCATCCTATCGCCATATCAGCATCGTCCGGTTGTTGTTCAGGTTGCTACGCACACTGGCTGTCAATACGAAGGGTTGTGTCGGATGTACAGCGATGGCGCGAATGTAGTCGGGATGCGCCTCGAAAGATGTGACCTTCTCCGAGGTGTTGTAGTTGTAGACGCGTAGGTGAAAGTCATCGGAGCCTGCATCCTTCATGTCAACCTCTCTCCTAAGCTAAGTCGTGGCCATATCCCACCTGCTACTATCCAGTTCTTCCTGGCGATGAAGCGACCGGCACGGACGGGTACGTCGGTGAGTTCGAACGTCTTAACAATAGACTGCGTTATGTATGACCAGATGTGGACGTGTCCTGCTTGGGTCAGCGCTCTGCCTGTTTTATAGTTTCTGGGCCGTACTTACCGCTGTACAAGGTCGTGAGGATCCATGGCTCGGTCGGGTGAAAGTCTTTGGTGGGTTTCAGTGGTGTATATATCGAGGGAAAGTGCAATTCCTACCGATGCCTAGGTCATGTTAGTATACGTCCTGATAAATGACATGTGTCTGCACATCTTACCTTTGACACGCTCAGACCGCGCAAAAAGCTGCCTCTATAGTCGCAGACAGATTAGCCATGTCCGAATACTGCACCGCCCTCCAATTGCGCATTGTTGCGTACCTTGACGTCCAAACGCATCTTGGGAGCTCAGGTGTATAAGTTGCGGAGGAGTGGGTTGTGGGAACGTGGCTTTAGTAGCCAGTCCTTGAGAGCGCAGGGAGACTACAGAGGCCTAGAGGATATGCGACCCGGTCTGGATTGGGTATACGAGACAATACAGCGAGTGTTGGGCGCGTAGAAGCTGCTGCGTCGTAATGGCTTGCTGTCCTCCGCAATGTGTTCGATGTTGGGTGGAGCTCCGCCAAGCCAACGACAGGGTTCAGCTCACTCTTTCCCAACGAGGCAGTTTCTAAGACTATGGAAACCAGACGAAATGCGCAACATTACCGCCTCCGATACACCCACGTCCGCACATTTCACTCGTAATCATCGGTTGCAAAGACTTGTCATATAAGTGAACTTTTCTTATTTCCTACCTCTACAACTATATACTCAAATAACTGCCTCCCCACAAGTGCCCTCTGCACCGTGTCTGTTCATCAACCATGTCACACGACACTAAATAACTACCATGACCTATGCATCCCAGCACTTGCATAGCCACACCACATATCGACAGAGAAAAAAACGGTCTAGCTTATCCGTAAGCATGGACTGGTATCTTGGAAGCGAAAAATACATGAAAGGGGAAAATATGTTAAAGTATAGTGTAAACTTTAGGTTGATCTTAAAGAGAGTCTGTGAACGGTAGTGACAATAGATGAGAAATTGGTTTGCGGCTAGATGCAATGCAAATGCTAGCTTGGATGAGGTCGGTGCGGTAGATGGATGTAGAGATCGGAACAAAAGTACGTCGACGTAACGTAGATACATCGAAAAACAACACATGGACGCATGTTGCTGAGCCCGGTCGCGCCTTGGTACGTGGTACACCCACATGGCTCAGTGTGAGCGTGTTGCTGCTGGAAACACGTCTCAGTTCCAGCCAAGAGAGTTCTCAGCCATAACGGGCGCTGAGATCTGTTGTGTGCGAACGCTGCGTCCCTGACTGGCACTGCTACCTTGGCTGCCGCGACTGCCAGGCGTCATCCGCCCGTTACGGGCACCGTGCATCCATGCAGTAGCGCCACCAGGAATGGAGCCGTAAGTCATGCGACCTTCACTGGGGACAGAGCTGGAGCGTTGGTGTGCCAAACGCTTGTTCCTGTATCGGCGGGCAACGAAGAACATGGCGGCACCGTAGGCGATGGCTCCAACAATGGCACTGCTGGCAACAATGGCACTGGTCGAGTTCACCTTGCGGCTGGCTCCAATGTCACCTCCCATGGCTCCACCGTCGCCGTTTCCTCCAGTAGGAGAAGCAGCGCCTGGGTCGGCAGCTGCGTCTGCAGGAGCACCACCACTGCTACCAGGAAGGTTGCCAGCAGCAAGAGGGCACGCTGTGTTGATCTGGCTGGTAAGATCGTTGACAGTCTCGTCAGGGTTATGCCAGAAGTTATCAGCAGGGTTGCGGAGCTGAGCAGCTAGCTTAGACTCGAGATCCAGGTGAATAGTGAACCCACTCAACGTGGTGATGAATCCTTGCTACTCCATCGTGTTCAAAGGCTTCAATCCCAAGTTGTGGACCTCGGAAACCGAGATGTTCCGACCATCAGCGATAGCCTGTCGAAGGCACTCTAAGATATGCTGTCCGCCATCATTTGCTGAGACGAATGCGTAGTTGAGAGGCACTTGAAGCATATTTGACCCATGAAGCTGTTCTGTGGTATCGCAGGAACTCCTCCAGGAGGCGCAATCATCCTGGGCAGGCTCGATGGAATGGTGCTAGCAGTAGGGCTAGGGTTGGGAGTGGGCCTCGACGACGCCTCTACGATGATGCTAGTACCAACGATAAGGGATGTTGCGCTATCCGTGGCAGTGGCAGTGAGAGACGCAATCGGGGATGCCGAGCTGGTGATTGTCGGCCTGACAGGGATAAGAATCGATGCGGAATCACTCTTGGCACTGGTGGTAGTAGCGGCCTCAGACGTCGGTGGCTCTGTAGAAATTGTCGATGAAGCTGGAAGAACCGAAGAGACGCCGGTGCTGGAGGTAGGACCAGTGCTCACGGTTGCGTTAGCAGAGGCTGTGGGCATCAATGTCGGCTTAGCACTGCTGGGCGAACCAGTCGAAGGCCCTTCAGAGGCGGGGACGCTGAGAGACTGCGCGGATGAAGGAACAGGGGCCGAGGCCGATGTTCCGCTGACGCCTGTGCCTGAAGGAATGATGCCGGATGTTGCTGAAGGCGTGATGCTGGCTGTTGCTGACTGCGTAGGCACCGAAGATGAAAGAGCTTCAGAAGCCGGTACGCCAGAAGACGACACAGTTGGGTTAACAGAACCAGTTGGCACTGAACCTGAAGGAGGAAGTATTCCAGATGACATGCTAATGCCAGAAGAGAGCGGAAGACCCGATGACAAGACGGCTGTGGGGGATGGAACAACGCCAGATGGTACCATTCCCGAAGACGGGAAGATGCCTGAGGAGAGCACGCTCGAGGGCAATACGGTCGGGAGGGTGACGGGGCCGGAACCAGTTGCAACGGGCAACGCAGACATGATGCTTGACAGAGCACTCGGCATCTCAGATGCTGGGAGGTTTGAGAGAAGCGAAGACACAATTGGGGGGAGAATACCGGACACACTCGCAGTTGATGTCGGGATGGGCGCGGTGCCATGCGCACCAGTACCAGTGTGCGAGATGCCAGGAAGCTCAGACAGAACCGACGATAGGATTGCTGGTAGACCGCCAGAGTTTGTGGCTGTTGCCTCAGACGTTGGGATGGCTCCAGAGCTCATGAGAGAGGCTGTTGGTATCGCGATTGAAGCACCAGTTGAACCAGTACCAAGAGCCGTAGTGATGCCAATAACGATGCCAGATGCGGTGCCCGTGGACAGGATTGGCAGAAGACCGCCAGTCGAGGTGGGCTTCAAGATACTCTCGATCGGAGGAAGAAGGCCAGTCGATGGGAGTATGTTGGGAAGCAAACCAGAACGTTCGGTAGAGGTTGCCGTCGGCTTTGGCTCAGATGAAGCACCTGATGAAGTGGGCTGCAGAATGCTCTCAACTGGAGGAAGGAGGCCAGTTGATGGGAGTACACCGGGGAGCAGTCCACCAGTACCAGTCGGCTGGATGATGCTCTCAAGCGGAGGGAGAAGCCCAGTCGATGGGAGTACGCCAGGGAGCAAACCAGGACGTTCGGTAGAGGTTGCTGTCGGCTTCGGCTCAGATGAGCCACCTGCTGAAGTGGGCTTCAGGATGCTCTCAACTGGAGGAAGGAGACCAGTTGATGAGGCTACGCCAGGGAGCAATCCACCAGTACCAGTGGGCTGGATGATGCTCTCAACTGGGGGGAGAAGGCCAGTCGATGGGACTACACCAGGGAGCAATCCACCAGTACCAGTGGGCTGGATGATGCTCTCAACTGGGGGGAGAAGGCCAGTCGATGGGACTACACCAGGGAGCAATCCACCAGTACCAGTGGGCTGGATAATGCTCTCAACCGGGGGAAGGAGACCAGTTGATGGGACTACACCAGGGAGCAATCCACCAGTACCAGTGGGCTGGAGGATGCTCTCAATTGGAGGTAGAAGGCCAGTCGATGGAATTACGCCGGGAAGCAATCCACCATGTTCAGTGGAAGTTGGCGTGGGCTTCGGCCCAGAGGCACCACCAGTCGATCCGGGGACAATGAAAGGCCCGAGGAAGCTTGACTGGCCTGGGGCGGATACATCAGGAGTCGAGGCAGGGGCATTGGAAGTCGGCGTGGGCTGGATCACAGGCACAGGAAGAACACCAGTAGATCCAATCATGGGATCGAGAATGCCTGGGATGAGTCCTCCATCTGGTTTAGGGGTGGACATGGCCTGCGAAGATGTAGGCTGTACAATGACCTCAGGTGGCGGACCAGCCGAAGGAGTCGATGGGCTTTGAGCGGCGGAGGTCGTAGTTGGCGTGATTGGGGCTGGCGTGGACGAAGCCGGTGGTACATTGACTCCGAGAGAAACACCAGGGAGAATGCCGGGCAGAAGACCTCCATCAGAGCTCGGTGAAACAGTAGGCTTGGATGAGACAACGGGCTCAGGAGCAGGCTCCGGTGATGGTGATGGCGTAGGGTCCAGGATTGGCACATTGGGAAGTAGACCTCCCGTACCAGCTTGAGTCGTCGTTGCTGTGGG